GGTGCATCAACGCCTATTCTTGCGAAGCTCAAACACATAACCGAGTTCATGGTATATGTAGTATATAACCTCAAACTCGAGTCATGCCTGATGCGGGATTCATTTATCCAGATTCCTACCGACGAAGATATATCGAGAGATTCCACTCAAAATACTGATATCAGTCAACCATCACTGACTACCAAGGCTGCAACAGATGATAATGCACAGAAAAATTTGCTCAGCATAACTCAAGATGAGACGCCATCGAGCCAAGAAGATCATTCTTCCGGGAAGGCAATTGAAGTATCACCGGACAGCAATGTGCCACAAGATCAACTTCCATCAACACAACCAGCCAGCCAGTTAATTTCGCTCCATGAAATACACTCTCGGGCAGCCCACGACAGTTCTGTTCCGGAAGATGTTCCTATGCCAACCTTTTATAGTGATATGGTGGCCAAGTATCAAACAAGAATCCTCTCTGTCTCGCCGTTCGTTAAATTTGCACAGCCATATCTACTTATGAAAGCTCGAGAGCAGGAAAGAAAGTTAGCTCACTTAAAACGTTTGCGGGATCAAGATGTAATTGAGGAGCGCGTAGACAACGAAAAGTCCAATCCCCCAAAGTTCCAGCTTATTAAACCGCAAATGGTTCTCGAGACAGGCCATAACGCCCCTAGACAGATTATGGAAATTCTTCATGCTGTCCACGATGCTGAATACGACAGGGCTCTCTACAACTATCAGACGCAAACAAGACAATGGGAAAACTACATCAAGGGCAATATTGGGTTCTTCGAGCCCTACGCCCACCAGAACATAGTTGTCCTACATTCTGTCATCTGTACTGAAACCAAGATCCCGTGTTTAGAGCCGAATCTGATCGCACTTGGCTTTTACGACGAGCATGTCGATAGAAGCAGTGGTATGGATCCCGATTGTACTTTGGGCCAATACATTGAAGATATCTGCTATGGCGCCGACTCAACCTGCGAAGCAAATGGATGTGATCGCAAATTGTATGAGCATCACCGAACATACGTTCATGGCGAAGCACGAATTACTATATTCATTGAGCAAGATACTAGAGGCCGACTCCCCGGAGACAGTATCATGATGTGGAGCTACTGTAAGCATTGCAAGCGAGAAACCAGCGAAAGGGAGATGTCCAGAGGGACCTGGAAGTATTCATTTGGAAAATACCTAGAACTATCATTTTGGAGTAGGGGTACCACTCTAGTCAGAGACGAGAATTTGGGTGGTTGGAATTGTCCTCACGACCACCATCGCGATCATATACGATACTTTGGGTTGAACGGCAAGGTTGTGCGCGTCCATTACGACCCCATCGACCTCTTAGAAATCATTGTACCTCGAGCTCGGATTACTTGGAATGTTGGGCATGATCTCAACATGAAAAACGAAATATTCACAAATGCTCAAGAGCGTTGGACGCGGTTTACGACGTCTGTCAAATCACGACTGAAAGCCATCAATACCGAAAATATCATCCCTGAAAAGGCCGAGGCATGTAAGGCAGAAATGGAGCGGCTGTCGAAAAGAATACATGATGATCACACCTCGCTTGTTCGGAAGCTTCAGGACAAATACATGGAATCTAAATATTACGAGGTAATTCCATTTAACATAGTTTTACGAGAGATGCTCGTCAAGGTGGCGGAATGGGATGCTGCTTTTGCCAAGTTTGAAGCCGATTTTCTTCCTTCCGACAAGGATATCCGAAAGCTGACTATGATTCACCTTCGTAAAATGTTTACGGACGAATCAAAGGAATCTCTTAATGTCAATGAAGTCCAAAACGAAGCCACCGATATCACAGAAGAAACTACTCAGACGAGTGTGCCGGAAAGCGACCCCAAGCAGGATACTCAACAATCAGAAGCTACTACCGATGCTTCTCAGCTTGATATAATCCAGGAAAAAAACCCACTAGATGTACTGCCTCAGGAAGAAACTCTAGAGAGGATTGAGCCACTGGATCTTGCGACACCGAAATCACCTGTGCCCGGCAGTTCCGCCCCAAGCCAACCGGATAGTAACGTCGGTATCCCGGAAGTGTCGGCACCAAATGTCACAGATGCAGTCTCATCATTATCCCCCGAGCTTGTGCCACGGCTGGCAACAAGCACGACGCCGCCTATGTCACTAACTGAGCAAGTTGAACAACTTCGCCGACGACAGCAGTCGTTAGCGCCTGAAAGCATGAACACGGCAGGGTATGTAGGAAACGAGCGGGTTGGGACCGCTGGAGAATTTCAAAAGACGCCAGAGCGCAGCTCTTCCCGTAGGATAGGATTAAACGTTTCTCCACCTATGGTGCGCGCTATATCACAGCCTTTGAATAGTGTTCCGACCTTGCCCCGCCTACATTCTGCAGTAGGTAAAATGATGTTTAGTACCAACAAGGACAAGGATAAAGACAAGGGATCTTTTACAGAGGTGACGACCGGAAGCGAACTCCGGAAGGTTGCAACTAGCGAGTCCGCTAAAAGTGAGAGGAAGCTTTTTAGTAGTCTCCGGCCGCACCGCAAGGGTAACCAGTCGTCTATTCCCCGTTTTGTTGGAAAGAAAGACTCTAGGGTGTCTACTATTCGTAAACATTTCGAACAGCTCAGTCGTGAGTTCGAGAAAGAGCGTGAAAAAGATCGTGAAAAACGAAAACTAAGAATGTCTCATTCGAGGCCTTTCCTCCAGCATTCCACGACTAAAGCTATAGTTGAGGTTTACGAAGACGTGGATGAGGCCGTACAGGAACCAGGTCCCGCCGAGGATGAGCATGCAACCGCATCGGGACTAGTTAATCTCAAATCAAAGAATAAATTAGGACTAGAAGGTCCCCCGCCAGGAAACGAGGCTGTCGAAGCACCAACAGAAGACATACAATTTCCAAAAGATGGTCATCGACGTCAAGATGAAATTGCGACTGAAGGTGAAAACGACGACCAGGCGCACAACAATAGTCTAGGACCCACAGATGATGAGCAAGGAGAAAGCGACACAGAGCATTCGTTGATCGATGGTACGACGCTTGAAGAAATTGCTGAGTCGTTTGACTCCAGCGCGGAGATTCCGATAGAACTTCCCAAGCAGGACAAGAACAACTTCATGAAGGTACTCACTACGTTTTGGAATGAACGCTCAGCTAGCCAATGGCCTCCGCTAGATTACCCCCTAAATGCAGCTGACCATATTTTCATTGATTCCGACATCATTGTCCGGGAAGATGAGCCAAGTTCGCTCATTGCGTTCGCTTTGAGCTCCGAAGATTATAAGGAGAAACTTCGCACATTTTATCGCAAGAAGGATGGTGAGAGCGTAGTAGCTTCAGCGGGGACAGATACAGAGGACGACGCGCATTCTGAGGTGTACTCAGACATTGGGGAAAATATCACCGAAAGTCAACTGGAAACTAAACTCGTCCACACTACGAGTTCCCATTATAAGTATCAATTTACCGAAGGAACGGCAAAAATGCTGGTTAAAATCTTCTATGCCGAACAATTCGACGCTTTACGACGGAAATGCGGCGTCGCCGACCGCATCATTGAGTCTCTGTCTCGGTGTTTAAAATGGGATTCTAAAGGTGGCAAGACGAAGTCAGTTTTCTTGAAGACTCTGGACGACCGGTTGGTAATGAAGGTAAGCAAGAGTGTAAGCTCCATCCTTACGTAGGCGCGTGTACTGATTATATTACTAGTCTTTGTCGCCAGTGGAGACGGCTGCCTTTTTGAAGTTTGCACCGGCGTATTTCGGTTTAATGGCGGAGGCGCTTTTCCATGATCTCCCGTCAGTAATTGCCAAGATGCTAGGGTTCTTTCAAGTCATTATCAAAAACCCGGTAACCAACACGGAGATCAAACTGGACTTGCTTCTTATGGAAAACTTATTCTATGATCGGGCTCCTACGAGGATCTTCGACTTGAAGGGTTCGATGAGAAACCGGAAGATCCAGTCAACTGGAGAGCGTAATGAAGTTCTTCTCGACGAAAATATGGTGGAGTATATTTATGAATCGCCGCTTTTCGCGAGGGAACACTCGAAGAAAACGTTGCGTGATTCGGTCTGGAACGATACACTTTTCTTAGCCCGTCAGAACGTCATGGATTACTCCCTGATGATCGCCGTGGACGAGGTAAAGAAAGAGTTGGTTGTAGGTATCATTGATTGCATCCGAACGTACACATGGGACAAGAAACTTGAAAGCTGGATCAAGGACCGCGGCTTCGCGGGCGGCGGTCGTAATAAACCAACCGTAACCAGCCCAAAGGAATACAAGTCGAGATTCAGAGAGGCTATGGCTAGGTACGCTACTACTCTAACGCGTTAAAGAAAACAGACCGTACTGACTTAGAACGGTGTAGATACATCCTCGAAGCACCGAATTGCTGGCACCAGCCTAGTGTGCCACTCCCAGTATCGAGACCCCCACGAGCGGAAGTGAACGCCGCAAGAAGGGACGAAGTAGCAACGGATGTAGGTGCAACATAGGTATCGCGCCTTCGTGGGCTTACTATGGGATGATCAGCGGTATTTTGTATGAATGGTATATACGACGTTAACCACGAAACGAGTTTATGAGGCGTTTTGCAAAAGGTATGGTATGCGGACGAGCATAGGGCAACCTGACCTCCTCAGTATGGAGATAGCGAGACATGGATAAGCGAAAGCAGTTCGAGACAAAAGCGTGAAAGATGTCTCTTTATCTTTTAATAGCGGATACCCATTTTAATGAAAAACATGATAGTCCATATCATATGTTAAAAGCCTTTATAAAACAATTATCGAAGTCGAAGTAAATGCAGTGCTCTATCTAAGTATTAGTGAAATGGTGATTATATAAAAACATTACTTTTAATATGGATTTTATTGAGGTAAGTACCTAGCTGAGAAGTAGCTGGGTACCCGAGGCGGCAGAGCCCCACAGGCGCTAATGTCTGCTGGCTGTAGGTATTTGGTGGCGGTCCGCTATCTACGGTTTAGCTATCTCAACCCAAAATCCAACATTTTGATTGATACGACTTGTACTTAACACAACTACCTTATGAGGTGGTCTTCAATTTTCACCTTTCATACCCCACAAGTAATTATGGTATGAAATAAATCTACTATTAATTTTCACTGGGAATAAGATAAGATAATGGGAAATTTAGCAATAGTAAACTATCATACGCCACCGCCATTATGTCGATAGATCTGAATTGGGAGACACTGACGGGCGGGCCGGACGGTGCCGCGCTCGCGGAACACATCCGCGATTTCATTCACACCAAATTTCAGGCCGTTCCCTTACCGCGTTTTATCAAATCCGTCAAAGTCCACGACTTCGCTTTTGGTACCATACCACCAAATGTTGTGCTGAAGGACATATGCGATCCGCTACCAGACTTCTATGAGGAAAATTCAGATGTGTCAGACGAAGACGAGGAAGAAGATGAGGAAGAGAGTCTTGTCCAGGATGAGAGAGGAAGGCATGGGCATTCGGAAGATATATCCGAAGCGATTAGAGCCGCCGAGCGTAAGAGGAGAGCGGACCAGATTCGGAGATTAGAGGGAAGGGGTGGGAGCGGCCGCAGGGGTGGTGAGGGCGAAAGTGGAACGACCACTTATCATCCGGAAGGTCTATATCCGCCTCATATCCACGTCGCTGGTTTACGGAGCGCCCCCGGCACTCCCGATATAGGCAACCCCTTCCTAGGACTCGGCGTTCCGACGCCTGGCGTGCCTGGCGGTACGGCAAATATGCACTACTTCCAGTCAAAGCTCGCGACCACTTGGTCCGGCACGCAGACGCCGTTAGCGGCCGTCGCCGGAGCGCAACACTTGAACGGTTGGTTGGAGATGGGTGGCCTACATACACCTCCTTCAGAGAGATATTCGCGAAGTCGTGATCACAGCACACAGCCTTCACAGGGCTCTGCTTCTATACCAGATCACCCTCCAGTTCCATCCCCTACCCTACCCCCAGCTTCACTCTCGCCGATGCCACACCCGCTCCGGGAGAAACATAGTGTGTCAACTCTCGCACCAACATCGGCCGGTCCGTCACGACCGCCTACCAGAGACAGGATGACGAGCGCAACACATATGACAGGCTTGCCTCGGTCTAACCGCAGTCCCGACGGAAAAGGGGCGCGCGAAGGATCCTCGGAAGAGGAGGAAGAGGCGCCCAAGAAGTTCCGGGAGCCCAGGATAGACGATTTGCAAGCTGTATTCCGCATCAAATACGCGGGTGATGTGAAGCTGATGTTGACGGCCGAGATCCTGCTCGACTACCCGATGCCGAGCTTCGTGGGGATTCCGGTAAAGCTGAATATCACGGGGCTTACCTTCGACGGGGTCGGCGTCGTCGCATATATTAGGAAACGCGTGCACTTCTGCTTCTTAAGTCCTGAGGACGCACTTGCTGCCGTGGGGCAGGATGACGATAATGGTGGTGATGGAGATGAGCAGGGTACAGGAACTACTAGCGGCGTCCGGAAAGGCAGGCTTGGGAGTTTGCTACAGGAGGTTAGGGTTGAGAGTGAAATAGGTCAAAGAGAAGGTACGAAGCAGAGCCTAAAGAACGTCGGGAAGGTTGAGAAATTTGTCCTCGAACAGGTCAGGCGGATATTCGAGGAAGAGTTCGTGTATCCTAGTTTCTGGACATTTTTGGTGTAGAAACATTAACTAATGTAGATTTACGACTCTCTTCTCTATAACTGACGAGAGTATTCATGGATTAGTTATTTTAAATAGACGACACTCAAGGTAGACTGGAGGTTTGTGCAATGGCGTAAATAAAAGACAACGAGACTCATATTAGTAGATGGAGAAGCCGGTGCAACTAACACTACTAGCACGGTACTGTCTGAATCATATCTAGGTATCTATCGCACCTTAGGTTAGGTACATTTCTCTACCCCGAGATTCTTCCTTATCTCTCAAATAGGTCCTCACTGTCCAGCTCCCTGGTTGCTGGACTGTCCCTCGGCCTGGCGCGCTTGGCATAGCGGCTTATGTCGCTTAGTCCAGTCCTGCTTCTGGCACTCCTTGGAGCAGTAGAAAACCGACTGGCATGCGCCGCAGGCTTTCAGCTCTCTTTGAGCGAACGTTCTACTATTGGGGCACTGTAGGGTATAATTAGTTTAGTTAAATGCTTATTGGAAATAGGGGTGATGAAGATATATAAACTTACGTAGTAGTATCCGCATACCATCTGCTGTCCTGAGCCCCTAATACGTATCTCCCTAGCCTCGGCGAATCTTCCCTGGGCCTCTCGCAGCTGGCCGATGTTGTCACGGGTCACTGCCGCATCTAGAACCGGACCGTCTCCTTCCCGAACCGGTAGCGCCTTGTGAAAGGCTTCATCTGCTTCTTGCAGTTTTCCCGCGCGCAGCATGGCCTCGCCCATGCCGTTGTAGCTGATGGCGGCCTGGATGGATGCTTCGGGGTGGAAACGCAGCTTGTGTTCGAGAGCTTTCTGGTGCAGCGCGATGGACTCTTCAAATCGGCCTGCTTTCATGGCGGCGCAGGCTTCGTTGGAATAGTCGACGCCGCCGATGGTTGCGGCCATATATGCTTCTAGGTTGAAGGCGGGGTTGGTGGGATCGGGTGGTGGATGATAGTATGCTGGAGGCATGTTGGCGGATGATGGTTTCTGGGGTTTGGGGTTTAGTTTGGGTGAATTGGGAAAGATGAAAATATTGGATAGGTGAGTAGGTAGCTACCTATTTATGCTGAAGGTGTGTGTTTCTTTTCTTGGATGAGAAACTTCACGGTAAAGTGCTGTTAGTGGGGAATAAACTAGTAAGAATAGCGCGTTTGTAGATGGCCTCTACTTATCGTCTCTTAAGTATAAGTGGAAGGTTAATCGTGAGTCATTTATTAATACCGTTTGCGCCGATCGATTTCAAAGATTGCTCTTACATTACAGGAAGAAGCTGCAAGCACCCTTATATGAGCCAAATTTACTCTTCATTATGTTCTAGGTAGTTATGCGCTCTCTCACCGCTACACAAACAAACATCCGATACTATGTATTTCTAATGGATTCTAGAATCTACCACGGCTTCCTTCTCCTATTTCATTACTTTCATACTAACTATTCAAATTGTCCCACGAAGATATCAAAGTTTAGCTTCCCCTTTGCCTGGCGTGCTAGAGCCCGAGTGTTCTGCCAGAAGCCGGGCTACCCCATCAGCAACACCCCAACTCAGCTCATAGCCTCGCCCGCCCAAACCATATGCATGAATGATGGTCTGTGCGTCACCTACCTCCTCCTTCTCTAGTCGTATACCGCCCCTGCGAGTCGGCCGTCGACCTACAATATCCTTCATAACCGTAAACTTGCCTTCACCGCCCAGGATCTGCGGGTAAGTAGCGGCAAATTTCTGCAGCAGGGCCTCGCGGACCTCTAGTGACGGATTGGGATCCCAGTTGTTGGGCTCTTTCGTGCCGCCGATGATGGTGCCGCCGTCAAAGTTCCGCGGGACGCAGAATGTCCACGAGCCGTCTGCATTCTGCCGCGTGACGGTCACGGGGCACGGATTAGCGACGAGACATGTCTGGCCTGTGCAGAGATTTAGTATTGAGATACGTAGAGTGTTAGGTACCTACCTAGGTAGGTAGGTGTTTATGGTATCAAGAGAAAGAAATAGAAACAACTCACCTCTCGTAATAAACAGGTTCTCGTCGCCAAACCCGATCCCAGAAGCGTTTACTAGCACATCAAGCGGCCCCGCCTCAAGATTCCAGGAGAATATCTCCCTCGGGTCTCTTACTTCTCTACGTAGGACCTTACCTCCAAGAATCGCGAACCTACGCAGCAAGAAGCTACAGTAGACCATAGGATTAACGCACCACGTGTCGTACTCACATCCCCATTCGACACCTTCTGGCAGCTCCCCTTTCTTTAGCTGCCTAAATCCCTCCATACCTAACTGCGTGCGCGCTCTCTCTTCAGTAAGCGCACGGTATGCCTCATTAGGTGCTTCGAGATACTCAATCCCTTTCATGAAAGTGATGCCGGCCTCAGGGTGGCGTGCTTGTACGGCACGCATGTGGTCGAAAGTCTGGAGGCTCATGGCATGCTCCCGCTCCTCGGCGGGGTTGGTGGGGGGTACAAGTCTGTTGTGCGCCCCTCCCCATGGCGAAGTGTAGTTAATCTGGCTTTGTGCGTCAATAGTCTCGGATCCGGAGGGAAAGTCCCGCGCCACGATGGTCACGGCATGTCCTTCGGCCTGGATTCGTAGAGCGGAGCTTAAGCCGATGACACCGGCGCTGTGGACCGAGGGTGTTAGCCAGACGTCTGTGGCGTAATAAGGGGCTTCTAATATAGGAGAATGTACCCCAGTACCACTATATGCGGCATCGTGAGAGAGATGCGTCTTGGCAGCTTAATGGAGGTAAGTGTGTTTTTTTTCTATGGAATGGCCCGGGCGTAATAATAAGGCTGTTTCCTTAATACTTAACTACCTCCTACCGAAACTAAGGCGGTATTAAAAGAGAATACGAGCAGTAGGTTTACAAATTTATGATAAATTACCCGCTTTAGCTACGGCGGCCGAACATCGGAGATAGGAGCGGGGCCGAGTGGGGCCGATTACTCACGCCAACCATCCGCTATAAGAGCCGAATGTGACAGGAATGGAAGGGGCAGATTACGGGAGTTTCGGCCGAGTAAATTTCGGAGATATTTGCCAGCGCATCGCAATATATTATAATAAAGTTATATATAGGTACCGATGTAGCAAGTTTAAACGACGTTCGTCAAGCAGCTACCCGATATCTTTTGAAGATAATCTTCTAAGCGCCCGCTTAAGGCAAGTGTATCCGCTAATAACTGCCGATTAAATACGCCGAAATATATATATGGACATTGTCCAAGTTGGTAGATTTGTAAGGTTAGATGCTTCAGATGGAGTATCTGAAGTTGATCTGAAACGACACCCATCTTCAGCCAAGGCCGCCAAGTTTGCCAAGACGCACCGACAAGACTTCAGAAACCGTGGAATGCTTGAAGGTTACGACAGCATGCGGATCCCGTTTACCACTATCGAAAATCTTTATGATGTGCGCCTAGGGAAAGGCTGATCTCCCATAGGATCTCCATTAGGAGGTGAACCTTGGTAATCCTGGCTTGCAGAGGGTATATCTGCATAGAAACCGAACGCCGTCGGACTGTAGCCAAGTTACCGAGGAGCCTCATAATACAAAAGGGTGGGACTTATCGAACCATACCTTCGTTCGTTTTGACCAATGGCTTTAGCACTTGAACGAAATGCGCATTCTGCATAAGAATGTCTTTGGCCAGATTGGGAGTCTTGACTCTCAACTGCCGAGCCTGTTCCTGCTTGGGCTTAGGGACGGTTCGGAGCTCCTCTTGGGCACAGGGTGAAGGGGCATCACTAATCTACATCTAAGACGCTTTGAAGATTCTGCTACGCTGAGATTACGTCGCAGTTGTCGACACAGCCCTAGCCAGTATAATTGCGCGATATGCTTTCATGGGCAGCCCGCTATATATGCTCACGGTAGGCCCGGCTCGGGAACCGAGTCCCATCTCCTTACTTTCTAGTCGAATTTTTATTTCCCTTCCACTCTCTTTCGAACCTCCTAGTGAGCAGACAGCCGTTGAACGGTTCATTATCATACGTTTTAATCTAATACACGAGATTCCTTTTCCTGTCGGTCATTACCTCGTAGCGTCCTCACCGGTTCTTCAGTAGCAAATATGTTGTTCTTCGCTAGTTCCATCCTCCTCGCCGCAGTTGCCAGTGCGCGGCCATCTCGGATATTGTATAGAGACGCGCCGGTCGACGTTGGGGGGTTCAAGGGTAGGTCACAAGTTACTCTATGACAATATCGTGGTGGATACATAACTAATGGTAAACAGTTCTAGCAGCTAATAGGATAATTCCTGTTGTTGTTGGTGGACCACAGGATACTTTCGTGCCCAACACCGTGAAGGCATCCGTTGGGGATATCATACAGTTCCAGTTCAGCAACGGTAATCATACCGTAACTCAGAGTGCTCAGAACGCTCCGTGTACGCCTCTCGAAGGCGGTATCCATAGCGGACATATTCCATTTAAAGATGGGCAAACCACTGTTGGCACTTTCAACATGCCTGTAACAAACGCCGACGCTTTATTTCTATACTGTGCCACGGGACCCCATTGTCAAGAAGGACAGGTCATGGTTGTTAATCCGTAAGTGACCATCCCCCCTTTTTAAGTATTACTAGGCTAACCATCTGTAGTGCGGATGACCAGCAGATCGTGGACTATGCTAAGGGGTCGCAATCGACAACAGCTAGTGTCGACGGGACCACGGTAATAGGCGGGACAGTTGCTTCTATCCCCCTCGATGCCGCTGCTTTCGTTCCCGCCCCCGCGCAGCAAGGAGCCCCAGCTGGCGCGCCTCCAGCTGCTGCTGCTCCCGCAGTTCCTGCACCTGCATCATCTGCTGCTACTTCTGTCCCTGGAACAACCACAACTACTATTACCGTACCAGCGGCGACTGCTTCTGCAGCTCCCGCTGCCTAATTGCGCTGGTCGAAGCCGGTCGGGATGGTATATTAAGAGAATGGGACGGCGTTTTGATCCTAGATAATTGGGTTAGGCAATGGGTGGGCATGTAGATTACCTAGGTATATCATCTTGGTGGATTAACAACATACACCGAGGCAAGCCAACTGGAATGATACTCAAATTCGACGAATCTCTCGGATGCCCCTAGAAGCTCTTTGGCTTGGACTTTGGAGTTTCTTACTTCTGGCTTCGAAGGCCTTTACTTTACTTTCAGCGTGATATGTTTGTTATGTTCCTTCATGGCCGCGGATTTTTGAAATTGCTGGTAGATTTTTACTGGGATCAAAACCAATCTAAAGTCACTGTGGCTTAGGTACCTTAGGTAGGTAGTGTTACTTTATATAAATACTGTTTCTTATTGGTAGGTTTTGACCATTCAGGTGCCCCGGTTCGAATTTGGCAGAAACGCCTCCGAACCTGATATTCTTCTAAATCCTTGAAGCCTCACTTTCCCAAATTTGAAAATCTCTAGAGACACAATCCTCCAAACCTTCACAATAACTAGTCTGCGATACATCCCAGTCCAGTTGTGACTATATCATGAAGACATCTAACGTCGCCGAGGTGGGGTTAACAGTTTTGTATGAGCCTGAAGACGAGGACCCAGAAGTGGAGTATGATACCATGTTCAACTACCTCAGCGCCTCGGCGTGAAAGCTTTCCTAACGTTGTTTCTTCCCAGTGTTATATTCATCCATGGACTCCAAGGCCATCCCAAGAATACGTGGCTTTGGAGCGAAGGGAAGACGGATGATACAAGCGCTCCTACCGACAAAAGCAAACGGCCCTCATTTTTACAGAAATCTTTTACGAAGGTATTTCATAAAAGGCCAGACCCAAGGAATACAGGCGAAACATCTCTGAAGGGAAGTAAGGAAGACACGAGCCATATCGATTCCAATTCGGAAAATGCAACCTACTGGCCGGTTGATCTTCTCCCTGATGAATGCCCACATGCGCGTATCATAACTTGGGGGTACGATTCTCGAGTCACAAGGGGTTACGTCGCAACGAATAAGAATAACATATTTGGCCATGCGAGAGACCTTCTATATGGGTACGAACGGGACCACCCTATTGATAGAAGTGTCATTTTTGTGGCACATTCATTAGGCGGGATAATCGTAAAAGATGTAAGTAAGATATGAGATCATAAAGAATAAACAGGAGTAATCTTATGCTTTTAGGTTCTTCGTCGCTCCTGGGACTCTGACGAGCCTCGGCTGCGTAATATTATTGAGCACACCAAAGCAGTTGTTTTCCTCGGCACGCCACATAGAGGGAGTCCTGGACTTGCATCAACTGCAGATGTAGTACGAAGGGTAGCTTCAACGATCCTACGGTTTGACTCAAACGATAGCATTATACGTGCTTTAGGAATTGACGGTCCTGAGTTAGAGTTGTCGCGCGAGTCTTTCATCACACAATGGCGTAAACTACAGTTTACTGTTAAGACATTTCAGGAAGCACGACCCATTACTGGTGTAGGTGTAGGCCTACTTAACGATAAGGTAATATATTAAATATCGGTATTCTTGAGCGTATCAAAGTTTTACTAATCTGTTAAGGTTGTTCCGGATACTTCTTCGACATTAGACGACCCAAGGGAGCATGCCGAGACAATACAGGCAAACCACATGGACATGTGTAAGTATAGCAGCCGTCATGATCCAGGTTATCAAAAAGTTGGATTGGAACTTGCTAGGCTAGCCAAAGGGAAGAGCGTTGATCCTACCCTTCAAACACGGCGTAAGTCCTTGTGGCATAGCTTAGACGAGATCAATGAATAACATTAAGCAGCATTATTGCCAACCCCTCAAGTTACTCGCGATGTTAATCAACCTATGACTGATGATTCTAACCATGAAGGAATCGATAAAATTACCACACGTGCGTTGACCGATCATATACACTAATATTAAGCGGCCTAACTCTGTTGTTATTGAATAGAAGGTTGTATGAAGTTCCTAAAGTTCGATGGGATGCTACACCGAGAACATACTATCCAGGCCCCGTTAGCAAGTACATGTCGGTGGTTGTTCAAACATCCCACATATACTTCGTGGGAACGCCGTGATGATGTCCAGAAAAATCACGGTATGGTATGGCTTAAGGGGGTCCCGGGTTCTGGAAAGTCTACTATCATGAAAGAAATAGTAGGGCATGCTATAAAAGATACTAATCAGCCTCGAATTGTTGCCCGAGTCTATTTCAATGCCCGCGGTTCTGTCCTGGAACACACATATTTGGGAATGCTTCGGTCAATACTGGTACAACTATTGCAGCAAAGTAACTCTTTCCAGTCACCCATTATAGACCACTACGTCGCGGCAAAACCTACCGATAGGAGCGAATGGATCCCTGGGGTAGATGAGCTTCGGGAATTAACTAGACGATGCTTGATAGACACAGACTACCAAGCTCGAATAACAATTTGCGTCGACGCTCTTGACGAATGCGATGAGAACCAAGCCAGGGAGACTGCCTCCTTTTTAAGGGAAATAACAGACGCCGCATTCGGTACCGGCAAGGTATTAGATGTCTGCATATCCAGTCGACACTATCCTCATATTACTATCCCGAATTGTCCTGATATAGTAATGGAGCAAGGCAACAAAGACGACATTGAGCAGTTTGTCAAGTCAAAGATCCCATTTGAAATTATGGATGACCACTTTGCTGTCGACCAGTTACGTTCTCAGATTGTCGGAAAGTCAAAAGGGATTTTTCTCTGGGTTGTCCTAGTGGTTAATATCGTCAGACGAGACCTTGACAACGGCCGGTCTGAAGCAGATATACAAGCTGGGATCGCCCAAGTCCCCACTGACTTAGTTACCTTATATACCCATCTCCTCAAAGATATGCCAACTGATGACCGCAAGAGATTTCAAAATCTTGTTTACTGGCTATTACTCGAGAACCGGGAACTGGGACTAGAAAGCATACCTACTCTCGAGACACTTGGAGCAGAATGTTGCCACATACCTGATGAGCCTAATACTCAAATAAACTTGCCCTTGTCACCTGGAGGAAATAAGGATGCTGGACGACTTGAAAAGCTTCTCCGGAGTTTATCAAGGGGCTTGATTGAGTATTCTGGAAAAAGACTGCAGTTTATTCATGAAAGTGTGCGGGAGTTCATTATACAGAATGGATACACGGTATTCCGCTGTCCCAGCAATGATATTTTCTGGGCTATTGGGCATTGCACAATCATCCAATTTTATGCTCGCGTAGAGGCCTTCAAATCAGATGATTCTGAACGTGCGGTTCGGGTATTATAAGAATTCACTTGGATGTCTGTGTATGGTGGCGAAAAGATTGGAGAGCATGCTACAAAGGGACTCGTGTATAATACTTTCCCGTTAAAAATCAGGTACCTTGCTGTGACCCAATCATTCAATTCCAGAATTCAGAGATGGTATGAGAATACATACAGGTGGAACATAATACGAGAACTAGACCGTTCTTGTTCTGACACCATTCAACAATTGTCGTCCAAATCACCAAACCAGGCCCCAGAAACTGAACTATCAAGAATGTTGAGGTCTTTCCCGTATAGAAGGAGAGAGATATTTTCGAAGCTCACTCCCAAGAATTGGACCTTAAAGATAGAGCAATTCAGAGAAGAGCAACGACAACATCTCTCTCGGCTATTTAACTCGTCTTGGGAGTCCTGTGAGAGTCAAACTATAAATTTTCGCGACAACGAAGATAATACACTTATGCATCTGGCGGCTTCCAGCGGTCTAGAAGTCGTTGTGAAGCGTCTCCTAGACCGGGGCGTCCCGGCGGAGACATATAACTCCTTCGGGATGACGCCTCTTCACTTGGCTTGCCACTTTGGTCATGGAAAGGTGGTTGATGTTCTTCTGAAACATGGCTGCAGTCCAATGACCTTAGGTCCTGGAGAATGCACATCACTACATATTGCTACTCAAGTAGAATGCCTTGGAGCTGTTAGTGCTTTACTAAGGATAATGTCCAAAAACGACGTCGAGGCTGTGAACGCGCAAAGCCAAACAGCTTACGACTTGACATGTGAAAAAGGACAAGATTCCTTACTACGACTTTGTCGATGGCCTGAAGAAGAACGTGCTTAGCACTTTTCCACTCTGGTCGAATTCAAGTGCCACCAGATCCATAGCAGCAAGGCAGGCTATCTGCGATCTGCCATGTACCAAGTCGACCAGATGCTCATTTACGGGGTCTCCTGGAGAGTGACATTTATGAGATTATCAAGTCCCAATCTCCAATCTCCAATATCGATGAAGCTGTTTGACCCAACCCCGCGCGCGCTTCACGCCTCTTGGCATTTTTCAATTACCGTTTTCGCCAGTCAGCTAGTGAGTTGGGCGGCTAAGATGTAGTGTGATCCTCGTTCTGATTGGTTCGTCTGTCTACTTGAACCTGCAAGCAATTATTCTATTTCGGGACGCGCAAATCAGGTCAGAGTGCCGACTTCTTCACTTCCAATGTTTCTCCATCGACACACTCGTCTAGGTTAGAGAGGGTGCCCGTTATGACAGGGGACGGGTGCTCGTCGGTCTGCATACAGCATACATCTACAACCACCCTTCCCCAGTGGCTGGTTGAGATACTTCACCCCACCTTCAAAGGCGTGCACAGGCGCTTAGCAAAATAGCCTTGATGATCTGCTACCTACCTGGTAGCTCCGTGGTCTGCACATCGTGACCGCCGGCAAGCATGGTCTAGAGCGCTTGCTGCATGTTTAGGTAGTATATACATCCTTTTGGTATCTCCCTTGCTTCATAGAAGAAGAAAAAAATAGTTGAAGATTTTACTGTTCTGTTATCTCGAATCTTTATACCATCTGTTGGTAATTGGGTTCCGACTCTCTGTACCCGGATCCCTAGTATGCGAACGTGTATGTAAAGGTTGTGTGACCTGCCTTGTGGAGTGATAACATCGTCTTGATATGGATCGAGAGACCATGTCCCGGTAACAGGCGAATTATCTTTCTAGACTTACCTTGGCCAACCTGGCTTCTGTGCCAGTACTCGACGTTACTGACGACTAACGACAACTAATTCATCGGGGCGGGAAAAAAAAGAAATACTGTTTAACAAGATGGCGTCGAATGGACCCTCTGGAGGGCTTTCTCTCTTCCCCAATACAACAAGGTCGCCGTCCCGGAAGCCGACACCTCGACCACGCGCTGTCACTCCTCAATCGTCGTCTCGAGAGCAGGGCTCCTCTTTTGAAATGACCCCACCGAGGAATGGTCGACGTACACCAGAGGACCTCTCGGAGTTCGTGATCGACGGAACACCGGCAGTAGCTAACGGTCCACAAATGTCTTCTAATAATCCCTATTATCAGAACGAGGCGGGTCCGTCAGTATCGCGACCAGTACCTGTGTCAGAAGTGCCGCCTCGGGCCGGCACCGCGTTCTCTGGGACAAGCACGCTGGTGAGAAGCGATAGTGGACGATCGCGAAGTTCAATTGCCAAACATCCCCTCGAAGAACAATCCGTACCATATGTACCAGAACCGGCTATCCGTTCAATATTTCCACAGTACGACCATACTCTACCCTTGGACCGTCAGGAGTATTATCCTACCCAGACGAGCCCAACTCACATACCGAGGACCGTTATCAGCAGACAATCCCATGTGCCTAATGCTCAGAGTCCACCGGTCCGGAGTCCTGTAAGGAGTCCTCTTAGCGCCGGTTCTACACAAAGATGGCCTAGACGGCCACAGGAACCCCCTATTATACCCCCCGTCAACACGACAGACGAGCTCCGCGACTTCTGGAAAGTAGCGAACGGATGGAAAGCCTCTGCAGCGGAAGGGCGAACGTTTTGTTTGAAGTTGATACCCGAAAAAGATACCCCGACTTATAACCTCACTTCATCTTCCACGCAACCACTCTACCATATGCGAATAGACCCAACATCGGCAAGCGCATATGTAACGTTAAGCCGACATGACCCAAGTAAGCCTTATAAGGGGAAGGAACCGAACGCAAGTCCGAGGTCGTCCGGTGGTATCCTAGGAGCGCTTCGGGAACCTGAATCAAAAGCATGGCAAGAGGCTCTAGCCACCACATTAGAAGAACCGTCACGCCGTCTACCACCTAATGACGGTTTAGTCTCCCTATTGTACCCTAGCGGGGCAACAAAAGTAGCACTCGAGAGACCGGACGATATGCAGGCTGTGATGGCTGCAGAACGAGAGTGTGCAAGGCTCGTCTGGGACGAAGATAGCCAGAACTATTTCTTAGTGCATCCGGCCCTGGCGACACCTTTCTGCATTACTATAGACCGGAACCCGGCATGGAGCCGAACCGAGTACACGGTTGAACATATCGAGTCGCCGCATCATATCGCGAAGCTTACGCGGGACGGAACAGGCGAGGGCTGGATGGAACTGGATACGCTTATAGCAGGACGTATCGACAGCTTTTACATCCTGGACGTGGCTGTATGCGCGCTACTTCTCGTCGCCAATATCGACGAAAGGAACGTCCTCGTCGAGCACTTCGAACCACCCCCACCAGCACACCTGCGGAGCTCGAGCTCCAATCCCGACTTCCGTAGGAGCACCAGCCGGCTTAGCGCCAAGATACTCGGAAAGAAAGGGAGCAAGAAGCGCGGACGTCTTGAAGAGCTAGAGCTAGATCTCGAAAGCCAGGCTAGTAGTCTAGGTGGCAAGCTGAATATAAAAGACAAGGATAAGGAGCAACTCCCGGGGACTGCGCGAACGATTGTTAAGTTGCTCAGCTTTGGGTTCAAATGCGTTATTTGGGCCCTAACACTGGCGTTCAAGGCACTCATGGCTCTCATAGTGGGCTTGAGTAAGTGCCTAACGAGCGAGAAGCTTTGAGCGTGTCATGATGAATACGGAATGAGGACTTGGGACCAAGGGTGTCAATAGAGACAAGAAGGGACTACAATAAGGGACTGTGAAGCGGGATACCTACAGGCGGATACGATACCATTACCATTACCATTACCACATAGCCCTATATGGATAGTACATATTAATGAAGCAGGCCGGACATTTCCTCTTCTACGGGTGGGCTGCAGGATATAATGAGAGCTAGCGGATTACGGGTACAGGTAGAGTTACGAGCGAGGCAAGAGGATGCTTGAGAAATGTAAATATGGGATGGGATGGGTTTATTTCTTCCTGGGTATCGCATAGCTCTAGACGATCTGAAGCCCGGTGCCTGAACGCCGCCTGTAATAATATGATCAAAAATCAAAGATTTCGGCTGATTGTCCGAATTCCTAATTTCATTTTCCGTCTCTGTTCCCGTGATATGCAAACACTCTACCGCTTACGCTCCCGAACCTTGATCTTCTTGCCGGACTTCGTGATGATATTTCCAGATGTCGCCGTCTTGGCCATCTTGGACCTTTGGAGCTCGAGCTCATGCTCGGTTCGCGCGAGAATTCGTAGCTTCTTTCGTGCGTTTTGTAGTCTCCGTTGTAGTTTCTCGAGAAGTTTCTGCCGCTGTTCGGCACGTAATGCTTCCGGGTTGTCCTTTTCAGCATCGTCTTCTATATCAAGATCTTCTTCATCGTCTGCATCCTTCTCCACTTCCCGCCGTAACTTCTCATCACGCTCTTCCACGCCCTCTGTGAATACAATCTTCTTCGGTTTCGTCTGCTTCGGTGCTCCAAACCCATCTTCATCGTCCGAGTCCTCCTCAGCTTGCGCGTCCAAGCTACCGCCCAATCCCACAACTCTCTCCTCAAGCGCTTTGGTCTCCTTGAGCGCGGCATTGCGCACGGTGCGCACATACCCCATATCCTGGGTCTTAAGCAGGCGCACGGTGTCGATATCCATGACCTTATTGCCACGGTCGCCGTTAACGGTTCCGGTCCACCGCTTCCCTAGCGACAATGCGTCACCAGGGCCCTTTCGCGACATCATGCCGAAGTAGAATTCATCTTCGTTGCGGTCGGCGGCCTTCTGCCGCAGCGCGCGTAACTGGGCTTTCTTCTTGTTGAAGTCCTTGGCACGTAGGGAGTAGTCCTAAGGTTTGAGGTGGTAGTATTAGCTTTGGGAGGTGAAGGTAGCATTGGGATGGGAATGCAAATCGGAATAGCATAGGAAATAGGTAGACGCCATACCTTGTGCTTCTCGAGTAGGCCAAGGCGTTGGCGCTCTTTTGGCTGCGCACGTTCTCGGTGAACGCGCCGTTGTACGGCATTTCTTATAGAAGACATTTTGACTTGTAGGGATGACACGAATAGGAAATAAAAAGTATTCTACTCTACTACTAAAGGTGATAGTAGTAGTAACAGTAGTGGCGGGGCGTAGAGATTCCGGTGATGGTGATGGATTGACGATTGTTGCGATTGTTGCGATTGATAAAACTTTTAGTGGATACCTTGATTAACTAAGCCACAGAAAGATAAGATAAAGATAAAGAAAATGTGGCGCCAAATCCACCCCCCTATTCAGCAGCCAATTCGACTCAGTGAAGCTTTCACTACTGACATTAACGTTAGTGTAGAGTTCGAAATAATACTGATTGGTTCGTGTTTGGTCCATGGTAAGCCGAAGAAAATTTCCCAACGAAAATCCTGTGGCGAGTTGATATCGTTATAAACCCTATCACTAAACTTTGCATAGCTTCGATGTCATGAACTAGGGTAAAATACTCAGATGCCAAAGGTTATGCATGGCATGCTGTCCTTACATGTATCTCTATATATCAAGTACCTAGGTATGTAGGCATGTTATATCTAGTTGAAATTCTTCCGTATCAAGATTACATATAGAACACACTCTGTTTCCTTTGATTATAGGTACTTTTCCATCGGTAGTTGCTATACCCTTGGTACAGTCCTAAGTTGGGCGTCTAAGTACCTAGGTAATATTAGGTAGGTACCTAATTGCCATATATAAGCAAATGCTCACGGATCATCATAACGAATCATAGCATTGTTGGGATCCTAAGCGAACCAGTAGTCGTTGAAACCATACCTACCTTAGGTATGTACAAGCTAAAGTACGGAGGGTGGACTGACCTCTACAGAAACAAAGGCACCAGAAGATGAAACAGATACGAAATATAGAGAGGCCACTCTGTCTAATTTTCAATCTTGGTAGATTCTTTAGAGCACTCCACTCTATTTGCAGATAGAGTACCTAAAGTAATACAGTACAGCTATTTCAAGTTGAAAATATTTCCACACCATAGTAGAAATTAATTGCATGAATACGGTTGGCTAATTCTAATCAAATCAAGGCCGATAAACTCACACCTCTCCCCAAAATTCTGCCTTACAGTGAAGTTACAGATTAATAAGGCTGCTATAAAGGAGGCTCCAATTTGTAGCCTCAACCGTGGTCTGGAACTAGCCGGTGTTACACTGCACACAACATCACGCGCCAACGAACATTTTTCGAACTACAAGTCAGACTTGAAGAACTATTTAGTGTTAGTCTAACCTAAGTTTAATTTAGGAATGGGACGCCCGTTGCCTTGTGATATTTGAATACGAAGGCCTAGATGTAAAGAGCAAAGTCTTGACGCCCAATCCGACAAGTGTATACATACGTATGGCTAATATTGGGTAACCATTCATCAAACAGTTCTACGGTACCATATTATTATAACCATACGTTTACGAACATATCTCAACGATGTCTGCACGACTAATAGCGGCTTAGTAAGTATGTATGGATGATTAGACCCTTTGTTTTTCCTCGGCTCCGAGCTTCTATTTCAGGACACAATGTTTGACGTGGCTGCCCACCTCCTATTGGGAAAGTAGCTTATTCGTGAAAGCTGTAACGACTAACGGCAGATCCGTAGCGAACTCTTCTCAGCCTTATTTCTAACATATTGATAGCGCCAGGGTAATTTATTTCATTTGATAATCTAGCTCATCCACCCCGAACAGAAAATGAAAGATGTCTACACATAATTATATGGGCGAGATTTGTTGCCCTCATTAGGTACTTTTGTTCAACTACCAGAATGTTTAGAAATACACTACGCGCAATGTTCAATGCTTAAACACCCCATAGCTATAGCTTTTAGTAGAACCGCAGCCACAAAAGTATGAGTTTAATATACGCCTCTAGACATACTAGTTTCATAGTATTCTAAGCGGTAAACACTATAAATATATGTAGTAACTCTCAGATATCCATAAACGCAGAACTTAGATTATTCACCTCAACTTAAATAAGAATCCATTTATAAGACATCAAGAGGCTCACAATTATACTCTCTCATCATATACTATAATACTAAGCTGTCACGATTTATTTTCACCATTAATTCGATTTCAACGCCGTTTAGAACGGAACACCAGTGAAATGCCTGGCATTCAGAAATATCAGACCTCGACTAGTAGACTTACCGATGCGCTTGACGAGCTCGAAGATGTGATAGGAAAGCTATCTAAAGAATGGCAGGATTTGCGGATAAATACTATGGGTCCTACTGAAGAAGCCCTAGGACACCTCATTACCAAGCTTGAATCCAAGCAGCTCGACCTACAGAAATTAAAACCGAGGATATTGGGGAATAAAAGCAATCGGGCAATACATATCTTGGCTCAGAGGGTCCTGTGTTTCGTCTTCCACATCCGAAGCTTGATGAAATCAGCTGATACCAAATCAATAATGTCTCACGGCACATTGAGCACTGCGGCTCAGTGTTCTGAAGCGATCAATGATCCGGTGTACATCAAAGGCATATATGAAGCTGTGTTTGCTCGCTGGGATCCGATGCTACGTTTTTTCGATGAGGTGTATCCCGTGAGGCCACCAACAGACAATCCCAAACCGTATCAAACCTCGTCCCACGGAACACCCGGGGATCCAATAGGCACTCTCCATCATCAACCACACCCTGTTCCCCCTCCACAAACCACCTACTATTTTCCTTGGGATATGAGCAAGCTATATGCAAGCGGCTTTCTGATATGATGTTATTCGGGAATAGGGGAGGGGGAGAATTGCAAACATCTGGAGCCATTAGTTAGTTGCTTGGAAAACGACTTCTTGTTGCTATAAGATGTAAAGAATCTATATTTATTCATATTCCGTAAGTCTTTCGGATCGTCATGACCAATGCCTATGCTAACTTTCCCCTTCCGAGTAAAAAAGAATAATATTTGGCGTTTTAAGCAGAACGTTCCACGAGGATAAGATGCAAGATTATAACACCTTCTAATGCAGGAACCAGAATAATTCAGAAAAGAGCCACAAAAGAAGACCCGAGCATATTACAAAGTGTTCCACATCGACCTTCCGAACTGATCCATAGAGCCTCTATATTAGGCCAAACCCAAAATCTACACAATGGTGTTAGTCAAATTTTCAAAATTTTAGCCTTCTCAGCCGGAGAAGGAATATTCGTTCCACATTATAGAAAAACCTACTTTTTAGACTATGTTCATATTGTATTAACACAAAATTCTTGCGTGGTTGGTAGCACCCAAGACAGAGTGACCATGCCCATCACGTCCCCACATAGAACCTCTCACTATCCAGATTTCTGATGTGCTCCACATGGAAACCAGATCTTTCCCCACTGGCGGCTGGTGCGCCGTAGAGTTGGATTCTGAGATAGTAGGATCCGGGTTGGTTTACTGTGAGAGACTTGAACTCCATAATATCGTACTGCTGGCCATTGCTTGCGGGATGATTTGTTTCAGCCTGCCAGTTTCCAACCACGTTTCCTTGGAACAAGTCCGAGGAGGCGAGTAAGCCCGCTGACGAATTGTCTCGGCAGGAAGACACGCGCACGAGCCTCACAATTGCCATCGAACCATTGTCGTCATTGGAGGGCGCTCGAATCCTTATCCGGAACCCTGCGCCCACTCGAACCCGCGCAGGCGGTGAAAGGCTGAAAGCGACCCCTGAAGCTTTTCCCGGAGAAGGCATTGTGGAATTCCTCTTCCTCGCTCCTCTATGAGAACTTGTATGCATGTGCAAGCCGGCGTTTTGGCTTTTGGTGCTATAAGGCTGGTAAAATCGAGAAGTAATGATAGTTAAGGACTGTTGTTGCTAGTTTGAAGACTTTTGAAGACTTTTGAAAACTTTGATGCTGCTGGGGAAGAGGTCAAAATAGGGGACAGAGAACTACATATTTATCCCTTTTCGAGGAACAGCCTGAGATCCCTTCAGCGTACGAAATACTCAGGAGACAGTTACATGTTCCTCCTTTGATGGGCCAGCAAGCGCCAACGTAGAATACATTTTCTTGATTTCCATGGCCAAACATGGACAACACAAAAATTTTCTGTCACAGAATAAGCATAAAAAAACATAAGTTGTGCATCTGGATAGCCACGTTGGTTTTTTTCTTGGTTTCTGTTGGCAGAGATTGCGATTCGTGCCACGACAAATCGTATCCATGCGCCGCAATGGCTACTGTAAGCACGGTCGAATAAATTTCAATTATATGTAGACTCGAGTGTTCTTCTATAATATGCGATAGGTGGTGTGTTGCATATATATAGCATATGTCCCTCGTATGGATGACTGCCATCTAGAAGTTTCGAAACCAAAATGATACCATTCGGACATCTCTAGGTTTAACTCGCTGCTGGGGATATATGTCATCATGGCACCCCTAACTGAGAGGGTATCGTTTCGTGTAACCTTATACGGAAAGGAGAGTTGTAAGGATTGGCTGAAAAGCTTAGAAGTTGTCAATATTCTCATCTCATCCTCTTAAATCAATTTTCCTAGTCGTGATATCTTTATAAGCACTACATTAGTTTCCCATCTAGACCCAATACTTCCTCTTTAGACTATTGAGCGTCGCTCGTTAATGCGCTCTAGCGAGGTCAAAATACATAGGTATGGCTCTATCTGCTAATAGGGGGGATTATTAAAGAGGTGAAGAAAGTATGTTTTATTCATCTCCTGAAAAAGTTGAAGCAAATGAGTGACTTTACTCAACTTTTGATTTTATTACGGCAACATCATTCTCGTTAAAGTGTGGAATTATGGGTATCGGAACTAGCCTTTCAAAATAGCTATATCTCATTGGCTAAATCTTACCTATCACTCAAAAGGTTCTAACCTAGAAATCATAGATGAGTTAAGTTACTAAGGTTGATTCTATCGCGGTAGGTTTGACTGAGGTTACATCACTAACACATTGAAGGCTTTCTTATATGATACTATGCTCTCTCTCAAGAATTTTCTCCAATGCCAAATCTGTATCGCAAGAGACATAGTTTCTAATATAAGCGATCAATCTTCATTAAACCAACGAAGCAATCATTTAGTGGATAATCCGGACGTGCAGTTTGGCCAAAAGTAATCATTTAAACGAAGCAACTATTGCAGAAAGAAAAACACAATAATGGACTTCGAGCAGGTGTAGTTACCTACCTAGGTAGTACTTTTAAATAAGCTAATACTGGTCTATAAACAAAACTGGAAAATTATCAACCTCAGGTACTTAACCTAATGTTAATTACCCCTTAGATTTACTACCATAGCTAAAGCGTATTAAAGGTTGATAGCTTAATTAAATCTGCTGAAATAGTGAAGTTAAGACGATATGTTAAAAGGCAATGGGATATTCCTGATTCCTTATTCATCTATCGACGAATAGGGCTTTTTAGATTTGTTACTACTTGCCAAGTTAGGACGTCGTATTGGGGACTGCTATTAATACATCGGGACATAATAATGGATGAATCATGCTTCTTGCCGTAAATGCCCATAATCGTGTCCTATATAATTCCGTAATAAACTTTAATAGGCGCAAGGCAATAGTTTCCCGCAGTATTATCAATGACAAGTCTCTTAATAGTATCAGCCTGTAGAAAAAAAATCCGAATTATTATTCCCATGCTCTCAGTCGGATGAAGAAATGTACGATCTATGGCCAGTCAATTGCTATACATATCCTTTTACTTGACAAACGACACTTTGTTTTCTTTAATAAAAGATGTGCGGGAAGATAATTCCGCTGCATTACGTTCTTCTTTACCAAGTTTGTCTTTTTTCAAACCCCTTTTCAGCAGCAGTAATTACGAAGAAAGTATTTAACAAAATTATAAATATTTTATTTTATTTAGAATTATCATTATCAAAAAGAATGTTGATTACGCGCCCTTGGCAATAAAGCAATCTAAAGCAATCTAAAGCAACTTAAAACAACTAACTTTTAATCCCCTACTCCCAATCGTGTTTGACAACCCCTATCAATCTTATAGTATATGGATGATTTCGCTATAAAAGTCGGCAATTATTTTGCCGCCTCCCATCTCATCTTCCCACTCCCAAATAGTTACTCTGATGCGAAAATCTCCAGGTGTTTTGATGGAAAGGTTATCGCATGTTAGAGAGCACTTACCCTTCCAAAATACAACGCTTTTTCCTCTGGACAAGGCATACGGAGCGCCGGCGAAATGTGTTGATCCAACATTTGACTCCTCCAAGACCACTGGATACGCGCCGATCTTGATATGATCATATATTGGCAGCCGTGGAGCAACGTCTCGTTTGACTGTCAGGGAGAATGGCTTTCCTTGCTGAATAGATAAATCTTTATCATCTTCGATCCAGAACCTAGAGTTACATTTGGCTACAAATGGGATTATTTCTATTATGTCTTTGGGGTTGGTTTGCTCCGAAATCCAGGGATTCTCCACGTATCCGGGTGCTTTAAAAGAGGTGGTAAATTTAAATGGCATTTTATCTGCTGTTTCGTTTTGGAGGTTTAAGGTTGGTAAGTTAGGGGATGTTGTTCGTAGTAATAAAGCTATTTATTTAAGAACTGTAAATTGTTACTATTTGCTTTAATAAGGAGTTACAATCTTAAATGAATGAAACTGCTGTGTTTATTAGGCATAACTGAGTTAGTTGATGGTATTATTTATATCTTTTCAGTGCTACAACATATTCTTTTTAATAATTTGGTATAAAGCCATTGTTTAGATGTGAACTGCGTTAAAACCTTGTGTTTTCATTAAAACAACACATTGAAAGAAGCTGGAACAATGTGTGCTGTAAATCACCTTATAGTTTGCTCAAAATAAGAATTGAATTTATTAATTAAAATAATGAGTTGACCCTTGGTTTAATAATATCTATAAAGATCTTGTGTGTTAAAATTTGATAGAAAAGAAGTATGATTTCGAACATGGTAAATGTACGAAGCTCACAAGTGAAAACGACTTAAAATAGGAGCGAAGACGGCAAGCAATAACCACTTCCCATGGGTACCTATTAATATCATAATTAAAACCACATTGAACATGATGTATAAAATCTATAAAATCTGAAAGCTATGCAACTATTCCGAACTAGATACTGAAATCTCTACTAAAAGCCGTCTTTACTAAGTAATCGTCCCGCACACGACGTTTCCCTGAAATATATTCCCCGAGCTACCATACTCGCTATAATTGGGCGTATCCACGATTTACTTGTTGGTCGCTCACTCTAGACGTGCCTTCTATACAACGCATTGGGTAGAATCTTCCAGCGACCTCTCCGTTTTCTGCCACGCGGTAAACCTTCTAAATGGTATACCCCCTACTTGGATATTAAACTGTGACAAACCAAACCAGAGCGCCAAGGTCATTACGGTAACGGCAACTAAGGCAACCCAATATATCCAAAAGTCATTTGTAACCGAGATCATTCCATCTGTTGTTTCGAAAAATGTCGTACTGAAGACTGAAGACACGAGGTTCGCCGGGAGGAATATGAGGCTGACGATGGCGATCCATCTCATAGAGGCACCATCTGATTTGGCGGAATGGCTGATCTCCACCGATACTTGCGAGTCGTATTGAGAATCGGTATGAAACCTCAGCTGGATTTCATTACTGAGTCGTTGGTGATTCGAAGAGGAGCGACAGCGGAGGCTGAAAAGTGCATGGCTGAAAAACACGAGGCGTGAATGTGTATTTGAATATACCTGCTTGAGGGATTTTGTTCTGTCGGTCTCAAGTCTAGGCTTCGCATCTGAAGATGATGTAATCAACTTTTGGTGCTCCTGAATGAGATCCTCGGAGAGTTTGACAGCCAGATCCAAGGTTTCTGATACATGGATAGCATGACGAGCTATGTCGTGCATCCTTGAATAATTGTACTTCGGTTTTTCTCGAAGAGTTCTAGGGTCCCTTGTTGGCGAGAGTTCTATAGTTCTTATGAGACCCCGAAGGCTCCAAATAGCTGATCCTTGTAAAGACACAAGCTCTTCTAGGATGTGTTTATAAGGCCAGTAAGGGTCCTGCAACTCTTCTTTATCTAGATGGCCCAAAAATAGCTCACGTAGTCTTTCTTGCATCATTTCAACTGGGTCAAAGGCAATAATGATCACCTTCCCCTTCATAAACCATCTTGTGAATAAGTTGAATTTAAGCCATCGATATTGAAGCTCGTGGCGAGTTTCCGATTTATGCAATGCTTCGGAGTGTTTTATCAGAGCACGAGACCATGTTGCTTTATCGATCAGTTCGTTGTAGTTGAAATAGCTGCCAGATTAGGTACTCACAGTAGGTTTCAATGGCTCCATCTGAATTTCTCTTGAATTCTGATCCGAAATATCCATTCATTCTTTTATATGTGTCTGTCCACCAGAATTGTGGCATGCGGAACTTGTCGATAAATATTTCGCGGCAAACCACACAGCTGCGAACTTCATTGGCCTTGGCAACCCTAAAATGACGAATTAAAATAGAATTATACCATTGAATCCAGTTATGTCATACATGAAAACAATATCATCTCCGGGGTCAAATGGCCATTTCGTCGTTTCGGTTTGAAGAGGAATTAAATCTCTGGTCTTAATGATATTCTCAGACCGTTTACCTTCCCCCCATGTAGTAACAGGCACGATAGAGTGGCACGTGCACTTCTCTGATATCGTAGGTTTTAATTCGAAAGACCCCATGGCTTAGGAGGTACTTATAAAAGTAAATGGTCGAAAAAGAGTGACTTGTTCAAGATTATTCCAGGTTAGTTGTCTAGGTCAACTTATACATATAATAGTGTAAAAGAATGGGGGCAGTGCTGAACTCTAAGCCTTGGGCATTTTACAACTTGCAGAGAAATATGTACCTAGGTACCTGACATAGTGGATAGCATTAGGTAGCTGCTAGCCTTAGCCACTGCAATCCGCCCCTTTAATCCGCCCCCTCAAAGTCCGGCAGTGCTACGTATTTCATTAGTCGTGCATGTCTTCGAAAGATATTCCATATTCCACCTTGAGAACAGCCTTATCCAAGCCCATCAATATCCAATACCTGTTTCGTCGATAAGCAGCTGCAGAACAGCACTCCATGCTTTGCCCACTTCGAATTATTGATCCACCCTATAAAATTACTCTATTCTAGTAACAGTAAAGAGTAGACGGCGACTATCCTCGCCTTCGAGGTAATGATTAGGACTGATGTTAACCATATCCATAATCCCCTCAACATTCCATCGCGTTTGCGTGGCTTCTCCTACCTTTTTCCACATCGCATCAAACGTACCTACGTCATGCCTATAACAGAAGGTCCCTTTTGTACGCGCAGGGACATCACCAGGCTTAACACTTCCCATCTGCCTGCCTATGATTATTCCTCTCTTTTTGGCTAGTCTTGCAATGTGCTTTGCTGCTGTTATCTGCTGGTCCAGAGTGAAGAGGTGGAAGACAGCGCTGCAGTGTATCACATCAAATCCACGCTCCTCAAGACTTTCCCATGCCTTTCCTTGCGCTTCCAAGACATCCGCAATCACAAATTGTGATTTAAGTGTCTCCCGATCGAGAAAAAGATCATATCCGAGTTCCAGTAGGGGCCTTTCGATGTCGAGGCCTACAAGACGTTCAGAAGGAACTCCATCGAAAACCAACTGGCGTAAATCCTGTCCGAAACAGCAACCTATATCCAAGTAGGCGGTATCTGCCGATTCCGATTTGAGAAGGCTTACGGTCTTGTCATAGAGAGGGTGAGTGATCAAAGTGAGGTTAGTAAACCGGAAGAGGCCAATGCATGGATAAGGACTGGATTCAAAAGCTCTATCACGCTAAGACTTGATTAGTTCGCTACAGAAAGATTTCATGCTTGATACCTACTATATTTTTTACGTGATCGATAATGTCAGAACCAGGTATCTTGGAGTACTGCTCGAGGAGTTGGTAAAAAGGTTCATTGACTTCGATCAAGTCGGTCTGGTACCACCCCCTATTTCTCTCGAAAGCTGATGCATCGACAGTAGCAGCCATTGCCATGGATCCCTATCTTGCGTGATTTTATATAGGTAGGTATAAGAGGCAATGGGGAGGATAATAAAAATAGTAAATATACGCTAGAAATAAGTAGTATATTCTATACTTTCAATGCTTAACTCAGTGCTCTTTTGAGAACTTTAAGCATAATCACCTGCTGTTACATGACATACGTAAGTCTTCCGTAAATATCCGGCTCTTAGCCCCAATTTCAAACGCGAAGTGCCGAAAGGGATTGAGTTATCGAATTAGAATCAACGCATCTAATCGCGCTTACAAACTCATTTTAGATTGCGAGGCATTCTCCGGCTATGTCGCAATACGAGTCAGAAAGAAGGTAGAAGGGTAAGTCCGATATTGGAGAAGTGAACTTAAAAATTAGGGGTCGTTTATCTACTCCCTAGGTTTAGCTTCCATTGACATTGAAGTTCGAACTATATGACGTTAAAGGCTTGGTTAATTTACGTCCGGTCTTTGCTCAGTTTCACTCTTTACCTAATCAGCTTAGACATTTCTTAATGCAAATACAACGATATAATAGATGAGATCCAAGATCAATAAATACTCATTACGGCAGTGCCTCGCTATTTCAAATATTTCTTAGTCCCCCTTTATCTCAATCTATCCTCTAAAATACCAAGCTCACGTCACGTAGTAAGTTCCAAAATAGACTTTATCAAGGCCAGTGGCCCATTTTTGCGTCTCCCAGATGGTCGCCTCGATGAGAAACTGGCCTTTCACTGATATTCGAAGATTATCAAATGTTAGGCTAAGCTGCTCTCGGTCCCAATACCGTACTTTCTCTCCTTGTAGAAAATGTCCTGGATCACTGATATAGTGATTTTCAACGGGATAGCGACCATGCTGCTCTACTTTGGTCACCTCGATTGTGACCGGTTTGCTTTTATGGCGCTGGCGATATATTCCCCGCCTGATAGTCAGAGAGAACGGTTCGCCCAGCTTTACATGCTTTTGTTCTTTATCTTCAGCCCAGAAGTCGCAGTGGTATGGTCCTGTGGCCGGGGGCCCCCACATGTTCCCTGCCGGTAGCCCCCCAGCGGCATCTGGCTTGCTATGCGAGGAATGCTTTGAAGGCGATGACTTCTCGGCAGTTCCAAATAAGCGTCCAAGGGTGCGGGAAACCCAGCCTGGATCTTTATCGGACATAGTTTCCGTTGTTCTTGATTGGTTGTAGAGTGGTTAGGGTTAGAGGAAATGTATGATGCCGACTGCAAATGGTGGAGAGGTGGAAGGTGTTGTCGATGAAGAGGAAAACATGAGCTACCCTCAGGTGGAAGCTCTTTTTATATTTCTTTCTTAGGATTTCATTTACTTCCCAGCTAGAACCAGGTCCCCAATAATCCGAATTAGCGCTCTATAGTTTAATCAAAATGTTACATCACTTATACTTGACGCGTGACGACGTGCCCATCTGGTGACAGCCTAGGCCCTAAATCAATGAGTCCCTAGTCTAATAAACCGAGGAAACTATTAAACAAACACCAAAGGTATTACTTTCCATAAATGGAACAATAGTCACAGTATTAATTGAAGTATTGTGTATGATATAAAAGCCTATAAGTTACTCCGTGTCATCCAGAATATATCTAGGTGTTATATGTCATTGGCTAATTTACGCTTAAATCACGGCCTATTTGGTTTTAATGTTCGCTACTGGGCCTATCAGTAGTCCGTTATTAGTTAGGAACACAAATCCTCGTGATTCAATCATAGTTATATTCTTATTTCTTACTCACATCTTCAGATAATCTTCCCATTGTACCTAGAAAAGTACTAAGTAAGCATTAGGTACTAAAGACGCAAAATATCACGTCATCTATCACGAGGTGGAGCAAGAAGCATGGAAACAACTTCGCTGTTACGCGAGGAACTCTAAGCTAACTACGGGAGCCTATGGCTATTCATACTGAAAAAAATCGTTTGTTCTAGATACCTCATCTACCTAGAATGCCAACCATCAAACATCCCAAGTACACAGAGTTTAAGTAAATATTCGGCGGTATTGAATTAACTCAGTGATCGTTCCCATAACCCCCTGTGGTGATTCCCAATGGCTACGAGCTATTTTACGGAATAGAATCTCGTTGACATTACTCCCCAGCTACCCCTTTTCCAATGATTCTGGCATCAACGGCATCTTGCAAGACTAACCATCTCAAAGCAAACGACTGATTACTTAAGATATCACTATCTCTTGCCTTCCAAGTTGATAATAGCATTGCTCTACTATCCACCGCCGCCGCGGTTACTCGAGACATTTAAGTCCATCCCTTTCTTATCCTTTTTAGAGGCGCTGTCCGAACGGTACCAGTAGCTATAGTAGCCACATCCACTGTTTCCAGCCTTGTCGTTTGAAGGCACTGTTGATGGATTTTTCGTGCGACTTTGATCTACCTGTGCCGACGCGTTGGTGGGTTGAGGATCTAGGAATCTAGTTGGCCGTTGTTCTGGCATGATTGAATTTGACGGGAATGAATTACTAGATGCCAGTACATCCCTCTTTGAGAATAGATTTAAATAGATAGTCTAAGCCAATTAGATACAAAGACATGATTGTTGTACGCCGGAATGAACATAAGAAGTCATTGTGTGGATGGTACCTATGCAAGACACGCCAAAAGGTTCGTGCGCGCCAAATTTGGGCCCCGCTAAGACATGTATTCAGCATCTAGCCAAGGCTCGTGAAGAAACCGAGTAAGTCGTACAAGAGCAACATGGAGGTATTTACTTCGTAGCCGCATCGATATTCAAGGTTACGAAGAATACTTATATTTTTTCCCCAATTTAAACTAAAATACATGTGCAGATTATCGACATACCAATTATAGGTCTCCCCCTTAGCTTCCAGTATGTGTTGGGGTGCTTTTACACTTATTTACTCTTTTACCCCTTTTTACCAACCCCTGTCTTTTAATCGATCCTATTAGATCTCACTCTAAACTTCGCTATTCACTATTGCCATTGCTATGCTATCGAAGCAATACAATAAGTCATGTGCTCAAAGGATTTATTTCATGGGCCTCGATTTGAATAACAAATACATTTTAGTATTCACAGTCTTCTTTAGCCTAATGCCTGAGACCCATCGCACCTCGCAATCCGAGAATGTACCGCTATACATTGATCCAGCATCCGTATCCCCTCATTCCTATATATACTTATTCCTGAACTCCCATCGCTTGAAGTCCAAGTTTGTGATGCCCATAATCCTCACATCCTAACAATGAATGAATGTGCTTGTCAATTATTTTAGCCGTCAATTAAGTGGTCGTCCTCCCTTGATCTCTGTAGCGCTTGTCGAAGTCGTTCATTCTCTTCGGCTCGGATACGACTCCGCGCGGTCTCGAGCCTCTCGACTCCAGCGTTGATAGTCTCGATGTGTACTGCCAGAGGTATGGTTGTCGAGTCTGCCAGTAGTTCTGGAGCAGCGACTCTATCTCTCAGGTCGCCTAGCTTGGTTTGGATATCGTACAAGTCATGGACTAAGCTATCCAGCCGCTGAACTGCCGAGTTTCGCTGCGTGTTAACTTGTTGCAGCAGGCCAAGCTGTACTCTTATGTTGTGGAGGCGACGGGTATTAGCCCCCACCAACGTCCATATGTTCCAAAACACCTCATTATGCTTCTCTTTCATCACGTTACTTGTACGCACGACATGCTCATTGATAAGCTGTAGTGAATTCTCTGCTTCGCCGAGTAGACGCAGTATTGCCTGTGCCTCCACAATGAGGTTCGCAATCTTGTCCGATACTAAAGCTGTGTGTTCGATGTATTTTTCTAAGAGTGCACGCTCGTCGAATACTGACACCTGGAAAGGAGAGAAAATCCAGTCGCTAAAGCGCGATAGTATATTGTTATGAGCCTCGCGGTTCATGGCGATTGAGTCGATGTATCGTGTTGTCCATCGGTTAATGCTGATAATGCTATCGACTGCACCGCCGACATGGGTGTTGAACATTTGCAAGTCGTTGGCGCTAGTCCGGACGATGTCAATGTAAGTATCAAATTCGTGGACTAGCTCGGCGCGAGTTGGCAACTCGCTATATTTGACCATCGTACGTAGGTCTCGGACGGAGGCTTCTGATCGCTTCATATCCATCGGCAATGAGACGCCCTGTGCCGATTCTTCTAGCACCTTCTCAAATTGGGCTTGCACGTTCATGAGCTCGTCAAATTCAACCACCGACGAACCGTCGCGTACCCCTGAGCGTGAATCTTTCGGGCAGAACGGAAGGTTAACCAGAGATACGCCTGGTATCCAACATATAGGTGCAAGAGGCGCTGAAACCGAGCTGATAATCATGTCCTTAGCCATTATGAATGCGCCAATAATCAGGTAAATGGCGAGGAGAATGGCCAGTGGCCACTGTGCGAATCGGAGAGCCATGCGAAGGATACCTATATTCCAAGAAGCAAGATCGAATAGAAAGCCGGGAACAGAACTGGTAAATCTCTCCGCAAGTGAAGGTCTTGGAGGCAATTCATCTTGCTGGTATTGAGATTGCCGCGCAGTTGAATCACTGTCTCGACGGTTGCCTCTTCTTTTGACAAAGCGCGACTCGTTCATAATGGGATTGGTAGATCTTGATGAACGGCGACTACTGCCTTGTTCGCTGTTAACTTCAACCGTAGGCATAAAGAATTCAGGAACGGGCGTTCGATCCTTATCCATAGAGGTATGTCTGGTGGAAGCGAGTGAGGGCTGAAAGGGAGCTCGTAATATGACCCGGTCTTCATCCGCATTATTGGCAAAGTCACGAATACTGTCTTGGGATGCCACACTTTGGGCTTGGGATGACGAGGTCAGCTGAGACTGTTGAGATGGTTGAGACTGGCTGCTGAATATGATAGGGTCGCCCTCGAAGGGATCCTGAATAATAGTGGTATCAAAACTATCATTTTCACCTCCGTCTACCATGCGCCAGGAATCTTCCACGGAGAGGTTGCTTCTGCGAGTTCGCGCCATACTATATTAAGACTGGTTTTGGTCAAAGTCAGCTCAGGCTATCATAGTATCCGCGAACTTGCTTCTTTTGAAAGCTAAACAAGGCCCAGTTCAACTTCCGCAAAACGAAAGTATTAAATCTTTGAATAAAGTTCGTACTAAGTGCGATATCAAATATTATTCAAGTTCGAGACAAGGCAGACGCGACTATTATATATATATTTATATATCAGTGCCAAGATAATATGAAGATGGTATGAAGATAGTATGAGACGGCAGTGTCAGGTCTGCTGGGCAAGTGTTCGCGCATTTACAGTGACTCATAAAATGATGGACATGGGCGTAATTTGAAATTTGAAATTTGGATTTTTTGTTTTGAAGATGCGTGTTTTTGCGTGTTTAATCGAGGCATCCGCGCACCAGATAAAATTCGTAGGTTTGCCATTTACTCGCGAATGACTTGATGTCACGAGGTTGGCGCCTCGACGTCTGATTGGATCTTGTACCATATCCAGTAATAAACATTACGCTAATCATGGTATTGTATGGAGTACATTCACTAGGCTGACGATATGCCGTATGATATCAGTACCTCATACAGCTGACGTTCGCCTGTCAGTGAATCTCTAAATTAGACTAGCGCGCCAAGCTAGAGAAGCTCAAGATCCCTGTCGTTTCTCCAATCCGCAAACATGAGCCAATCATTTCTTTTACATCGACTATTTTTCTTACAGTCAGCTTGTGAGCTTCAAATGGTTGTCATGATTCTAGAGTGACCCATCGATCGGCGGCATGTTCGCGAGAAGGATAGTGAGGATATACCCTCATACACAAACATGTACGATCCGAATACGTAGTAGCGAAACCTCCCTGAGGTATCCCTGGCACCGATATTGTTCATCCCATACGACTGCGACCTCAGGTCTCCCACCGAAACCCCCCGCCGATCACCGGCAACTTGGTATCCAACAAGAACTTTTCACTACCTCGATATATAGTCCCGGCACTCCCATACTGCTGCCTAATGGTGCACGAGTCTTCAATCGTTTAGTGGAGTTTCTGCGGAAACAGTATGTCCGATATGGATTCGACGAGGTTATTACGCCGACCATTTACAAAAAAGCCTTGTGGAGGAAATCAGGTCATTTGGAGAATTATAGCGACGACATGTATACGGTAACGAGTACATCGCCCTTGCGAAGCGATAGTTCCCAACCTGGCGACGAGGAGGACGAATATGGCCTTAAACCCATGAATTGCCCAGGCCACTGCCTGATCTTTGCGTCCCAGCTACGGAGCTATCGACAATTGCCTATTCGATATGCAGACTTCTCTCCACTACATCGAAACGAGGTATCCGGGGCGCTGAGTGGCCTTACCCGAGTGCGACGTTTTCACCAAGATGATGGGCACATCTTTTGTCGGCCGATACAAATTGAGGAGGAAATCAAGAAGACACTAGACTTCGTACGCATCGTCTACTCGACGTTTAAACTAGGTCCATATCGATTGGCCCTTTCAACACGTCCAGCGGATCATTACATAGGAACCGCCGAGGAATGGGAAAGCGCAGAGAACGCTCTTAAGAGAGCACTGGACGCGTCCGGCCAGGAATGGACTGTGAATGAAGGTGACGGCGCATTCTACGGGCCCAAGATCGATATCGTGTTGAAAGATTCGGATGGCAAAGAACACCAAACCGCTACGATACAGCTAGACTTTCAGCTACCAAAACGGTTTGATTTAGGTTATTCAGCGCCAGCGCCCGACTTTGAGCGAAGGGGAGAGGTGACAACGGACCCCGATAAGCTGACGGAGTCTGGTCTTGTAACTCCTGTTCTAATTCATAGAGCTGTGCTGGGCTCGGTAGAGAGACTACTAGCTCTGCTTATCGAACACTACGATGGCAAGTGGCCATTTTGGTTAAATCCGAGGCAGGTAATGATAGTCACCGTCAATGACACTGAACCGGTGATAGAATTAGCCAAGACGGCTCAAGATGTCCTCATGGGAAGGCGTGGGCCAGCCGATGGTCCAGTTGTAAACCCTTCTCAACTCGCAGTAGATGTTGACGATAGCCGGCGAAGCCTCGGACTCAAAGTACGAGAGGCCAAGTCTAAGGGTTATGGTGTCATCGTCACCATCGGCTCAATGCAAGTGCCAGATGGCACTGTCACTGTTGACATGTCAGGATTAGAGAGTAGCGACGGCGAAAAAACGTCCCAGAAGCAGGACATGCTGCCGGAAGAGTTATTTGCCATTCTCAAAAATAAAGCCGACTCCTATCAATAATGAAGATCATAATCTCCATAAAAATTACGAATTAGCTGCTCCGTGCTGAATGGATTCCGTGCTTCGTAAGCTACGGCCTGAAGAAATACCGACGTCAGCTCCTTAACTTTCGTAGTCATCTGGATCGGGGCCTTTTTCAACTCCTTCTCGCCGCGCTTTTTCCTGTTGTTCTTTCTGCCGGGTTTCCAACTTCTCAAGAATCTTGACCGGTCTGGGGTAAGAACCAGACTGGTCAGCATAATGTGCCCAGGTCAATGCCGTACAAGGGAGCATAAGAAAATAGCGACCTACTCTTTTAGACGTTCTGGGACGGCAACCCCTCGTGTCTCTGCTGCTTCTACTAGCTCGCGACGCCTAACTAGCTGCTCTCTCATGTACTTGACTGTTTCTTTCAAGACGTATCCCTCGGAGCGTCCATGGCCTTGCAAACCAGGTACGAGCTCGCACAGCCGGTCAAAGCCGGCTCGAATAGCTTCTCTACGCTTCTGTTCTATCGTCCTTGTCAGCGACTGTCCGGGGCATTTCGGATGAGTAGGATTGATCAATTACCGGATGCGATGTGATTTTGTTTCTTCTCCTCTTCTGTCAGGCGCGGCTTGTCGTCGTGCGCTGTCGAAGACCCGCCGTGCTCGCCATCCTGTGGAGATTTTGAACGAGGCTCCGACATCTTCCTCGAAAGACGTGACGATGATAGGTTCGAAACAAGATTTAACATATAACGTAAGGTAGGTATATATAATTTTCCGTTTTCCTTTCGGTATGATTATAGTTTTAGCTGGTAACGGTCCCGACAAACTCTACACGCGGATGTCTAAACCAAATATCGGAAGACATGAGACAGGTGCTGGAAGGAATGAGGTGACAGCCTATGATTATTAAGAGTAGGTATCCCCGGTGCGCACATCTTCCAGATAATCGGAGCGGGAAAGCGCTTTTCGGGGTGGGAGAAGGTTTAGGATTGCCGCGATGGTAAAACAAGTCGCGATATATGATGAATCTAAGTGAATAAGATTCTAACTTTTGAGTTCCTAGAAAGGGCATGTCATCTCACGAAAGTGCATGTGACACTGGCCCCACCACACATGACGGGACCCCTGTCCATCTCAAGGGACCTATTCCGTAATAAATCTTAGCTTAAACCCCAATTCCAGCCTCAGCTTAGCCACGATACACCATCCCCTGGCTGCTCCAGATAAGCTTGTGATGCAAGCTTCCCCGGACCTGCATTGTGGACCCCACCACGACTGCTGTAACTTCCTGTAACTTCCTGTAACTTCCTGTGGACTTTCCTTTAGATAGATCATCATAAGTTAAGGAAGTGTCGGTTCAGACTACTTCGCTCCATTCTCTCCGTCTTCCTTAAAAATACTTACTTCCCTGTCCCAAATCCCCTCACTTACCTAGGTACCTTTCCCCTCACTCCTTTCTACCGCAATGGATGAAAAGAAGCAACCTCCCCCTGAATCTACACCCTCCGACCCACCCCCAGACTACGCGACATCAGCTCTCGAACACGGACAAGGCCAAGGCCTACCGATCCGGCAACAACAGCAACCCCGGCGGCCCCCTCCCGGCTCGCTGCTCGACCTGCCTATTTTGAAGTACATGCGCACGCACCGCGTAATCCTCGCCTCCGCCTCCCCCCGACGCCGCACCCTCCTCTCGCAGCTCGGCCTCCCGAACCTCGAGATCCGCGCCTCCACCAAGCCCGAGGACTTATCTAAATCCGAACTCGGCGCCTACGCCTATGTTTCCGCGACCGCGCAGCAGAAGGCCCTAGACGTGTATGCTGCGCTCATCGACGAGGCCGCCGAGAAGCAAGCCGAGCCCCTTCCCCCCGCGCCTAAATCCACTTCCTCCGATCCACGGGCAGATGTCGATTTAGATGCTCAGCGCGCCAGGAAAGACCCCGACTTAGTGATTGCGGCAGACACGGTTATCGTGACGAGGGACGGGAATATCCTTGAAAAGCCCAGCTCCGAAGCCGCCCACATCCGCATGCTACGTCATCTACGGGATACTAGAACTCATCGGGTTCTGACGGCGGTGTGTTGCGTGGCGCCGCGGTCGGATGCGCAGTTCCCGGGGTATGCGGTAGCGTCACATGTCGAGGAGACGAAGGTGTTCTTTGGTCGCGAGCACGATGGGCTGCCTGACGATGTTATTGAAGCGTACGTGCGGACGCGGGAGGGTGCTGATAAGGCTGGAGGTTACGCAGTGCAGGGCTTAGCAGGAGCGTTATTGATTGAGAAGGTAGATGGTTCAGTTGATAATGTGATTGGGTTACCCGTGCGGAAGACGTTACAGCTTTGCGAGAAGGTGGTTTTCCGGCAGAATGAGGAGAGTGATGCGGAAGAGGAGGAAGAAGAGGAGTAAGTGAGATAGTAGTCGGGACGGGACAGTTAGTATATGTGTATATGGGTATATGGATATAGAAAGCGTACGTACCTCCGTTTGGAGCGTAAATGTCGAATATTAAAGGTAAGCCAGGTCGTACGGTGGCGCTGTCATGCCGTAGTTTTAAACCCGGCAAAATAAACTTAGGCTTTTTATATAGAGAAAGACGTAGCGGCAATATACAAGTGCATAATAGTTTACAAGTGCATAATAGTTCCGTTTGCCCTTATTTACAGTCTATTCTGACCATTTCGATCATCCAGTATAGAGATATATACAATAAAAATTTGACGTCAAAGATGTGGTATACGAATTCAAATACAGAGCCCAACTGTAACCCCCTAACGATAACAATATCAAGATGAAATAAAAAACTATAAATATTCCATGAATTTTCCTATCCAGTAATCAACTCCGAGAACTTATTTACCGAGACCTTCTGACTCTTAGTTAAGATCCAGTACTGTGTGTCCTGTTCTGTCTGCTTTTGTAGCTTAATTCGTATCTCGATCAAGAAATGTTATTTAGACGCCTAACAGAAAAATTAAAAAAGGGGCGGATGCAGCCCCAGAAATTCAATAGAGTATAGAAAATGAACATAAATCGTATGAGAGGGTATTTATAGTGAAATCCGTGAGATCATGAGATAGGTATATAGTCGTCCAGCATGAAGGCCCTCTAAAGACGAGAGCCAAAACTATATCCAGTCTTTTACGCATAACGCAAGTGATGGATGACCGTTGGTTGTATGTGCAAATATGCATTCGATAAGACATGGGCTTCGAAGTAACCACAAGTCAGTTATTCTGACCTCCGAGCTGCGTACCAGTGAACCGCGACCAGTACTCTTTCCCATTTTCGGGGAGCTCGCGCCTGTGGACATTTCGGCAGTGCGTCCGTATATTGTCGGTGCGTACATGACGGAAGGCCTTGCCACAGTAAGGGCACTCTATGGTTACATGGCCGGTTCGGTGCTGTCGCTTATGACGGGACAAGTGTGAGCTGACGTGTCTACCAGTGAAGGTCTTGCCGCACTCTTCGCATTGTGCGGCGCTAGTCACAGACGGTGTGGTGTTGCTGGTCCTATAGCCGGTTAGATATGTGCATACGTAAAGTAGGGGGACATAGGCTTCCTACACGTTGGATATTTCGATGCTGTTATCCACGAAGCTATGGATATTACTTCCTGATGAATCAATGATAGATGGCGTGGGCTGACTGCTGCTGGCTCGCGAGGTAGCGATAGGTTGTCGAGGTTGTAATGTTCGATGACTTCTGTGAGTGCTATGAGGCTGAAGTAAATGTGCCGGGTGGTACGCTCCGCTGTAGTTCTTTACTATTTCGTCGATACGCTCCTCGAGATCCCGACTCCGGCTCTGACCTCGACCTCGAGTGGACCTATTAGGAGGACTTGTTGCACCAGCCTCAGGACAGGTTTGCAGAACTATCCGAGCAAACTCGCGACACAGGTCAGGGCTAGGTAGTAAATGCTAATGATTGTCAGTCATCATAATCAGGTGAGGTTCATATACACTTACTGTTCCTAGACTGATCATATAATCCGCAACGTCTGGGACCGAATGCAACCCGCCAAGTAATATCAGTGACGACGTAGTCGAAATTATGGCTTGGATTATAGGATCCTGTAACGAATACGAGACGAGATTCCTTAGTGGATCAAAGAATAAACTATCAACATTCTTGAAGAATTGTTTTTCGGAAACCAGAGCGTTCGAAGTTAATGGTCGTTTGTTCCAGCGGATCGACCCTTGAGAGAAAAGGTGAGGCAAGCCACCCTGGTTTGTAAAGTCTGGTATCATGTAAGGCGCAATCCATAACGCACGGGGTTAATATACCTACCATCTATAAACTTCATAAAAATAGTGAATGGCGTAGAGTGGCTGAGGGACATTGAGCTCATCCCAGTTTCATATGGTGGATAGCCAGGCGATGGGGATAACCCATATACTTGTCCGACATGTCGAGGGGTCTGGTTCTGAAATGCGGGGTGATTGATCTCGTTTGAAGAAAAGGGGTTGTTTAAATTCGTTGCTGGAGTATAAGGTATGATATTCTCGGTCCTTGACGGTTCGTAATAGTTGAACTTCGACACATGATCCAAGGAGTAGCCCGCCATGTATCTATCACCAGCACCAGAAGCAAAGCTTTGATCCTCAGATAGGGTCCACGGATTTGTGTCGGGGCTGGAGACTAGGTGTCTAGGTGGATATAAAGAGCTGTCGGTAATAGACTGCGGATAACAGGTAATATCAAGATTTGTAAATTTACTGCCTGTCTCGAAAAGGGGTGTTTGAATGTGAGGTCGAGCGAGCTGAGCGTTCCCAGACGATCGATCTGCTGACTTTAACCGCTCAAATACCAGATCAAGGCTTGATTGATGAGTTTTTATTATAGGGATCCCATTTCTCCAACCGGTGAACGCAGATTCGACACTCTCGAAAGAATTTGTCTCGCAGGTATAATGGAAAATCGCATGTTGAACAATCATAATAGGGAGTATCTCGTGAAATTCGGAAGGAATGATATCTTGTAATATGTCGCCAAGACCTCGTAGACCGACGTTCCGTATTTCTGTCGAGTTATTGTGTCTTGTCAACCAGTCTTCTAAATCAGGCGGTATGTTTTGCTCAAAGCATTCTTGAAGCTTTTCACAGTAACCGTCAATTTTCCAGACGAACCACCAAAGAAAGCGCCATTGTTCTTTATCCCAACTATTGGACGAATTGTCCATCAGACTAGGATTCATAAGCGGAGAGGCCTGTAAGGCATTGTTCATCGGACGGTCGAATCGCAATGCAGGAATAGAGAAGTTGTGAAGATGCTGTAAGTTGGGAGTAGTAGCAAACGCCCCTAGCTAAATTGTTAATCATCTTAACTGACTTGCTAACAGTATACTTATACGTACCGCCCGACACGTTTGCTGATGTGCGTAGAGAATCGAGAAACTCGCAGGTGATAGCAAATGAATTAATTTTACCCAAGCTAGTAACGTCGGCGTCATTTTTGTAGGGCGCCATCAGCAGTGGTGACATCGGATAGTCTTCCATGTTGAAGTTTGCCGGAAGAGTCGCGCCCCAGCAGCTTCGGTTGGCAAGCTACGATAAAGGAGCTGAATGAGTTTGTTTAAGCGGGGGGGACGATAATCACCCTCTGACGTCTCCAAAGAATCAGGCTCACACGGTAGTGCTTCGACGGGAACAATTCCATTGTCGTGAAGGAAGGGGATCACACAGATGAGCTGCTTGGGGACTTAAAAAGAAAAGTTGCTCTGAGGCGGTAGTTTTGCGAGTTGGCTGTTAAAAGGTGGTGAACGAGATCGGGCTGTCCTGCAGCATTGTCCTGACAGCTAATGAAAGACTTAGCCACACCACTCCAGAACCAGACACAAAACCTAATCAAATAAACAAGGATGTAACTATGCAGTAATGGTATCGACTGGCGGATATCTGTTAGAATCTAAGTACAGAGAGTGCTTTTGGTACTAATTTCTCTTGATCCACGGTGTAAGCTGGTGTAGACTGGTATAATTCAGTAAAGCCCGCCGAGGGTCAGAACAATATCACATAGAAGCGGGGTAGCTCAGAACATTGGCTCGGCCACTTGTACGAGGGTACAATGGCTATGAGACCGCCAGCCTTTCGGGGTATTATGTGTGCAAGTCACATAGGGATATGTAGGCAAGCACCTACACGTATGTAACCCTTAGGCCATTGGGAATCTATTTGACTTCCGGTTCGCCCGTGACTAGATATCATACATCACATCTTCAACCTATAATCCCGATCTATCTCCAATCAGTGACGATTCTTGCCGGAACAGCCAGTTCGTCCGATCATTTGGGAGAATTACTTACACCTAGGGCACAGGGCAACAGGGAAACGAGGCAACAAGTGTTAGGTCGCGGACTTAAAGCAAGGTGACAGTAAGTGCTCCCGGTCAGGATGTGAGTATTGGGCACCAGTGCTTTGGGGGGGTGGCTGATTTTCAGCCATGAACCGCAATTGAATGATTAGGTAGGCTGGTCATAACCCCGACTAATAGAGCTATGCACTAAAAAATATTCGAAGAAACCCCAAGTGACGCCCGACTATAATAACAAGACTGACCAAAAGGGGGAAGAAGGTGAGCTTTCCTATCCACTCGATTACATAGGGCAAAACTATGAGCTCACGCAATAATTGGGAATATGATACGTAACATAATTTGGAGCATCCTTGGGACATGGAAGCCATGCATGGGCGGGGGGCCTTGAAGAACCAGAACCATGGACAGCGAACCACCCGAAATTCGGACCTGGTTCTGAATATCATCTGCGACTCAAGTATGATAGGATAAGATTCCGGTGCAAGCTCGACCAGGACGGTCGGTTACGATGCAAAATAGCCATGCGATGAACTAGGACAGCTTCTCGACTAGCAATATATACCTAGACATCGAGATATGGACTTCAACAAGGTAGTAGATAGGCTCGCAACTACCGACCTACTATGGAGGCGATTTACATAATATATTTCCACTACGATAACATCAATAATAGGTATCTAGGATGGATGTAAAAGAATCATGTAGGTACCTACCTACCTACCTATCATCTTTCATCCTCTATACAAAGATCTCAGCATGTATCCGTAGCGCAAGGGACGTACATGATCTGATTAAAACACGATGGCAGAACTAGACAAACATAAAAGTAGGTAACAGGAAAATAAAAGCGATGGCGTCAGACAAGGATGATTGTAGATATGCATATGCCCGCCCCTGACGGGACGATGTGGCTGTGCAAGAATGTCCTTCGCATCGTCATCAATGTCATGTTGGATGCCGAGGAAAACTCGTAGTCGAAAGAGCCTCGAATGTCTAAAACAACGTGTCCTAGTTTGCAGAGAAAAAGAAAAAAAGAAAAATCATCAGCGTCTGAGACAACAGCGGTGGCTGTGTTTCAGGTTCATGGGTTGCAATGTCTTTAGGTGTAGGTACGTATGTCCGTAGGAAGACTCTAGCTGGACAGGGGTCATGTATGTACGGACAAATCTTTTTGTACGTAAAAGGGTCATCTGTAGCGCTGTCTTGAACCGCCCCGCCGTTCTTCACCTGCCGAGCTGCCGGGTAGCGAGTTCAAGACCGGGTTCCAGACCGGGTAGCAATCAAATGCCCGACTTGAAGCGAGTTTACTGTATCTTAGGTAGGAAACCTAACAAGTAATATAGGTTCCTATCAGCCCTAGTAGGCTCTCGCCTTCAGCTGGGAATTCTGTCACATCTCATCTTATCATCTCCTCAACCTAATGCATATCCCTATCTCCGAAAATGACGAAGAGTAGTGCATAATACGCCGCATAGCAAGACAAGTTATTACAATATTACTAGCTTATCCTACTACGTGCATCTGTGGTATAGGTAGAACGTTCTCTACGCGGCATATAATCCCTGTCGTGATCCTGCCCGTCGAGAACGGGGTTCTTAGTTAGATGGGAGAGACGGGGGATCGTCATGCCAGCACCGGCCCGTGCCCGTACTTTCAATCATACCATGATACATATCTGAGTGACTACCTAAGTATGCATAGTGGTGAAGAGAATCAAGGTATCAATCCCGAAACCATTCGCGTCCTGATTGGTAAGAGCATTTCGCTGCGAGCGTAAGACATTGAATCAAGGAACATGATTACATGCATGCTTAGTTGTGGCAACACATCTCCAAACAATAAAAGAGCATCTATGCAGTCGATCAAACCGCAAGAGCCGAAGGACCGCCAAGAAAAAAAATTCTTTTCCGTCGCTGTTATGCAGTGCCGTGAACATCCATCTCTATTTTTCTTTTCTCGTTTCATCACTCACCGTCTCCAAATCAGGCAAAGGTGACTCACCGGTCTTCCAACACATCAAGTTGCGCCTCATCTGTATGCATATGTCCTTACAGATCGTAGTCTACAAGAGGAAGAGGGTCGTCTGCGTCGTGGCGCTATGAGAAAAATCGATTAGACCGAAATTCTCCTTGCTACCCAAGCGCGATCTATTATTTCCGGAGGTGTTCGTTGGGTATTATTATCATTAAGTCTATCGTAGCATTATGTCTATCCATATGTACGCCCCATCGCCCGATATACATGGCCTTCGATCATCAATCATATGCCACCTTGACATATATGAACGTAACCTTCGAAAATGTGTCTCCCTTTGAGACCGTTTCACAACACCTCATAACGGTAAGTTATTCCACCAACTACATTCACACAAATGGCAAGGGGTATGGACCGCACTTTAAGTCGGTTTGCGGAGACAATGCATCCGGGGTAAGCTGAATATCGGCTACCTATGCGTAACAGCGGCTGCTAACTTAAAGATAAAACGAGCCTTGCGCGTCTCATCTAGGTCGTCTCAGGGGATGTGCTTCCGTGTTTAAGACAAATTCGTCTAAACTAATAAGATCCGGCGAGGAGAATATCAAGTAAAAGTACCTGAGTGTTTCGGCCATCCAGAAACTCTATGGTAAATGTTAGTCGAAATGCAGAATCTCGTGATATTTATTACAATAACATACCTCCATAGAGTCTGTCTTGACTGTGACGACATCTCTAACGGATTGAATCGCCGAAAAGGCCAGATCAGTCTCGGTTGCTTTCCGAATCGCCTGGAACATCCTCCACGCCATCTCCTGGTACTCGGGGTTGCCGGTCATGCGATACATTAGAAATACGCTCTCGATTGCTTCTGGCCGTAGAAGATACCGCGGGTCACGTGCACTTGTGAACCCCTTCTTTAACTGTGTATTCGATTGATCTTCCCATTCTGACTCGTCCCATTCACACGGATCCAGCGTTTCACATTTGAGTAAGTTGAAGATTTCGGGCATAATCCCGGTAGGCATTGCATCGTATGCCCACACGCAGCCTCGGGTGATCTTCTCGCCGATTTCGAGATGTTCCGGGATGTTGAAAAGCTTGCTTCCGAGCCCAAACATTCCGCCGACGAAGCACGCGAGGTGCTGTCCCTCGGCGGTTAGGTGAGGTCCCGTATCATCAGATACGTACACATTTCCAGTGAAAAGTATATCGTCCTGATCCGGCGTCTTCGGCCGAAACAGTAAATTCTTTATGACAGTATCCATCGCTCCGCGGTAAAGCTTTTCGTACACTGGCTCAAGACCGCCAAGTATGGCAAACGTTTTCGGTAAGTATTCGTAAAGACTATCCGCTAGCGCACCAAGCGTAAAGCTGTTGTCATTGTCTAGCTGTAACTGTTTAAAGTCAAGGAATGTTGGCCACATGCCGGGTAGGACTGTTTTGTTCTGCCATTCGTCCAGGACCATTGTCACTCTGTTTATAGCGTCATAATATTTGTTGTTTCCCGTAAGCTGTGCTAGCCTAGTAAATTCGAGCGACGACGATGTGACGGAAGCAGACGGGTCATGATATCCGGCCTCTTGCTTACCATCTTTCGCATCATCGAAGTCCAACCAGAACGGCGGCATATGGTTAGGCGTGTCGTATGCCATATAGAGCATGTCGCCAAGCTCGACGGCTTTCTCGAGTAATGCCGTCTCCAAGCTCAAATCATACGCGCCCAGGAGCCCTCCAAGGTGTCGAATGGTAGTCTCGAAAAAATTGCAAGAAGTATCCCTCGTATTGGACCAATTGATGGTCACAGCTGCGGCGGCCGCTTCGTAAAATTCGTCTTTAAGGCCCATAATCCAGAGTGTCGAAAGAGAATCGACAAGCGTAGCTCCCCAACCTCCAAAACCAGGCGCATCCCTCCCTTTCCCTGATACCGGCATAAGTTCGTCATAACCAAAACCAGCATTCTTGTAGCTAGTCCAACTCTTTACAAACGCGGCTTTAACTTCTGCACGCCGGCTCGCTAGGACCTCCTCCCTCGCAACACCTTCGGGGCTCGTATCGGTGGTGAACGCATGTTGGACTTTGGGAAGCGCAAGAGGCTTACCGGTGGGTAGAGGCACATATTCCGATATAGGATATTTCAATTGCTGCTGAGACCAGTTGTAACTCGTCCTAACGAAGGTAAAGCCGAAGAGGGTATCGCGGTGCTCGGGGATAAGTCCGACTAAAAGATATAATACGAGTACTAGAAACAATGAAGCGAAGACGCGCGTCTTCCGTCGAAAGAGGGCCATTATGGCGTCGTGAGGTTGGTGAAGGACCTGCCATTGAACATTTTCAACCAACATGGAGGGAGTTGGTGAATGTTATGAATGCCCTCTTTCGACTTCTCTAGCCCTATCAACCAACAACCAATAGGAATGCTATCGACTCATTACCGATATTATTAAGATACGTGGGCCAAGAAATACGGCGGACTGAAACAGGCTGGATCTGACTGCGCGCGCTGTGTGAACTGCATTAGTGAAACAAATACTAATACAAATATGTGTCAGGAATTGAGGCTCCTTGGCGACTAACCAAGGATGAGGAAATTGTAAGTTGGGCAGCTGGGGGAAAGTACGGGTATTTAGGTTTAGGTATGTATTTGAGATTCGAGTGCTAGAGAACTGCCAGCTAGAAATTAAAATTCCCGGCTACCCGGCACGCTACATCGGGAGGCCTGCTAGCCGCTGTAAGCCGCTGGTAATTGAGTTTTCCTAACGCACCTGCAGGCTGCCGAACCGTTAAAATTGGAGAATTAGTGGGTACGCTACGAAGTAGTAGGTACCTCTTATCTATCACTGTATGTAGATCATCAAGGCTCTCCTGCAGGTACCAGGACAGAATAAACTATCCCAAACAGCAACGGTGTTAAGAGGTACTCGACACCTATTAGTGTTTACTCGGTAGTTCTTATCGCCTGCATAAAGTCAAACCCCTAATATTGATAACTCAATTAATACCTATAAGGCATTTTCAATGTATTTTATATACTCTACCTATATCTCAATTGGTGATTATGGAATTGAGGTGTGGTGCAAAAACTTACAAATTAATAATAAATCACCATGTAGCGTAAGAATTCCTAGTATCAATTACCTCCTCCGAAATGAGCCGACGGTTAGATACCTTTCATGGAGTCTCCAAACAAGCCAATGCTACTTTATATACTCTATTAGTGCCGTGTTTAAAAAGTGAACATGCCCACAACTTAAACATATCGAGACCCCTAATCTTAAACACACTAAGCATCGTCTATGAACTACATACATATTATATTACTTATAACTTTAGTAACGCGGTGGTATCCCTCAAACAGCAATAACTCATTTTCCCAACTTATTAAGTAGCCTTCCCGTAACATCTCTACAGAACTTCCATATCCTCTTAATTTTCGTCTCCCAGGTTCTCCCTCCCCCTTTACCCTTATTCCTATCCTCCCGTTTATCTTTTCCTACCACTCCATCGGTATTATCCACTTTGCCCACATTGTCCAACACCCACGCGATCTCACCGGCCACCACGTCCGGGCGATCTCTCACAACATGGTGTCCGCAATCCGGTATATGCACGTACCTCTTCTTCGCGTTCACCGCAGCAAGGTCTAACTGCTTCTTCTTCATCTGCTCATCCACCCCATCATACATCTTCAGCATCTCCCGCCTCTGTCTTAGATCCTCCTTCTTCATCCCGTCTTTCACGGACACACTCGCCTCTGCAGCCTCCAGATCCGCCCATTGCCTCAGCAGCGAGTTCCCACGAACCACGCTCAGGGGCCTCGTGCCTAAGACCCGGAGCGCGTATTGACTTTCTTCTATCTCGGGATCGAGACCGCCTTCTTGGCCTGTTTCCACGAGCACCATGCCCACGATTTCCACATTGCCGTCAACCCCATTGTCTTTCTCTGCCTCCAGCTCCAAGAACGTCCGCGCAAACGCGCCGCCATACGAATGTGCAACAAGCACGCAAGGCCCCTTCAACCCCTCGCTTTTTAGATACTCCCTCAGCTCTGCGGTAGCTTGTGGGGGGCGAGGATTCAGGATGCCGCGGTCGTACAACAGGACACGTAGGCGGTGAGGTATAGTGGTTAGCGTGTGTGCTAGTGCGTCCCACGACGGCGAGCACGACTCGCCTGAGCCGTGGAAACAGATGATGAGAGGTCGAGTTTCGGCCGCGTCGCCGTCATCAGTTGTGCCTGGATCCGGATCAGGTTCCAAGAGCTTAGGCTCTGCTTCGGACGACGAGGTTTCGCCTAGGGTTTCCATGGCCGAAGACATCCCGTCACTACCGAGATTCGCATTCATCGCGCGGGAAGGTCATCTGCACTGTGGTTTGAGCGAGATGACTGGCACTTTCATTTCGAGGCAGAAGGCCAACGAGGCGTATTTCTTCTCAAGCAAGATGATCTTCTACTCCAGGGACTCGAATTGACACTTCTAGGGTGTGCGGCGTTTGTTGGAGTTGTAGTAAAGAGAATGACGAATCCTTATGTAGATACGGCTGGAGAGATTACGTGCACGGACCATGGACACATGTTCCAAAAGACATCTCTAAGGCGACGAGCCGCACTGTGGTATTACACAGGCGCTGTACAACCATAGATAATAGAGGTATGTAGCCAATAGTATAGCCAATAGTAGTTTCTTTGTATTCTTCGGATTTTAGAATCGCGCCCGAACCTTGGGGTATATCCAAGCAGTCTTCATATGCAATTCCCATACCATACACCAAAGATCCTAATGTCCGCATATGCCCAAGAGGCAATTATAGCCAGTATTCCCCATAAACGCCCCCGGTAGGCTTTGCAATAGCCCAAATAATGCATTTCCTTTCAACATAACGCCAAATTATGCTATATGATGCCAATATCTTTTAATGTGTAAATCTGACCAATACCTAAACCTTCACCTAAACCCCGGGAAGACTTTGAGAGCTGTGCGTTTCCCTATTGATATGTTAGCTTCTAGACCCACTAGTATGGCGACGCGACTTGCATTGAGGCCGCCCGTCGTCGCTGTTCGTTTCGTCAACGGGTACTACAAGGTCCTGCATACGATCTCGTGTCGTTCCGACTGTGCTTGGTCTATCATCCCTTGGTTGCTCTTGTAAGTCGATAGCTTCTTCCGGCTGCGGAGATGAGATCTTGCATATATGCTTCTTCACAGAGCTACTCCACGAGGATAGCCTCTGACGACCTCTTTCGACGTCCACGGTGATCACCGCGCCACTAGACCTTAGCTTCCGAGTGCCAAACTCCCTACGTACCATCGAATTGGTTATCTTTGGACAGTAACCGCGAGGCAGCATTGACGCTTTGCAGGAAGGACATAATGAGCTAACTTGGCCCAAGAATTCGTCAATGCATTCGGGGTGGTAGATGTGGCCGCAAGGTAGTTCACGAATGATCGTTTTCTTAGACTCGAAATCTTCTAAGCAGATGAGACACGTAGGTTGATAGTCGATGGCCGAATCGCTCTTCTCAATCCTTACGCTAGCAGGTATTCGACTACCTTCTGATGACCTCCGCCCTATCTTCTGTGGGGATTTGACTGACGTAGGCGATGATGGCAATGGCGGATCGTAATTATAGGTAAATAGAGGGAAAGTTAGGATATGATGCATCGGCACCATCAGCCTTTTGATACCTAGAGCCTCCAGATTCACTTCACCCCGCATCACGCGGCGTCGTAAAGCAGCACGACGGCGACTCTGAACAAAATGCATGAGCAACGACGTACTGCCTATGATGGCAATAATTACACCAATAATAATCAGAATAAATGCCCAGAGCGGGAGCGTCGTCGATACGGTAATTACGGTTAATTCCGTCCATACCCGTACGTAATCTGCTGGATTTGGAGAATACGTAGAAATGATCTGATTGCTGAATGGGACTTGAGATAAATCACCAGAATAAAGACTCAGCTGTCTCATCATCTCGTGTCCGGAAGCACCGGGGATCGCATAGACGGGGTACCGATTCTGCGTCTTCCACATCCCTCCATCTCCTAGGTCCCAAGCATCGTCGTCGATATCTGGTGGTTGACTGGTATCGTTATCTGGACGATAAACAAGCATCCCTCGGATGGGGTCCAACCTAGCCGAGGCAAGAAATGACTGGGTACAGTCGACGTTAATCCACGGCGCTAGAGCAATAAGGTTGTAATTCGTAGGTGGCAAATTCACTTGTCGTGTGACATTTGATGGAATATATTTTGCCGCCTCTTCCTGACACGGGTCATCGTCGCCGAGGTCTGGCACATACAGGAGACCTTGGATGACCCCATTTGGCGTTGAAACTGAAGTAGTGGAGAGGGTCGTGATGTTCTGAAGTAGATCCTCGGAATAGGCTATATGGCTCTATCACAACGTGTAAGTAAAAGTTTACTCTTCAGGTATACTCCCTATTCCTCAAGTTTTGACACATACTGATAATGCGGTAATATTTCTGAGGATAGTGCTGGGAACCGAGTGACCACCCGTCCAACTAGGATTGCTGAATAACAGTCTACTCGAATATTAGCATGATACCATTTACGGTATAGCGTATCAACTCGATTAAGTGCACGTGTCAGGCTCTGTTAGAAGGGCAACAACGGTGATGATGATGATGCATGGCATTGATGAGAGACAGCAGTAGATGAGGCACGGCGGAATTGATAAAATGCATTTCGGTGTAATGTTACGTCGTACAACACAAGCGATGCAGCGATCGCGAATGCACCGGCGACGCACCATTCAGCACCGTTGATCTCATCGACGCTGGCCCGTCAATTGACAAGCATTTAACATCAGTCATTCTGCCAACCAACAACCATCAAGATTGCTAAGCTTTTCTTGATGGTCTAGTATATTCTTGGCAGTGCCCAGCAGAATGGAAAAAAGAAAAAGAAGCTTTCTCTTGGCGACGTACACGACATTCCGGACGGTTTGGAGTGCTGTAAAAGTAGACGTCAGCCGCTGTGTGCCAAGGGATTCTAGAGAGGGCTCGGCTGGTGCCAAGAAGATTTTCAATGACTATAATAAACAACTCTGGGCAGCGGGGAAAAAAAGGGACAGAAATAACAATAATGACGAAATTGACAGAACTTAAAAGAAAAGGGGTCCAAGACATACACATGCTCTTATATAATCATTATACTATTTTGAGGGATGGTTGAGACATTACGATTGATAACGAAACAACGAAACGGAAGGGATAAGTTCTGAGGAACAGGAACAGGAATAGGAATAGGAACGCGAATGACGAGGGAGGGATGATAGAAGGTAGATAGTAGATAATTGTGTAGGTACGGTAGGGCAGGAGACGATGAAAAAGATGTTCTTGGCAAGTTTGGGGGTTGGAAATTGGGGAAAAGAAAATGAGATAATAAGGGGACCCAAGGAATATCTGGCAGGGATGGGGGGAAGGGGGTAGGTAATAGACCCCATCTATTATCAGCTGAGGGAAACGAGGGTTTTTTTTTTATTCTCATGCAATACAGGCAACAGCTCAGGTGTGTCCAGTAGGAAGTGGGCTACATGTAGGTAACAGGTAGGTACACAAAGTATCTGTCGCATTATCAGGTTATCAGGTGCGCACTGGGAACTATTCCAAAAATTGATAGGTCAGGCAAACATAGGCAGGTTTGATGTGCTAAACACATCCCCTTACGCTGCTTTTACGTCTAGGTACCAGACATATAAGTGGCTACATGATATGACCGACAAAGCCCAGGTAGTTGGCTCTTACCGTATACGGTACCTAACAGTACATCTAGGACCTAAATTAGTTAGATCGTTACCTTGTAGCTGGGTGCTATGTTATGTAATGTGTCCCATTAACCCTATTAGCGCACAGACAAGATCGGTATATCCAGCTATCGTATCGTGTAAGTGCTGTTAAAGTGTTGTTAAAGAATCCCAGATACGAGCAAGCAAAATTCGGACTAAGCCGCAACATTCAAGATTCAACATATAAGAATAGCCCTCATAAGCCCGAGATTCAAAAAGAAAGAGAGTAAGCAGGTTACTCGTAAGCAGTTTTTGCTCGTCAGGTACTGCGAATCCTGATCAGCGCTGCTTCGATGCAAACCCCTGTCAGATTGTCTCGGGCTGCCGGATGCCTTAAACCCACCGCTCTCGATGCCAGGATATGTATTTGACGTTGGTAGTTGGGCGTTTTGTGGGACTTACATAGTGCCCTTAGTGTAGGTAGTAACTCAATTACGTTAGGATCATTAGGAATCTTAGAAGATGCCAATTCACACTGCATCTCAGCCGTTCCCTGTGTTACTTATACTATTGACGCAATAAGATGGGAAAAGAGGAATTATAATATTAGTTAAAATTATTACCATCTATCTGTTATTATATAGGATACTTATAGTCTTACCATAATCGCATATGCATATAAATTTGTAGAATTTAAGTAATCAAGGTGAGACGTATAATATATACCATAATGCTATGGCCGACTTCACGATCTGAGGTTAAAACGGACCGGCCCAGAACAAAAGCTTGTCGCGCTGGACGCCTTAAAAAAGCTTGTCTTGCCTCGTGCATAAACGAGTCGACCCACCATCAACATCCCACCAACCACATCTCGTCTTCTCCACGCCGGTACGTAGCAGTTGTAATGATGACATCGCAACATTTGAACTATCGGCTCGACTCCAACGAGGCATCTAGCAAATAAGAATCTTGCATGCGTATCGTGACCCGTGGTTCTAATATCAACTCATCCTCGAGGCGCTTACAGCAATGCTTATTGGTGTCTATAGATTTCAAGTTTTCAACTTATTTCGCATTCATTTTCCCATTTATTTATTTTTGCCAGGTAGGTAGTCTCGTCAGCGGGGAAATGCATGTTTTAAGATGAGGAATTCCTCCATTAGCTTACGAACAGAACAGTGTCTCGGATACTTACTGCGCTACAGACTCTCCCCGAGCCTTCCGACCCCCAGATTAAGAGATTGCAACTTGTTGGCTACCTAATTACAACACATTGGTAATTATCTCACATCGAAGTTCCGGGTTTAATTCGAGAATAATGAAGCACATGTAATTGCCTACAATACAGCCCTGTCATATGGCCTAAAATCTCTTATTGAATCATCTCCGCGGCCTACTCTAAGTTGGTTCCTGATAATTATATTGTACCTAGGTTACGTTACTCTGTGATTACATGTAGTATGTAGTATGTGAATAGAAGGTGATGGCGAAGGTGATGGCGGTCCGTCACTTTCCCGAGTCATTTCCACCCATTTCCATAGCGTTACACCCCTACCTCATTTGCCGCTACTTTATCGGGACACATCGGTAAAGCCAAGAAAATATGCTCAACAGCATCTCATCGGTGTGGGCCCCGAAATTCCGTTCGATGATCCGAACTCATCGGCCGGTTCTATCTAATATTCATTTTCCCTATCTCGACAAATCTAAGTAATATCTCCTAGGAAGAAATTCAAAATAGCGGTATATGTTCTTCCTACAACCCCTATCTTACAACACGATTTGGGAGCAGGTCAAATGATAGGTCGATAGGTCGATAGGTCAACAAGGGTCATGGTCCGCCCACGTCTGCCTTCGCTAAATATTGTAGGTATTAAGACCTAAATAGGAAGACGCTATTCGGTTTTCCTGCACGGTGGTAGCTGCGGTACTTGGAGTCCCAAGCCAGTTAGCCTGGGCGTAGGTGGTCGATATAAATGCTTCATCGGACTCTTCGCTAGCACATGTACGTTGGTGCATATTCACTCGATCCTAGCATAACGCTTAACAACCACCCAATACTTCAGGCATACATCACAATGCCGTTTTGCTTTTAGTATACTTCTCCTTAAATTAGACGGGCCAATAGCTTTACTCTTGTAGATCGGTGCTAGCCGATAGTTTGATACTTCTCGCTGTAATGATGTCGCTTTAGTACGTATCACCATATACATATCCTAAGTTCGCTATCGGTAATATCTTTAATGAATCCTGTATACTCGCCTTATTAATCCTTGAGCCTGTTTATGTTACCTATTTGCACCTGGACATGACTTCCATTGTCCCATATTCAGGGCATCGTATCTTTACTTACTAGAAACGAGATCTTCTATGTACCTGATAGACTTACAATAAGACAACGTATCAGTCTCTTTATGGGGTATAGCTAGTATTTCCTGTCACAAAATCGTCTTTGTTACTTATTGCCTGCCTAATAAGTGCCCTATGATGGTGTAGTCACGACGCATTTTGCTAGAATTTATCACCACCTTCACGAGCTTCGAACGCTTATCATTTGTCAGGGACCTAGAGATCGGCAATCTAGATATAGATACAGACCATTGTGATTGCATGGAATTAGGCGAGGTGGTATACAGACGTGTGTGGTTGTACATGCCACATGCAAAATGGCCTTATCTACATAGTAGGCTCGCTATTTAGTGCTAGACTATATACTCGGTAGATAAGTATAGAAATAAATACCGAAATATCTCCAGCAGCAATGATACTCCATAATAACTCAATGATGGGGCCGAAAGTACTGAAAACTTGGAGCAGTGTACAGAAGTGAAGTGTTATCAGCACAGTCGTGGTCCACGCCTCGCGGGCAACTGGAGACTGTTTCTCTTATAATCGTTTCCCCCAGAGTCAGAAATTTTCATAAATAAAATGACAACCATTCGTTAAAGATTTCTGCTGTCATTATAACTGATTCTAGACGGAATATGAAAGATGTACTCAAAACGGCCTGGCTTGGGGGTCCTTGAGGGGCACTAAAAACGCAAGCTTTTCTTGTGTTTTAGCATGATTCATGTTGATAACTGGTTGTCATGGTAATTCATTCACATCAATGGCCTTATTAATATGGACTATTCACCTTTTGGTTTCTTCATTTTTCTTTCCCCTTCGAAATTGTTATAGCAGCGTTGTTGGTCCGCTTCTAGCTTGAAACGGATCTCTTGAATACAACCGGCTCGATGGCATGTACATTATCAATCCTAACTCAAATTTGCACGAAATTAGTTGCACAATTACCTTCTATCTAGTCGTGCATCTATCTATGAGGACTTGGGTAGAAAACTTGCGAGTTAGCCCTAGTTGAATGTAGGCTGCGCTATGAGCAGGAGCTTATCCCACACTAGTCGATATAGCCTAGCTATTGAGCTTTGTCATATTTCCTATTGTCAGTCTAGTCGATTAGAACTCTGAAATATGGGAAATCAATTTTCACAATGATAATAGTTGCCCCCTACTTAGAGGGGCCTAGTTTAGGAATAGTATTCACGACCACCCTTGCCATCCAGCTGACCCTTTTGCGCTCGGATCTGCCCACCAACCAATGAACTAGCACTATCAAATGAGGATTCGAACTATACGTAATGGCTTAATGCTACAGGTGCATGGACGAGTTGTGATCGCTGCTACGATTAGGACTTCTCCTTAAGTCGGCTCCGTATAAGGTCGGAATGGTAGATTGAATTGGACGGTGCGCACATATTCTAAGGAACTCCATCCAAATAACATATTACCTACTCCTACTTTGTCAACTCATATGTGATTTTTTTTGTAAGATGCAATAAGGACCGGATGGATTAATATTCTACTTGCTAACGGTATATATCAAAGCGCATTGTGCATAATAGGGTATTATGGATCTTCTATGGGGCCTAGAGAGTATCACGAAATAGGATAATAGGAGGGACACACGGAGTGCAATCGTGGTGAAGTAACATTAAATCAAAAAGTGTCATATCATTAGTCGAGGGGTCAGCAATCAAGATATGATGTCCTATGGTAAATGCATGTTAGTCACGCGTTAAGGCACTTGATGGCAGCAGGAAAAATGTCGGTAATGACAGTCTATTTTTTGGGCTTATAATTTGTAAAAACACTACGGATTTCATCTAGATAGCACCTCCTACGCTATCCTCTCAATCATATGCCGGTTCCTTCCTAATGGAGGACGAATCATGCGGACGAACTTTAAGGAGCAGTGGTGCTGTTAGGCGGGGGAGGGAATGAGCTGCCGGGTGGTCCACCAGGACCTCCAGGACCTCCAGGACCGCCTGGGCCACCACCACCACCACCACCACCAGGAGAAGCAACACCGCCTCCCTCGTAGTAGTGAGCAGCAGCGCGAGCGGAGGCAGTCTGATTGGCCTTGGTGTCGACGAAGACAGTTAGGTACGCCAAGAGACCGTCCTGGAGCTCGCCACTAAGGAGAACGTAGTCGGCAAAAGGGTCGTACTCGGCAGTAGAAGTCTGGGCGTCGATGCCGTCTTCGGAGTTGAGTGTGAGGCGCTGGGTGTTGGTGTTGTAAGGGGCGAGCTCCTCTACGGCAGTGATGAGGCTCTGGTCGAAGAAGAGCTGGCCGATATGGTTGGGCTTGCCGTCCGTCAAGTAGGTATTGTTAGGAAGAACGGTGGCGTTCTCGGTGCTCATCAAGTGAATGTGAGGAGTTCGGCCGGTGTAGTGACCCGGGAAGATAGTGTCGAACTGAACCACACCATCGTCGTCGGTGATTTGGATACCACGGCCGTGGATAGTGTTGAGACCTCCCTGGCCCCTTGAAGAGACGCCGGAGTATATACCGGTAGCATTGCAGTGCCAAATGTCGATCAGCAATTTAGGAATAGCTGCAAGCGTGTTGATGTCAATGAATTGCAGGTCTAGATGGACAGGCACTCCAGCTTGGTTGTCGGTAACATCAACCTGTATTGAATAAGTTAGCGCTTCAGAAAGGTATTTGTTTTTTTAGTATCAGCAAACGAGTGCAAGGGACAACTAGATAAACGTACTCGAATTAATTCTCCTGCCACCCAATAGGGGCCAATAGTAACCTCAGGAACAAGAGCGGCGGTCGAATTCGAATCGAAGATAACGTCCAACGGGGTATCTAAGGTGTAACCAAGTTCCGTAGTATCGTGGGTGACGTTCAAGTATTTTTCGAGCTCAGCCTGGCCCCTCTTGGACTTCATGCGCTCTAATTTGAAATTAGTGAGAAGAAACATTGGATGTTCTGGATTGGCTTACTGTCGCTGAGACCGCGCTTCTCACGGAGGCTCTGAGCAGTGGCTGCACGACGAGCAACTGCACGAGCTTTGAGAGCGGCCGTATCGGGAGTTTTGCCATAGTTGGCGATAGCACGACGAGCTCCTGCCTGAGCATGCTTGTGCATAGCCCTCTCGTACTTGACTACCTCTTCGCTATCACCAGGGTGGGCAACGGCAGCACCGATGAAATAAGAGGCCGCCAAAGAGGCGGTGATCGCGCGGAGGTTAACCATCTTGGGCTAAACTTGAGAGCTTTGAGAGCTCAAGAGAGTGAAAAAGAATTATGGAAAGAGTGAAAGCCCTAGTTAGAACAGGCCAGAGTAGAAGTAGATAAAATAGAGGAACGGGCATCTTTATATCTTCAACCACGGTCTGTTTAAGAAAGGCAGGTACGATATACGTTGCTAATCGGTCACCGCCAATTCGAAGTGTTGGCAAGTGTCGCCATCACGCAAGATCGCGGCAGTATCATCTCCTTTGTCTCTCTAATGACACCCTCCTAAATTGGTCTCTCCGGGAATCCCCTCCCGCTGGTTCGTGGGATCTTCATAGATTCACCCAGGGATCTAATATCAAATCATATCAGAGGACCCTGCCCGCTTCGGCATTGCAGCCAAGATTGGTAGGTATCGATAGCCAATGAAAAGACGACGGTTGAAAACGCAGTGGTGCGAAAGGCTGGCCTGAGCCAAAACTGACGTCTGGGCGGGTTCCATGTAGATGTATATGAAAGTCGCGTGTCCTATTTTACATAATCTAATGTATATTATAGACTTGTTAGATATGTCAAGCTATTGACTTTGTAACATCTTGATTTTGATATCTTGACTCTCCTAACTCGTATTATCACTGTTGCTGTTTATTGGTGATTACAAGCAACTGAACCTCTCTCGTAATTCATACGAGACAATTAATACTCCTCAATTCTAAACTTCGGTATGTCTCACCTAGAGCATCAAACATGGAAATAATAGAAAGGAGACATTTACACTAAAAAAGACGTTGTCTCCGTGAAGCTAGCTTTCCAAATGCACCTAGCGTCGAAAGAGGTTCACTCTCCTAATACCTTATATTCTTCTCTCCATAGGTTCTCGCGACCCTTAGGTCTTAATTTCTCTTTGAACAACATAATGTTGAAGAATCGTGTGTAGTCTTGCTAAGTTTCAATCGAATACCATGGTTAATGTAACCTGGACGCGCGGCTCTCCTATACTATCCAATACTAAGATGGCGCCAAGAAGTTACAGTTGCATATTGAGTACCTATCCATACGTATAACAAGGCTCAAGGCGCGCTAAAGGAATATTTCGTTTCTCTTACGTCCCGCGAACCCTGGCATCGTGACTATGATAGGTACACATATTACATGCAGGTCATAACGAGCCTCCAACACCATAACTACGAAATATTTTACACGTGAAATCATAGTCGAGATCCACAACCATGTTCTTGGCCAAGACTTGTCTACGCCGTCCTAATACTTAATCCACGTCTACACCCCACTTTAACTACATACTATCCCCTTGCACATGCCATGCATATGATAGAGAAAAGCCTGATCAGCAAATAGGAAGTCCGATGATCGTAAGCGGAGATGAATCTGAAAGGAAGGTGGATGAGGACTTGATGTAAGCAAATATGGTATCACTGTGATGGGCCGAATAGCTGCTTGTGGATTACGTCCTCTTCGAAACTTACCTTCCTTGAAGATGGCGTCGAGAAAAATATGATGATGCGATTAGGGTGAATCAAGACACCTTACACCTCTATGCTTAGATACTACATAGGTGTTTATGGATTGTGTTTATTTTCAGTACAAACTAGTTCTAATCTAAGGGCTATTCGTATCCCTAATCCGTTCACTGTCTGTGATTTGCATAGCGAAGTCAATACAATCTAAGGAGGTAACAGTTCGATACTCCTATCGATGTTTTCGCACCATGTCCAATCAGCGGTACCTCTCTCTTAATACGTACCGGGTCTCTCCTCTCCGAAAAGGGGGTTCTTTTACCAGCGATAAATATTAAGCATCTAAAGTTGACAGAAATCTATCTTGAAAGGCTGCCATGGTACAACCTGTTCTCCCCCGAAGAAGTTTTTTACTGTTAAATATGCTATATGTGGAATGACGGGTCACTTCTACTCTTCAGCTCATGTATTATCTATAAAAAAAAATACTAAGGGGCTTTAACGGACAGTCAAATCCGTTTTCTTGTTTATCGATCCATATTTATCTAATCCAGAGTGTTATATCATTTTACACAAGATTTAGATCTAAATTACAGCCCTGAAATCCTTCCCCATTGACGTACTCCGCTACTGAATTGTTTGAGGAGGAGCTGCTGTCTTGGATATTGTGTATGAATTCGTATATGGGATGGTACCATGGCAGTGGAAATTACAAGCGGAGTAGTAATACAGCATCGCTTCTATTATTTTGCAGTGTATCTCCTACGACTAGTTATTTTCCAACTACCTAAATCAACACTCCAAATACTAAGTAATCTCTTTTCCTTTTATATATATCACTCTGAAGTAACTAGCAATATACATACATGTCAAATAGCTAGAATAATGCCAAAACTTCATAATAAACATAGGTCCCTAATAAAGAAGAGAAATCAGACTAAACGCTAGATATGGCTGCAGTAACGCATACACCATTTTAGAAAGATTCACAGAAGTATTAAATAGGTAAGTATCATGATCTATCATCATGTTCTCGTAGTGAAGTACTAACAAGCAGCCATGTGTAGTTAATTATTCTTAAGTAAAAACACATAAACGGATTCCCTTGTAGTTACACAACTCAAATAACGCAATGAGCCGCAATAACGTAGCATTAGGTTCCGTACGATATATCCATCTTAAGCTTAACCCATACTTTTACACATATTAAATGACATACGCGTTCTCTATATATTCATATTAGCCGGTCGCTTCTACACGTAATACATTGCCGATCAACGTCACTATCCTTGAGCTTTAACCTGGCACGACCCCGAAAACGTACCCCACAATGGGAACCGAACCCGGCAAACGGAATCAGAGACCCCAACCGAGTAGGTAGTAAAACCTTGGTCGTACTTATACCCAGTCGTATGAGACTTCCTTTAACGGGCAAACATTGAGAAGTTGGATAGTGTTCCGCGATGTCCAGAAAGATGCCAAGCCTTGATGGGCTGATTCTGTAAATGGGTTTGGGAACACAAGCAGGTCTAGTTATGAGTCGCGATAATACTTTACTTGGCATGAGGCATATTTATTTCTTCTTACGTTCTAATTACCCAACTACTTAGTTTCCTAACAGGTATTGGTGGTTTGATATACAACAAGAAATCGATGGGGAGCTAGCTTACCTATCAACCAACTTAGAAGTCGCAAAAGGTACCTAAGGTAGTTAAGCATCTACAAACCAGAGGCTAGAAGTGACCGGGTGATATATACACAACCACAACACAGTTTAAGAAGTATAAAACGATGACCACATTGGAAAAGAGACATATCATATAAAAAGGAAAGAAAAAAGAAAAAGCAAAACGTACAACACTGGGGATTCGCTGGTCGTCACCGACCCAACTACTAATCCAGCGATATGCGGCTTATCAATGGGGAGAGCGGACGGGATCCCGAGTTTTCCACATTCTATGGTCGTACGTGAGAGATTGTTGTCATAAAGGTGTTTATATACTTAAGGTTGCTTTCAGGAGAAGGATTAGAAAGCCGAACCTCCACCAATCAGATGGTCCAGCTTTATATTGTTTATAAGTAATACCAAGCTATGAGTAACTGGGATTGGATAAACGCCTCGTTTCATTAACTATTATCTTGTCACTACCTGGTTTCCAGGAGGAGCAATTCTCAAAAATCCATCGTCAAGTCCTTCAGACTATTATCAACCAGACTGCCAAATGTCGGAATTAAACAAACAAGCTCAGCAACCATACCATCCAATCTGCAAAGAAGTTGCTTCCTTTCCAGCATTAGACTTTATTACTCTGGCATATGCGTAAACAACACGAAATTTCACCACCTGCAACTCTGACTAGACACCTTCGGGGTGATCTCTCTCCCAAACCAATTGTTTCCATCGCAGTTCCTCGGGAGAGAACTTTCTGAAGCGCTCCTCTGCGCATACATTTAGGAGCCTTTCGAAAGAGTAAACTGTGTGAGCCTCTGGCATGTCATAGTACGTCGCTGCCCCCGTGGTTAGGGGGACCTCAAACTTTTGTTCATTGTTGGGATTAGTCGGTACTTTAGGTTCCTTGACATTGCTTGAGCTTCCTCAAAGTTAGCAAAGCAAACTGTACAAATTTCCGGATATTTAAGTATGACTTACCTCGTTCTGCCCACAGGATACACAGGCAAGACGTTTCCCCCGTTCTTTGGGCCCTGTAGCTCTCTCTCTTCCTTTATTTTCTCCTTCGCATTCTGATCCTTCTGCGGATCCTGGTCGAGAACTAGCTTGGGTTCTAAATGTTCAATTCCTCGGTTTTGAGCTTCGTGAAGATGACCCTGAATTGTAACCACGACGGCGGGACGTCGCTGGGATGCGTGAACCTTTTCGCGACATAGCTGGACTGTAGTTCCAACAAGGACACTAGCGATCGAGGTATGGTGACCAAGGCTCTGCGAATCACTGAATTCGATGGGAATTGAAGGATTCTCGACGAGGCGTTCGACTAGAGACTTGAGAAAGTTGCGAAGCCATGTGTCGGTATCGGGAAGAGTCGGGTGCACATCCTTCACCGCGTCAAGGAGTTGCGTTACTTGTAACCGGCCCCCGAGGCGTTCCATTTGATCTCTGACGAGATTCTTCAGAGGGAATAGGAGGCAGTCTCCCGCAATCTTGTATACTTGGGCACATGTTATGAATTCATCAATGTCCTTGTCCTTCTCACATGTACACATGCCCTTTAGCTTGAGATACTGGTATGTTCCCGTGTAGAGAAAGTGGACGATAACATGTCCACAATCGCCAGGGAAATTCACCAGATACTCTTCCAAATCGGAAATTTCGTATGAGAAAAACCTCGTGTACAATGAAGTAGGAATGATGAATTCTAGCCCATCTTGGAATCGTAGGATAGTTTGAGGACCGGCGTACGGGCTTAAAACTATAGTTAGTATCGTTCCATTGGCACATATAGAGAATACAAGGAGCCTTACGATGACTGTGGTCGATTGTTAGCCATACCAGAAGTATTGGCCGCTTGGCTTTGGCAACCTGAGGCCGGAACGGTAGGATATCCTGTATCCATTGTTGTGTTTTCGTGTAGGACGAAGGGTTGTTTGTTGATGCGTTGAAGAAATTGTTCCTGTTGTCCGCAGCTGCAGCCTGGATTTAGAAGAAATAACGAGGGGCAGCTCTTCATATCGTCCAGTCATCCTGTCCGTGCATGAAAATATGCCTACAGCAACCAACTGCCAACTGCCAACTGTTCCTTTTATACCATCACCGACATGCACCTAGGCAACTGCCCTATGTACCTTTGACACCTAAGGTACATGTAACCATACACGTATTAAACCTACCATCGAATAGCTGTGTTCCTTGCCGTAAGCAGGATGTGAAGAGCCTGCAACTGGGTAGTTTCACGCCATGTACTGTCACAATCAATATTGGCGATTAGAAAATACCCATTAAAGTGCGGGTAGCTTAGGAACATCACGAAATATGCAGACAAAAGGTGTATCGCATGTGTCTACCCGACCTCAGGCAGATAGATGGTGGTCCCATAGCTAGAAAACGAGCTATAAAGTTCCAAGATATAATAACAATGCCTCTGCATGCAAAATACTACATTCTCAAGTTAACAAAGTAAAACTATGCGGTTAACTTAATTACACAAATATTGGGCTTGATAACAGATTCTATGATCCTCAACGGTAAATGTTCTCTAGTAGCGCTTTACCTTGAGGGTTTAATGCTCAAGTTTGACGCTATCATCATAAGTCATAAAACCAGACTGGCTTCCTAACACCCAATGACCCCTTTATACCCTTATGGCAGCCATAAAACGAAGACTTGACAATAAAATACCTTATACCGCTGCGTATATCGTCGAAGTAGTAGCTAGGACGATAAGATATACCTAGTAGAATATTCGTTAAGCTCCTTTGTGATAAATCTTGGACTCAACACCAGTTGTCAGTATCTAGTGAAACCCGTAGACTTCTTTTCATGTTACCAGTTATCTCAAACTTTTGATTAATAACTTCCAGCTAGCCTTGCTGGCAGGACCCTATGCAATATAGATAAAGAAATGAACCGAGCTGGAGAAGATCATCCCTTTACCGACATGGTATTAACTTGCTACCTATCATATCAAATTCCAACCACGCGTCTTTACCGTTTGTTTAATCAAAAATCGTAATTATGATTCGAGACTCGTCATGTTGTCAATAAATAGAGCCTTTATTAGTGCCTATCATAAATCTGAAGTTTCACTCTACACCGATGATCGAGATAGGCATACCAATTGCCAACCCCTAACTTCCAACTCAAAGTACAGCCAGGTCAGCAACCACAGCCCGATGATCGCTAATAAAAACACCGTCTATATCATTGTTCAGGAACTCAAACTGTTGCGCCGAATACCGATCCTCGCCCTTAGGACCGAACCAGACGAAGTCGATGCGGCTCTTGCCCGTCGTTGAAAAGCCCGTGTACGTTAGTTGATTAGTTCCCAGCCTTTTCGCCCCCGAGTTCCACAGCTCGGTCAGATACCCCGTGTCCTCGAGCGTAGTGTACGCATCGCCGCCTGGCTCCGAGTTGAAGTCGCCAGTTAACGTTACACCTAACGGACCGTACTTATCCTGCACAGCCCGGATGCGCGACAAAACGACCTTGATCCCCTCGCTACGCGCCTGCGAGCTCACGTTGTCTAGGTGCGTATTCGCGTGGATGAAACGCTTTCCGGTTTCGATGTGCTCAAAGACAGCAATCACGCTGACTCGTCGGCTACCGGCGCCCCATCCGAACGAGACCTCGTCTGGAGTAGGCGATAGCCATTTCTGCTCGCTGTACAATAGCTTGAGGACGTCGGTGCGGTAGATAATTGGATTGTACTCGCCCTTCTTCTTGCCATCGTCTCGGCCAAAGCCAAAGTGAGTCCAGACGTCGGTTCCTAAACCGTTCTTGATGTCGTTTAGTTGGGCGTCGAGAACTTCTTGGAGGCCCAGCACTGAGACAGCCCCGGCCGCCGATGCATTGGCTGTTACTGACTTGAGTTGGTTGATGAGACCTGTACGGCGGTCCGACCAGGGCTTTTCATTGTTGTCAAGAGACGTCGCGGCGTACCGAACGTTGAAAGAGACGATGCGCAGAGGTAAACTTGCTGCCATGGCTACATTGGTGGCAGCTAGGAGATTAGTGATGGTGGTTAAGAGCTTCATCTTGGTAGGGTGTATTTAATATCTGCCACTATAAAGTGAAGGTGCTAAGATCACAATTAATTTAATGATCTAAACCCAATTATTTATACTTAGAAAGGATTCTAAAAGTTTCGGTCGCTCCCGAGATCACGACTTAATTTTGACGCACGCCATTGTTACTCAGCTTCTGATTCAAGGAAGCTCCGAGTTAGAAATCCTACGATGGCGCCAAAAAGAAGCACGTGGGGTAACACCAGATCTCAAAAACAGCTTGGCTGCAGGTTTTAGGATAAATCTGCTGCGTATTTGTGTGCCAAGATACGACGATAATACCATGTGCCGATACGAGTGGTGTCTGCCTTTTTAAATAGGAAATCAGTGACTACTTGAAGGAAGTGGTGCTATACGATGCCAATGGACTCAACTCATGATCATCTTAGCATTATGGGAGTCAAAGCAAAACACTGAAAGTCTTTTAGTAAAATCTCTATTGTACTTTATGTACTTTATCTACGACAATGAGGATTTTAGATTTTAATACAGATAATAATATGGTTTGTTTCCTTCCAAGTCTATTACTTACAAGATTTAACAGAATAGCATCGAGTCTTAACAGAGACAGGGTCACTAAACATGGAACAAAAGTAGCATAAAAACATCACTCCAAGAAAAAAAAAACCAGCCACCCAAGAATCGTCTCTGTATTTAAGTGCTTTTAACATACGTGAAGTTTCTATATACTTTCCATCGCATCTCCCAACCTATATACATCCACCCACGTTGTACCCCCGTCTTCCCCCTCAGAACCCCCCTAGATACCAATCCCTCTACCAACCCCTCTCTTAATCTTCGCACCTAGCTGTTGCGGGAGCAGCCGCTCTTCTCAGTGAGAGCCGAGGGGCACGTAACCTGCTTGAAGCTGACGGCCGGGTTGTCCGCGCCGCCAAACCAGTCGAAGCGCCAGTAGCAGCCCGCCTTCAGCGCCTCGGGGAACCCGTCGCAGGCCTCGCGCGAGCTCACACCGCCGTACCGCTCGCCCCACCCGTTGGACGGAGCGCCGTACTGGTCCGTGCAGGCGTTGAAGATTCCGACACCACCGCCGGGGATCTACATGGGGGTTAGTGCTTGCTTATCTATAGATTGACTCCGGGTATGTGAGGGTTGGGGGGGAAGTAGAGAGAGAGAGAAGTATGATTATAAGTAAGAACGGGAACGACGTACCGCAAGATCAAAGTGGTTCTCGCCCAAGTCGCCTCCCGTGTTGCTAGCCTGGACGATCATCTTCTTGCCGCTAACCGGACCGCTGGTAAAGGTCAATTCGTAGCAAGCGCAGCACCACGTAGTCTCGGTCTGTCCCTGGATTCTCACGGCAGCCCATCCGTAACTAAGAGTGTCGTCGACGGCCCACGGGCTCTGGTTGCTGCACATGTATGCCGAGCCGCCGTTGTCGCACGCGCTCTTGGTCGCTCCGTTGTCGCCGAGCGGCTGGTCCGCCTTGCTACAGGTACCGATCATTTTTCCGCTGTCGGTTTTCTGTGACCATGCGCAGCTCGGCTTGCAGCAGTCCCAGTATCGTGTCGTCTGTCCCGACCCGGACGCCTGCCCCGACACCAACTGCGCTAGCAAGGGGACCGCGAGTCCCAAGGTTGCTGTGAGCTGCATTGTTCCTTTTGAGATATATTCGAACTGACTGTATTTTCGTATCGAGTCTACGGTATGAAGGGAAGAAACAGAAGAGGAGCAGCACGCAATCCGGAAACCAGCCAGTCTTTAAAGATCTCACGACCGTGCTGAGCTACTTACCAGGCTGAAAGTAAGGCCGCCGATCTTATTCCCTCATAACGGCCCACCGGAAGTAGTAATCTCTTTCCATATTCATGGAATCTCTGGGCACTCGGGGCACTCTGCCGTTAGGGCGGCTTGGGTCGTGTGGCGACCGCCCTGGCGGAATCTTACATAGCATTATATAGGTGATAATATAGGGGATATATAGGGATTATCGCAGGTAAGACCATGTTAATGGAACGGAACTTAACTGGGTGGAGCTAGGGGCTGGCAAAATCGGGAAAGCTATCTGGAAAAAGGCCTGGTGTCCAATAGCCGTCGGGAATCTGGCTCCGTGAGGTCATACCAGAAGTAGGGCAGCTTAAGAGGACATCTTTGGCAATACCCCACTATACTGTAGCTAGATGCGGAGAAGATATACAACTTATATCTACGCCCTTGATTATATCTTGCATACGAGGTAGTCACTAATTTTTCTTAATTAATCATAAAATAGTATCATCCTTGATAAAGCTTGGTTGACTGGCTAAAGAGATAAAACTACCTAAAGTAAAAGCTTACATCATTGTAGATTTACCTACGTCGTAACTTTTGGGAGTATCCTCAACGCAACGCACGCCGAAATCTCTTGTGATCACACTCGGACAACCTAAGAACTCCTCGCCAATACCGCCAGTCGTACGTCAAGAGCTATCTAATTCGAACGAAACCTTCTCTAAAGGCCCCATCCGCTGCCTCCTTCGTCACGACGGCGGCGGCCACCTTCGTCAAGGGCGTCACCAACTCGGCTTATAACCGTATCTAGGAAACCACCTTCATCATTGTCACGACTTTGATCGCGACGCTCTTCACGACGATCTTCAGATCTGTATTCGGAGCTTTCCTCGCGGCGTTCATAACCACCATCGCCGCCGTAATCACGTCGACTACCGTAGTTCTCCTGGCGTTCGCCGTAGTTATCATTATCATTGCTATCACGCCGGTTCCGGCTGCTGGATTCTTGGTAGCTGTCGTCGTTACTTTCATACCGACGTTCAGTGCGTTCCTCATATCCACCGCCGTAGCTCGGACGAGTATCGGTGCGCTCTTGGTAACCGTAGCCTCGACCCCCGTTTTCATCTTGCTCGTAGCGGCGATATTCCCTGCTCTCGCCCCCCTCGGAATCTCGGTTCTCGGAGTATTCAGCCTGGCCATAGCGATCCCCAGAGCGTCCGTACTCGGTGCGGCTCTCGGTGTACGATCCGTCGTCACCCTCGCGCCTGCTCCCGAAAGATTCGGTTTCATTGCTCTTGAAAGCCCCGCCTAGAAGAGAGTTTCCGATAGCCCCGAGAAGTCCACCACCACCGGGACTACTGGATCCTTGATTTCCATAGTTGGGTAAGTTGATTTGTCCGCCAGATTGGGCACTAACGAAGTCAGAGACGCCACCAGTGAGGCCTCCGACAATAGCACTAGCGGCTTGGCTTGCGATACGGTCTTCCATAGTTCCGCCCTCAGCGAAATTTTTGTGCATTCCAAGAGGCTTTCCGCAACCATGACCAGAATCGTGGACACCTTCCTTGTGATTCTCGCCGTTAAATACGCCATCGCGAGAAAGCTTTTGGCGGTATTCATCCTTGGCGCCTTCGTCCATCTGGCTCCACCACTCCTCGACGGAGCGAAACATGATTTGTCGCCCATCACGAGCACCATCTTCTCCCATATCGCGCTGAGCTGGATGGTGTAGCACGCCATAGATAATACGGTTCAGCAGGCGATCGACATCAGCACCTTCGTCATCCCAGGCATCCATGATCTGAGGAACAACCCAGGAAACGACCTTGCTAGCAGTCTTTCCTGCAATCTCGTTAAGGATCTATAAAACAGTTAGTATGATAAATAGTTAAATTAAGCGGTAGCCACTCACGTTAGTGAAATGATCCTTGGAGAGCATGGAGTGCGTCGGATCACTGCATTGGTCATCATCAAAGACGACGTGCTGCTCGTTCTTGCTACTCTCAATGATTTCGGACGAACCGGTACGAAGTTCATTCTTAACCTGCTGGATAATAGGGACCACAAAGGGTGCCATAATCGAGAATGTCCACATCGAGAGCTGCTCCTCCAGCTGTTCAATGATCTGGGGTAGAATAGGAATTTTCTCAACCGCCTCGCCGATACTCTTCATAAGATCATCATGGAACTCAATGGCGGGCATGATCTGCTGGAAGACTTGCTGGATATACTCTGTAAACTCTTCCGGTTCTCTTGGGGAGATTGATGTGTTAGCCATCTGTGCATTGGCGGCGTTGCTCTGGATATCTTCCATCTTCTGTTTCTTGTTATCACCGCCGAAAATACCATCTGGGATCTTGTCAATGAGTCCTTCCAGAATGCTTGTATCGTTTTTCCTTGAATTCTCCTCGAGAGTGCCCTCGAGTTCTTGGATTTCATTCTGCGTCAATTTGTCCGAGACTAAGAGGATGTCGAGTTAGATATACCAGAAATTTTGCCAAGTAAATTTTGTAGGGTGTAGCTAACCTTCTCCGGTGACAGAGTGTAGGAAGTCAACACCACCAAAGGTTCCAGTAATGCAGGGATAGACTTCATGTCGAGCGCCGGGGATTTGAATTTTGGTGTCTCTACCGACGTGTGGAAAGATATCTCGCTCGCCAAGCTCGATAAGCGCTAACTCCGTGTAGTTGCTGTGGGCTAAGAAATCTATTCGATCTCGAGTTAGCTTTATATAGACACAAGAAAGAGCATTTGCAGCTCAAGATGACACTAGACACAATACCTTCAAGACAGTGGAGACCAGTTCCAAGCAATCGCAAAGCCTCATACAAATCACTCTTGCTCTTGTTCTGCTTGTAAGAGCGGCCAAGTTCAATGCAGCGACCAAATAGCCGTCTAACGTGCAGTGCCGATGTCATTATTCTAGAATTCTCGTTGGCAATGTAGTTCTTCAGCCCCGTCTCCGGGTCGACAGCGAGCTCGACACGTTCGTCAACGGGACCACGCAGTCTTTGGTCGTACTGACGCGCATCCTCGTTGTCGGCGTAATTCTTGGGGTTGTCGATGTGGTCTTCGGGTCGGTAGCAGCCAAGGCGCTCGGCAGTGACTTCAAATTCTTTGGAGCCAAAGCCAAAGGTCAAGAAGCCAAGAACACATAAAAGGAGTCGGATAGCTTCGGCAGAGACTGACTTGACCGTACCAACATCGATGGCTTGGGAGTAATCTCGAAGCCAGTTACCGAAGTAGACACGGGAGACCATAAGCTTGTTGAACTTCTTGCCTCCAACGGCTCGGGCCATTATAATAGAAAGAAGGGTGTCTTCAATATCGCCATGACGCCCTAGACGCAAATTCAGGTTAGATTTCCCACCAAGATATGCTTTCACAGCGCACGCGAGGAGAAAACTAACAGTTCTGTCCCTCAATCTTGGAGATACCTATAACGAGAAAGTTAGCCCTATCAACGTGAGGTTTGCGCTACATCATTATTGACTAGCAGGTAAAGCATACCGGCGATGTTACCAGCACCAAAGGCGAGGGCCGGTCGAGCGAACACAAAAAGGAATACCAACCCCAAAAAGGCGGGGAAAGGCTTGAGGGTGATCATTTTTGGATCTATCGATAATATTTAGGTATATAGTGAGTGAATGTTGATGCTTTGGTAATAGTATTAGACGATTGAGTTGGTGTTTTGACCTCAAACTAGGTCAACTAAGAAATAAGGCCAACTTAATTTGCTAGGAAATACCACAAATAATAAGCTGATGATGTTCGGGGGCTGCACATTTGGAGGCCCTCAGGAATTTGGAAAGGAAAAGGAGGGGGAGGGGTAGCAGAGCTTAGCTGTTCTAGGTAACGTAATCCTGGTGTTAGGGTGTTAGGGTGTTAGTAGTGCAACAGATCGTCAGTTTTGGAGGGGGAGCGAGGGGTCGATTGGTTGGCTCGTGTTTCAACTCGTGTAACTTATGCATATGTCTGCCAAGCCCACCATACCGGTTTTAAGTGGATCCCATTTGATCATAACTGAAACGATTTATATACGAGCGCGGAAAGGGCGAGTTTACAGATGTACTCAAGACTTCTACTTACTAGCTTGCAGCTAGAGTAGTAGCTGTAGAAGTACAAGAAGCACAGTGAGTACTGTGTAATCTACTATCGGAAATCCGGCTCAGAAAAGACAGGGAACTGAAGCTTTGTGGTTAGCTTTTACATAATAATACGTGTAAAAAAAGCTGAACGTGTACGAAATCAAAACATATGATGGGACAGTATGATCGACCTATGTTCAATATTGACCTAAATAATATATCTGATTTCATATAAACACCTTTCATTTTATCTTTCTCTTCGTGCTTCACGTATTGGTGAACGAAGATCTATATGAGGTTTGATTGGCGATCAGGGCCGACGTTTCAAGACCTTAATGCTCCTGCCTGCCCGGCACACGTGCATCCTCGGACGAGCGCGGTGCGGGTTCCTTTACGTGGATCCGGGGCAGTATCCGGAACGGATAAGTGGATTCTCCGAGCTGCAATAGCGTCCATCAAACCAGCAAGCCTGGTAATCGCTGTGTAACGTGTAAATTGACATGCAACCTAAAAGTTGGAAAGACCCTTTTTCCCATAATTCTATGAACCCGGTTTACTTTGACGTGACCTGTTATTTCGAAGACAAATCACTCTTAAACCCAACCGGTTATTGTAGCAGTTTAGATGGGTCATTGCTATTAAACTTGTATTGATATGGTTGTAAATCCCCTCATGTGTTTTAGACAAACCATCAGAGAAGCCTGTCGTTGAATCTTCTAACCTAGTAGTATCTTTGTAGATGGTCAGATTTAAATCAATTTGTGATAAGAGTAACTTCTAACTAGTATATATAGTTATTGTAACATTTTATTCTTATATTCTTGAGACCATGTACCATCGGATAGAATATGATACTTAAGATCCCTATTCAATGCCTTAAAAGACTCATATTAGGTACGTTAAGTCAAGTCACTTTACAAGCCTTAACATGGGTTAAGTGATCGGGCCCAGGCTGCATATTTCACTCGGTGCCTTACTGCTCTGTTATGGTAGATAGGCTACTGTTGCGCGATCATCGTCTGATACTATGCATTATGTGCTAGAAGCGAGGATGTTGAGCTGTAGAGGTAAATTGTAAGTGAGGGGTAATGTGCCTTGCTTCAAGCCTTGACAGCGAGGCACCCAAAGCTGTTTCAACTACCTACCTACCTACCTACCTGGTAGATAAGGTAGTTGGTTATATCATATATCACTCGGGAACGTCGTTACTTTCAACGAGGATACATGAGTCTTGGATGCCATGCGCTGTATTGAAATGGCAGTTTCTTAGATTAGTAACTAGGTAGTTAACTAGCCGTTTTTACGCAAGTAAAACCTGCTGTTCACATAGAGGCACGTATCGTCTGTTAAAACGCAAAGCGATCATGTCAACTGCCAAGTGCACGTAAGCTATTATAGTCTTCAATTACCAAGTTGCTATATCATGCTCTTCGGGTTATATTCACTCAAGTAAATAGATACACTGCTATCTTCATATAGAGTTGACTACTTAGCAGGCAGTGGCCTAGAGATACTGCCTATCGTGAATAGTATGTAGCAAATAGTATGTAGCAAATGCGACTGTACTAAAGACAATAACGATTGCTACTTATACGAAAAGAATGTTAACAACCGAAAGCACTACGATTTAATAAGATAATTATCATAGGAAAAAGTGGTACTATAGCAACTTCGATTTCGCAGATTCTTCTAGCTGCAAGTAGTTTGCGAATACGTATTAAGTATGTATTTACGAAATAGGCACCTGGTGTGGTAGATTTTAACTGAAGCGCGGCAAGACGCATTGTGCTGTTAAACCACTTATGTATTGTGAGCAGGTGGTATATGGAAGGCATCCGGCCATGCGTCATGAACAGCGACGCAACGATAGATGGAACACTGACTCTTCAGGCTATGGGCCTTACGAATTAGTGTCTATTAAGGGGTGTCTGAACAAGAAGCATCAACGGAGGCAAGATAGAATCTATCATAGATATTAGGCAGACTTTAGAGGTAAGCATGCTAGGCATGGCCACCCCAAAAGGATACAGAAACAGCTATCTACCTCCTAAGGTCAGGTACGGATGTAGGTTAGGGCACAGTGGCCAAGTATCTACGCTGTAGTGCACTGTGAACCTCACTGATGAATTTAGAATTGATAGATTAGGAAGACCAGAAACGATGGGTTGATTAAGAGCTGTTTAACCATCTATCCTACCTAATAACAGACAGATAGACAAATGTGTAACCTGCAAAGCTATCTCCTTAGGTACCTAGTTACAATAAAAAGGCATCAATACCTTATGCTGTGAACTGTAACTATGATGATACCAATGATACCTATTGTGGGGTAGCACGGTGGATAATGGTACGCTGATAAATAATCAGCAGCTGCTAAGATTTTATTAGTTGGTGACCGTAGTATTTGAAAGAAGAAAATTTTGTGTAGAAGGTTGGAAAGGTGCTGAATCCACTATGTGCGCACACTGGAGCAACACTGGAGCGAACAGCTGAAAGGGTGTCGGGGGAGTTGGTTTGACCCTGAAAATTTCGGTAGGTGATGGGGGGATGGTAGGAAGGGCCGGTAGTTGCCGCCGCTTTAGGCGCTCGCTGGAGGCGCTGATGTGATTTGATGAACTACAGGTGCACCTTCCCCGCCGAGCCAATCGATTTGCAGCTTGCACTGAACGGGTGCAACCATTTAATTGAGAATGACAAGACGCTGGGAACACCAAAATTTCGGGTACTTCTAAGCTCCTTCAGCACATTCAGTGATGCAACTTTTGAAAGTCATTCTTTAAAGCCCCTACGAACTTAGAACATCACTTGCGACCTTAACAATTAGTCGCCGACAACAATTAAACTTCAGGAGATCAAGAGAATTTTTCATATGAGTTATTGAAACATAGTATTGAAAATATGCGACAAGGTCAACATATATTAAATTTAGATCTTATGTGTAGATGTAGATAGCGGGTGACTTGCGAGAATAACAGAATGATGCAAAGAGGAAGTACCATGAAGATGCATCAAGTTGGGCTGGTTCCATTTGTGCCTGCTGATTTTTATTATTTTTATTATTATTATTTTTCGGCCCCTTCCTTCTACGGGTAATGGGGCTGGGCTGATTTCGATGCCCCTCTCTAGTTCAGACGCGATATATTTTTTTCGGGTGACACTACAAGAATCAATGTCGACTCGACAGCGAGAATCTATGTAAAACAACGTACAATTGTATGATTTCGGTGCAAATTGGACGAGATGATAGCTTAGATGTTTTTAAATACATAGAAATATTTCATTAGAATTGCATCGGCGATGCTACCGTAGTAAAATAGTTGTTTCTTCAGGGGTGTAAGTGCCTGCTGTCTTGTACCTAAGACGTCGCTGCAAAAAGTTACTTAGGTACCTAATCCACCATAGTGCAGACCCCCCCGGAACACCCCTCTCTCAGTGATCAGTGATTTGGGAAAATCAGCAAGCCTTAGTTTTGGGATATTTAGAGGGTGCCCTTGCCCCTCCCTTCCAGCGCCGTTGCCCCCAAAACTTTCTTTCCGCCAAAATTTCGCGCTTCTTGCACTTTTCTTCACTGATCTTCAGCGGTCGCAATCTGGCTTTAGACACCTAGGTCGACCACCAACCCGGCAACATAACACAGAAAGGATAGTTTGTTCTAAATTATTAGATCACCAATCCACAGGTGACTTTTATACGCAAAGCATAGCATACCCAGCCAACGCGTCAAAGTACAACACTACCTATCTAGCTACCTAGGCCCTCAGCACCCAAAGCATCAAGCACCCAAGCACCAAGCACCAAGCACCAAGCACCCAAGCACCAACAACCACCCAAAGTACAACCACCACTAAATCACCACAATGCCTCGCCCCAAAAAGACAGACCCTCCCCGACAGCCCGCCCCTGTGGCACCCGCACCAGCCATGGTTCCTATGGCCATGCAACCTGTCCAAGCTCAGATGGCGCCTCAACCTATTCAACAACAACCTCTAGCTGCCGGACCTGCAATCCAACCTCCTAGAACGATTGGTATTGAAGAGTTTATCCGAGTTCGTGATAGCGTAAGTCAATCTACTTTTTTTTTCCTTCTCAAAATTCGGCAGCATATCTTTTCTACGTATCTGTTATACGTGTAGGGGATAGTTTGCATATTATTTGCGAGTGCCCGATGCTCGACGCCTCGTGATTATGTGTGATGGTAGTAGCGAGTTCATACCGGGCTTGTTGCTATTTGGCTGAGTGATAAGGCTTAAAGTACTTGGGCTACATAACCCGTTTTGCTTACTGTCATTCACTCACCTGTCCATCTGTGGCCGTCAAATACGTGGTCGTCTTAGGCATCTTATCTCATTCATACCCCATATTCCTCGCGTCTTACATGGTGTGCTGCCATCACACAACAGCCTATTAATTTATTTATTATTCACCCCCGCCATTATGACTGTCTTCCTATTCCCTATTGGTTTTTAAATTAGAGACGAAGATGGAAACTAATGCTCATGCTAGGTCCATGCCAGATTCAACACCATAACAGGGTTAATGAAGAGTTTCTCGGATGACTTCCTACGACAAACTAATCTCCTAATCGGAGAACCTGCTCCTTTTGACAATGGTGCAAGCCACTCTATGCAAAATCTCATCGCCAACCTAGATGGCATCAGTGGTCAACTCGGTGACTTCGGCCACGTTGAAGAGAAGAAGGAACGCAAGAAGAGAACTCATGACCCTAACGCTCCCAAGCGACCCCTGACCCCATATTTCTTGTATATGCAAACTGCTCGCCCCATTATTGCCAACGATCTTGGTCAGGATGCCCCGAAAGGCGCTGTACAGGAGGAAGGTCAGCGTCGCTGGGCATCTATGACCCCCGCCGAAAAGAATGTAAGTGTTCTATGGTGCCCGACGATCACACATTCACTTTGCTAACATGGATGCTAGGCTTGGAACAATGCTTATCAGTTCAACCTCCGCCTATACAATGCGCGAGTACACTCGTACAAGGCTGGCAATCTTGACGCTCGAAATATGACCGATCCTGATGCTCTTAACTACGCTGACGCAAATGGAATCCCCCAACCCGTTCTCTCTGGAGAAGAGGCATATGCTCCTAATGATCAGGATGCCATCGCCGAGCAGCTACAAATGGCCGTGGCACCTGCACCTGAGCCTGAAACTCAAACGCCGAAGGCTAAAGTAACTCGAAAGCGAAAGAGTACCGTAGCTGCCGAAGTCGAGGATGTCGAGGCGAGCGCTGCTAAGACCGCGACGCCTGCTAGCCCTGACAAAAAGCGTAAGAGAGCCTCCAAGGTAGCCGAGACTCCCGAGGAACCTAAGAAGTCCAGTCGGAAGAAGAAGGCTGCATAATTCTACCAATGCGGATTGCGCTAAATTCGAGTGCGTTCATCACTTCATATTCTCTTCGTTTAGAGATATACGTGAACTACATCAAACCCGATCCATTTACGTACAAGTGTGGCAATGTTCGTTTCACTTGATAACTACCGAGGGGAAAAGTCCGAGGACGGAATATATGTCGATGGAAAGATACCTTACCTACGGATGAGGACTAAAGTAGCACGGGGTTATTCAGACTCTTCTGATGTTGTATTATGAATTACGAGAATCCTACGGGAACCCGTGGATGGGGTGGTAGGGCCTAGGGACGGCGGATCGAGGGAAGGAGTTTTATTCTAAGGGCTCGAAGTGTTGACTATTTGTATTTACATGGCTTTTCGCAGAGCAGTGTATTGACCGTACCTATTTTTTACTCACGTTTTTGTATTCAGGGGACCAACGTCTCCCGTCATGGTGAATCGGGACCAAAGCATGCAAGTACGTATCTCGCAGCCTTTGAGCTTTAAGATGCTGTATCTTTAGTCGAGTATTATTGTAATGTGTTGATTCTAAAAAGCAGAATAATAAGCTGCCTACATCTAGCTAAATTCGAATTCCTACCTAAGGGACTTCTTCTAATTTCAGCCAGTAGACATGGTCAATGTCTGGCAAGTGACCGCTTATATTCACTTACCAAGCAGAGAACCAAAGAGCTTGCGTTACAATGATCTAGCAGTAACGTGCTGCCTACTGCTAGTAGAGTTAAACAAAGATTCCTTTTGAAGTGTAGCGCTACGAAGAACGGCCAGCAGAAACCCTACTGCTCTCAATACGTAATTCATCAATGCATTTTTCGAGACAGTTATATCAGAGTGGATAGATAACCTATATACCTTCTAAAGGACTATTCTATTCTATGGATATAGAGCCACGCAGACGTTCTCTTAGGGCCCGGTGACTTCGACTAGCAGCTATTTGTATTCGGTATTACCTACCTACCTATCTACCTAGGTTAGGTAGACATCCCTCTATATACCCATGTATAAGTACCTACCTTACAGGCGCTCCTCAAGTTGACCAATCAACTTACATCAATCTACTACCAGCGGTCCGGAAACAGGTACATACAGTAAAACTCCCAGTTAAACAGGCCACTAGGACAGTAACATTCTCTCATCCACTAAAAGGAGGATCTCGAGCCTGATAGGGTTGGATACCAGTACCAGGATTAAAACTAGCTTTCGTTTGTCCCTATATCAATGCATCATAAACGTATTGAAGTTGACCAAGAGCAATATTCATCCATTTAGGTACCTCCCATACCGAGAGTTTACGTACAGCACAGATTCTACGTCCAGTTATAACCACAGCCAACAGCCCTGTACCCGTAGCTAATCCCCCTTTTCGCATGTAAACGCTAAACCCAGCCCACTAGACCACCCCCAAAACCCACAGACACTTAACCCTCTTCCCGGCCTCAACTTTCCTCAAACTCCTATCTTCCTACCTAACACAACTCCCCACCCGCACTAATAAACAAACCAAGCCTGCGTAAGCGGCAGCTCGGTCGCCGGCTCCGCCGTACACAGCACACCATCCGCCTCCACCGCATACCGCTCGGGGTCGACGTGCATCTTGGGCATGGCGTCGTTAAACCGCATGTCCTTCTTGCTGACGGAGCGGCATCCGCGAACAGGCTCGACGCGCTTGCGTAGCCCGTACCCAGAGGTCACGGTGTCCAGGCTAGCCGCAGATACAAACAGCACGCTGGACCGCGGCACCAGCGGCGCGAACATAGGCCGCGCGATTATCGGCTGCACCGTTGGGATCGAGGCGTTGGGGTCGCCCTGGAGGGGAGAGTGTTAGAATTATGTATGGTAATATGTAGGTGTAGATGATGATGGGTAAAGAGAAATGGGGGAAAAGAAAGGGGGGGGACAAACCATCTGCGAGTAAGCAATCAACCCGCTCTTAACCACCGTTGTCGGTTTCGCGCCAAACCACGCCGGGTCCCAGATTACTAGATCAGCCAACTTCCCAATCTCGATACTGCCAACTAGGTGGCTCATACCCTGCGTGACAGCCGGGTTGATAGTGTACTTGCTGATATATCGCTTGACGCGGAAGTTATCCGCCTCCGTGCCCTCGTCCTCGGGTAGCCGGCCGCGCTGAACCTTGTTCTTGTGTGCCGTGTTCCATGTTCGAAGGATGACTTCACCGCAACGGCCCATCGCCTGAGAATCTGAACTCATCATGGAGATGGCGCCCAGGTCGTGTAGCACGTCCTCGGCTGCGATTGTCTCGGCGCGGATGCGGGATTCTGCAAATGCTACGTCCTCGGGGATGTTTCGCGACAGGTGGTGGCATACCATGAGCATGTCTAGATGCTCGTCTAGAGTGTTCCGAGTGTACGGTCTCGTGGGGTTTGTTGATGACGGTAGTACATTCTCATTCTCCACGACTCTAATAATATCAGGGGCGTGCCCGCCTCCTGCACCCTCCGTATGGTAGGTATGAATTGTTCGCCCCTTAAAGGCCGCGATCGTCGACTCCACGTACCCAGACTCGTTGAGTGTGTCCGTGTGGATCAGACACTGCACATCTAGCTCATCACATACGCTTAAGCAAGAATCAATAGCTGCTGGTGTCGTACCCCAATCCTCGTGCAGCTTAAGACCACAGGCGCCTGCTAGAACTTGCTCACGCAGAGCCCCCGGGTCACTGTCGTTACCCTTCCCCGTAATTCCAATATTAAGAGGTAACTGGTCGCATGCCTGTAGCATTTGCCGCATATAGTTGGCCCCTGGTGTACAGGTAGTAGCGTTGGTTCCAGCGCTTGAAGAGGATGCTGTTAGTCGCTTATAACTCACCAGCTCATCCCACTCCAGATGACTGCAGTACTAAAGTAGAAGCGGGATCTCTTACCTGGGCCCAGTACCGCCTCCGAGCATCGTCGTAATACCCGAAGCAATGGACTCATACGCCTGTTGGGGACATATGAAATGAATATGTGTATCCAGACCACCTGCCGTTATAATCTTACCCTCTCCCGCAATAACATCTGTACAGCTACCCACGATCATCCCCTCCGTTACGCCATCCATAACATCCGGATTACCAGCCTTACCAATCGCCACGATAAAACCATCCTTTACCCCTATATCCGCTTTATAAATACCCGTATAATCAACAACCAGAGCGTTTGTCACCACCATATCTAAGCTATCCTTGTCCGAACACCCCGTCATTTGCCCCATACCTTCTCGTAGCGTCTTGCCACCTCCAAACTTACACTCGTCACCGTACGTCGTCAAATCCCTCTCTACCTTGACCCAAAGATCCGTCGCCCCTAAGCGCACTAAATCTCCCGTCGTAGGGCCAAACATGGTCCTGTATTTCTCGCGGTCCAACGAGAACGCATCCACTAACTCCAAGCCGCCCGTGGGCTCCGGCACATGCGCAAACCCGGCTTTTTGCAACGCAGTCACGATAGTGTTTACCCGCCAGAGCTCCACTCGCCCCGAAGCGAGCCCGTTACCCCCACGTATAACCCGATTTCCGCCGATCTCGACCAGGTTCACGGTCCTGGTGTCTCCCGGCTCAAAGCGCACGGACGTGCCGGCCGCGATGTCGAGTCGGAACCCGTACGCAGCGCCGCGGTCGAACTCGAGCTGCGGGTTCACTTCGATGAAGTGGTAGTGGCTGCCTACCTGAATCGGCCTGTCGCCTTTGCTCGTAATTCGGAGCTTGATGCGTTTCCGACCTTCGTTAAGGGTGATGCGCCCCTTAATTCCCACTACGGCGCCGGGCTGCTTGGTAGGCTCATACGCGCTTGGCTCGGCGGCCGGGAATAGGTCTTGATTGGGGATGGGCAGGAAGCTGCCGTATAGGGCTTTTGCTAGGTCGCCGTCATCGGTAGCAATGGGGTTATGCACAGTTACGAGATACGTGCCTGACGGGAATGTGCCCTCGACTTGGATCTCGTGGAGAGTGCTGACGACGGAGGGAAGTACGTGCCTCCGGCCCAACATAGTAGACCCGATCGCCATGAGGTCGGCAACGCTGTGCTGGCCATCGCGGATGAGTTCTTGGAGATTATTCGCAATGAGAGCCTAAGATCAAGTTAGACCAGCTCATCAGCTATTCGATAAACCCTATAAAAGAGCCATGCTCTCTATAAGATCTCGAGAAGCTTACAGTGGCTTCAGTATGATTCAACTTGACGCCCCTAGCAAGTCTTTTCTGAGCTAAGAAACCCAGTTGCGAGATGACGAGCTTATCAAGCTAGAATATAGTGTTAGTCCAGAGTTATCTCCTTTGCTTCACTGCAATAGATGAACAACTAATACGGACCTCTTTCGGCACAAGATGCATGTTTGCGGTGATAGAGACTGCTTCGGGTCACTACGCAATCCTAACTCTCGTGGAGTTAGATGAATAAGGAAAGAACCATAAAAATGGTTGCAAGACGTCTCGACGTTGATTTTATTCAGCTTGTATGTAATACAACTATTCATCAATTGATGGCTTCAATTGAGTTATAGCTTCTTATCTATGTGGGGTCTTGAAGCTTCAGTCCACTTGCATTAGGTACGCAGATACATTAGCGCCTTAGCTTAGCATTAGCGCCTTTGATACCCCGCAACTATATTCGACCCCTCTAGGTAAGGTTAGGTAGGTAGGTACTTAGGTACGCAAGACTATAAAAACCTAAGATGCGGTTTGTATTCTCCAACCCCAATCTTGCTTGGCTTTATCTTCTTAGAACAAATACTAGTTATAGTTATTATATGGATGAGTATAGTAGGAGTAAAAGGAGAATAGTATCTTGAAAATGTAACATCAGTTAACCTACAAGACCTAAGAACACGAAGCAAGTTATGCTACCTTAGGTAGCAAACGGAGGTGATATAAAGAACCAGGAGGGTATTGATTCAAAATTAAGTCTTGCACCTATGCAATTCTCATCTACCAAACTTCCAACTCAGGCTAGTAACCTATCGCATCGGTAGAAATTGATAAGGTAGAAATTCCACAGCACATAAACATCGCATTTCTCCGAAATCGATCCTCACAAACTCCTTGCTTACCCCTAAACGCCAATTTGGTATCATAAGGTACAAGTAAACCCACCGAGCGCCTCGAAGGAAACTATAAAGAATAGATAATGTCTAGTTATTCATCCTCAACCTCTTCGTCCCAAGCCTGCCGCTCCTTCTTCATGAAATCAGCCATCATCTCCGGTTTGAAGATCGTACTACCGGGATTCGACGAACGCGGAACCTTGCCAAGAGCAGGGTCACTAAACACCGGGCCAACAGCGTCGATCCATCGTTTTCGGCGTTCCATTAGAGTCTTAGTTACGTCGCCGATACCTGGTCGAGCCATACCCGTCCCGGAGCCTCCAGCCGGATGACTGCCGCCGCCAGCACCACCCGGTCGCTTCGCTTTCTTACTCTTACCCATCGTGCGCGTCCGCTTAAGATACGCTCCCTGGACTTGCGTGTCGAGATCCTCGAGGATGGTAGTATATTCTTGATGGGCCATCCTTTCTTTGACTAATTCGGTCAATCGGGCCTTGCGCGCACCGTTGATAAGCATCTGTTCGCGTAAACGATCTTGCAGGAGGCGCAGGCGGGCGGCGACTTCATCATCATAGTGTCCATCGTAGTCACCGTCGAAACCTTCCAGCGGAAGGAAACCGATATTGCGAAGTTCTAGCTTGATGCGTTCGTCTACTTGCGAGTAGTCTAACTTTGGGTGCGTGGCTTTCTTCCAGGCTTCGGTTGACGATTCGGTCATAAAGGTGGCTGGTGGTACGCTCTTACTCTCTTCACCTGCTATGCCCGAATTGGAATCACCATTAGTCTCTTCCTTCATCTCGACGTCTCCATTAACTCCATTCGTCATCGGCTTATCTTCAGTCGACTGCACGCGAGCTTCGGGACGCATAGCCTGTAGCAGTCGTGACAAGACGGGACCGACCGATAACTTGTCGCTCTCTGCGACATCGTCGTCCATATTGTCGATAGTGCCACGCGCTTGATTAGGGGCGAGCTTATCCCTTCCCGGTGTACCCGAATCAATTGCCATAGCGCCGTCCTCTTCTGCCCATATCTCACTATAATGTCTTTTGCCTCGTTTGGGCATGACAAAAGGTGTAAGTCGGTCACCACGCTCTCGTAGGAAAGCTAGGTCTTCTTCGATATACGGACGGAAGTACGGCTCGATGTAGGTCGAGAAGGTGCTAAAGCTGATCTGGTTCGAGGGCTTGGCGCTGCTGAAGTCTTTATCGGGCGGGTCGCCCGCAATCATGTCGGCGAGGTCGGACTTGGGGAAGACAGCAACGGAATACAACTCCTTCAACTCGTCGATAGTCATTCCAGGTGTCGCTGGACGGATCTCATAAACCGTAGGGTCTGGGAAGGTCGACGGATCTTCGCCGAATGTTTGGAATTGAGGTGCCTCTCGGCGGGGTGGAGCGCCTTCATCCTCGGAATCGGAATCATCTTCGACTTTGTTGTCGAGCTTTGCTTTCTCGTCTACCTCCATTGCGCCGGGTGTTGCGGGTGCGACGGGTGAGAGTGAAGAGCTAGCCGAATCGTTGTCTCGGGAGTGTTTTCTCGATTTACTGGAGCCGCGTAGGGGAGATGAGCGTTCTTAGTTGAAGTTGTTAGCGTGGGCTAGTAATCTTGGGGTTGAAAGATGATAATCCGGATTGAAATTGAGGACAGAATTGCTAAGCGGGTTTTCTTGAAGAGTGGGGGGAGAGGAATCAACATTAAGAAAAATTGGTGTAGTCGCGCGACATGAACCAAAAAAAAAAAAAAAAAAAAAAGGATATGCGATATATGAGGATTTGTGAATTGCAACACGACTATTATTTTCCAACTGTAGTTTTACGAGCTAGGCAGCAACGTAGATGTCATGTAGATGTCATGTAGATACCACTCACCAGTATGCGCATCTCCAGGGGCAAGACTGTCATTGCCTCTTCTCTTCTTCTTATTTGCTCTTCTTTCCGAATCATCATCGCCTTCTCTACGCGCATCATCTCTTCTGCCAGCAGAAGCCATCTCGTCATAATGTATCTTTCTCTGGGCAGCGACAAGTCGCATTCCTTTATCGCACCATGTTCCTCGGCGTTCAACTATTTCATTGAGCTTTCCTAGTCGCGTAATTAGGCCATCGAGGCTCTTTGAATCGGGGATGACGGCATTCGAGGTGGTGGTATCAATTAGGTCATCGTAGGTTATAGTACGGACTGAGTCTAATCTAAGGTCTAAGAATTCGGTTTCTATAGTATCAACAGGTGGGATGCTCGCGTTGGACGGCAGGCTAGACATAGGTGTCGTATTTCGACTACGTTTTCCGATGGCACCAGCATTCTTCTTGCCGGTACCCTTTTGACTAGGGTTTGGGGGCATATTTATGGGGGAATATAACGGCGGAAGGATAGAGTGGTGAGGACGTGAAGTAATGTGAAGTTGGACGTCGTTGGACAGTCGTTGAACATTAGTTGGACATTGGTTGGATTGCCCATCGGGTTGATGCTTACTTGATCAATTAACAAGGTACTGGTCTTGGCCGAAACCGAAGCTTTGATAGGTTGTACACGTGCATTTGTGGGGTTATCCAAGATCAAGAACGACCTAACGGATCCGTACCTTTTGCGGCTGAACAAAATCCCATAAAGTTAAATGACGTAATCAGGAGGAACTTTTACACAGCAGCTACTGCCTTACGGATATACCCAGAAACGCAATACTTAGCAACACATTAACCTAGTCAACTCCAATCAAATTCTTTACTTTGCTAAGCTGAAAACAAAATCCTGGATACGTTACCATAGTATACAACAGATTCGCTTACATTGGCTTACATTGTAACCCCTTGGTATTTCCGAGACACTTCGGAGTCCGTGATGGCGTATTGTCTTTCACTTGTATTCAACTTATATTATCTCATAAATCATCACAAGTCTAAGACAGCCAACCCTGTAGTATAGGAACTAGCTAGTGCTCGTTATTATACAAGTTACTTGAGATAAAATGCCGAACTAAACGTCTTACTCGAGTATTCAGCTTAAGCGATCACTATGCATACACATGCTGATAAGAAACATGGCATTAGTAACATATCTCGTCCTCTTAGAAGGACTCGTAATCATCTACAGTAAAGAAACACTATCTAGAAAAATCTTTCAAGTATAACATTTCACTATAGTATCTCGTCTATGAAATCCTCAAAAGCGAGGACTAGGAGGTATTATACAAATAGTGCATATTTGTCTTGAGGAGCATCCGCTAAGATATAACTCCTTATGATATCGGTATTCCTCCGTAAATCGGACAGACTTTTAGTATCGTCTATAGGACGCCTCGTCCCATATCTTCTTTCCAAGGCCTCTTCGGTTATTTTCCGGCTTATTAGATAGGTGTCTCCGTAATCGTTGGAGACAAGTAATCCCTCAAACTAGAAGCTTCGGACACTTACTCGGAAATAGCTGTTAAGTCCAGAAACTATAGCCTCCGGAAAGTCTTGGCTCGTCTTGACCCTAGTTATTTTCTTTCGTTAAAACTTACTTTTATGAGTTTCTTAAGACAATGGGGTTCTGTTGGCAAAGTTGGACGATAAATGAGCTAATAATCGTGTCCAGCATTGCCGGGCGTGAGGCTCCGGAACAGAGTAAAAAGAAGAAGAAAGTTTTATAAACCCAACAACAATGTAACGGCAGGAGTTATAATTAGATTTCTTATCAATCAAGCCTTACTAATCTCAGGGGTTGCAGCGTAGCTGGTCTCAGCCTTTCAGCCCATTATGAGATACTTGGGGGCAGTTTAAGATTCAACGAGAAACACTTAACAATACCTCTTGTTTAATACGTGACTTTAGGACTCTCCGGGATGATTGGACTGGCATCTGCAGGGACATCTCACCGCATTATGTACGTTACGTCTTCGCTAATACACTGTTTCAAGAAAAATTTGCCCCTGTGTACCTACAGCCTCGCGAACTTGATGACGTTTTGCTTCTGACGCAAAGGTTTCTTCAATGCTCCATTGTAAACCCCAGGCAGCACAGGTCTTCGCCCACACACCTAGATCGGTAAAGCTATAAGCATAGCATTACCGCAATATGTCCACGATACTGAACGAATTCCCATATCAGGCAAGTGGACCACCTTGGCGGCCCCACCACACTCCGCCTGCTGCCGGGCGGTACGGATATTACTCCGGAGACCATGATTGCCATCATAAGGGATGAACGATTTGAGTAAATGCATGCGAACCTTCTTCTCTGAACTAAGGAAATCGGGGCCGAATTCCGAGCTGAATGAGGTCGGGTTATATCCGGTAGTTAGTCTGAAAGAACTTATGATATGTCAGTAACGTTTCCCTCCTTCCATAATTAGTGCCGTTACATTCTATATATGCCCCCATGCCCACCCCCCAAAATGAGCGGTAAAGAGCCGCGCTAGTTACTATCTCAGTACCGGTAATCTTCAAAAGGGCGGCTCTGTTTGGACAGTCTGGAACTTAGGACTTTGAATATTTGCCACCGATTCCCAGAAAAGTTTTCCTGTGAAACTACACTGATACGCCTTTGCACACTTCTCGTAACCCGCCCAAACCCTAGTTACAGCCCGGTCGTTCTAATGTTGTGATGAAATAGGAGAGCCGGGAACAAGCATACCTACCTAGGTACCTACATATGTAAGTACCTACGGAAGGCCGAAGTACCTAATAGTGCTGTGGCTGAATATGTTGCTTTGTGGCTGGGATCCCGTTGCATACAGTCGTATTTGTTCATTGGATGTCTAGACTTTCCCTGGTTGCTACGTTTGGTAGGCTATGAGGTCGCACATGCAGAAGTGTTAAATCGGCCATATGCGTTGAAACCTATCATATCAACTTCCACGAGTCGGGAAAGCCGTGTTTGTGACACAGCGTTATTTTCTATAGTGAGAGGTATCGGATTGGATCGCCTACTACCCCTAACATGAACCTCATCTTCCTGAGAGCTGGCAAGAGCTGGCAACAACATCAAGGTAACAGGGGTTTACGGAAGAATAAGGCAATATCCAGCGAATCTACGACCACGCATACTTCAGCTGAGATGCGTGCAGCGAGCTTTCAGCCCTATACTACGCGCAAGCATTAGGATCCTCGTAGTTCTGATCAGACTTACTGGACTTACACCAATTTTTGGCTTTGACAACCTAGGTCTCTAACATGAATACCTCGAAAAGAACATTTGGAATGAATCTTGAAAATGTCTATGGAATAAGACTTTAGTTGTATTCTACCGACGAAATGTTTGGCACTTGCATTAATGATTTTGAATATAAAAATGGCCCCATACCTATGCTCTGGTCATGGAAACATTCCATAGAGCTTAATCCATCATTCTAATACCGTTTATCCTTCTAGCTCACCATGTCATCTGTAAATTACCTAAGCGAAGTGAATTCTTCAGCTAAGTAAGTGATTGAAACAGTGGCGCCTCTATTCAATATGGCCTTATAAACTTGATGATTCTAATGGTGTTATAGCCATGGCGGGAGCCAACAAGCAGCTTCTAGACAGAATTCCCCGGTTTCTCCGAACGAATCAATTCACCCACGCCTAGATGACTTTATCAAAGAGCCACTGGATTCTGGAAATAGGAATGTCATGCTCCCCGACAAAAATGCCAACGTGGATTTAGCTGTTAAAGATTCCCGAGAGCGCATGGAGAAAGACATTGAGAACACAGCTAAGGTGCTGGGTAAACCAGAAAGTCAGCAATATACACCCCTTTTAACACATTAACTAGCATCAGCTAATTAGAGAATAAGTGATTGACACTCCCGAACCGGCTCAACAGGGAGACAGCTCAGACAAATAAACAGACATTGGAATAATATAAGAAAAGTTCTTTAGTTTCGTTCTGAATTTCTCCCCATTTGATATATCTCTTATATACGAAACTACAGTAAATGATGGTACATATCGCGATACATTAGGCACTTAGGTACCCATGTGGAATTATCAACGCTAGAATATGTCCTATATAGATTTCATAGATCGTTAAAGCCCAGAGATTTAGAATACTATATCCTATCTTCAACAGAGAGGAAAAACTTCAATGTACGATAGACCTCTGTATTAGGCCAATCGAGACGGAAAAAGAGCGCGCAGGTATACTACTTGGTGGTCCAATCATAGATAGGTAGTACATATTTCTATGTGTAACAGCCCAGTTATTTTCCGACTTCTTGCTGAACAAGAATATTATATATTAGACACAAGCTACTATTCAGATATATATCATTCTATGATATCGGTAGTTAGTGTAAAAAAAGAAGTTTGGCTTCTTTGATATAGTCGTAAATCATGTGCAGAACAACCTCATGACTCTTCCTTAGCATCCGTGAAGATGGTTGCTATCATATACTATTGCGCCATTTTTGCAAACGAAAGGGTCTTGCTTGCATACGAAACATAATAAGGACCTTATATTCTCCAACTCTTAATAGTTTATTCGCGACAATGTCTCATTCGTTCAGGACTCTACCTAGCATCAGCTAATAGTTCAAATTTTTTAATGGTAGCCGTCCTACCCGCAAACTGGCTACCTATGGAGATATCTGATAGTATTATAATGGATTATACTTGTCGACGTAATAGGTGTGGTTGCCGTAAAGAGTAAATGTGCGGAGGGTATTTCCCGAATATATGCCGTTACAGCTATCATTCAGCCGTAATATGTTACAATCGGCCGGCATATCTACAATTGTCAAACACTAAGCCTAAATAGATGAGAAAATGCGGAGCTATGCCTCTTACATAGAGGCAGTAATCAATTAAAGAATCGATTGGTAGGTACAAAATGTGAGGATCTTTCTCCTATTCTGTGCTGTTTTGGTTTTAGTCACAGGCTCATGAGGTACTAAATAGCTTATACACTACGAGATGTCTTTCAAACTTCTGTACGTTAGCCTAGTAAGCTCGTTGCTAACCGGGGTAGCTGTCGCTCAAAGCTCCGAGGAACATCCTCCCCTAACAACTTGGAAATGCACTACATCAGGAGGTTGCGTTCAGCAGAATACCTCTGTCGTGCTAGACAAGGACTCCAAATATGCCCAAGGTTCTGCTGGCTCAAGAACAGCGGCTGATTATGCTGCTATGGGAGTTTCTACCTCGGATGATGCTGTGACACTGTATCACTACGTCAAATCGGGCGGCACGGTCAATCCCGCATCCCCGCGCATATACCTTCTGGACGCCGAGGGAGAATACGTCATGATGAACCTCCTCAACCAGGAGCTTTCCGTCGATGTCGACTACTCAGCTGTCCCTTGCGGAGAGAATGGAGCTTTCTATCTCTCGGAGATGAAGGCCGACGGCGGGGGGTCCTCGGGCGGCGCGGCAGCTGGCCAGGGTTACTGCGACGCCCAATGCCAGGGCTACTGCTGTAACGAGATGGATATCCTCGAAGCCAACGCAAAGGCTACGGCAATGACGCCGCACCCGTGCAGCGGAAACAACTGCGACAAAGCCGGCTGCGGGTACAATCCATACGCGAGTGGCCAACGTAACCTCTGGGCCACTGGAGGGTCTGTCGACACGAGCAAGCCGTTCACAGCTGTGACACAATTCGTCGGTAGTGGCACATTGACGCAAATAACCCGCACCTACATCCAGAATGGGAAGCAGGTCAATGGCGGTTCTATTGGCAGCTGCAACGACGGGGCTGGTGGGCTTTCTGGTATGGGCCAAGCTCTGGGACGAGGAAGTAAGTAATAGCTGTCTTCTTGAAACGTATATGGTTGACTTATACCTCACAGTGGTATTGGCGATGAGTATCTGGAACGACGCTGCACAGCAGATGTCCTGGCTCGACGCTGGCAACAATGGACCCTGCAATATTCAAGAGAGCACTCCCTCCAACATCCAGGCTCAGCATCCCGACACGCATGTCATATTTTCTAATATTCGATGGGGTGACATCGGACCTACCACCAAGGGTTAGAATTAGGTACTGATTGGCTATGGTTTTCCTTTCGTTATGGGTAACATTATGGTGGTTAAGTCTCCAGTAAAGCGAACGGGTCGTGTAAGAGAACAAGGGTCCTGGGAAGTGATTAACAAGAAATTGTTCGAGGACCCATCAGCCTATATAGAGAAAGAGGAAGGGATGATTCTAACGCGGTAAGAGTCCACAGAATATGACCCTCACTCTAGTCTGGCCAAGAAAATTAAAGCGTCACCGTGTAACGTCTTGGTCTTACTTGAGCGTAGTCGTACCAGCAGCCAATTGCATAGCAGTTCGCACGTGTATACGACACAACCAATTGAATAGCCATGATGTAAGAGGTAGTGGAAATAACTCGGTCAACATGATTCTATATAGCCCAATTGAAGCAACGGCGTCAATACTATCACCTATCTTAAAGTTCAGATTACTCCCCTAAATGAGGTGAATGAAAGCCTGCTGATAATATTATATCACTTACGAATGTTAAGAAGGCAGAAATAAAGCTTACTAATAATAGGATATAACTTTGAAGGCACCCCGATATCAACACTATGTGATGGCAATTGTTTTCTCTTGGGGCGACCCCTGAATAGCGCCGGTATCGAGATAGTACACTTTAATAATTCATTTATACATATTACCCATAAAATATAGATCCTTATATTTGCATAAATATTGCATAGACATGTCCACCAAGTCTTCTTCCATTCAAGTACACAAAGACACTCCGAGGAACTATTGCAAACTTGTTCAACATAGCAAGTCAAGAAAACCACCAACAACTTGACAAGATGCCTTTAAACGGTACTTTAAAGCCAAGCACGCTTTATATAGCATTGGATTCACGTCCACTCAATGATGAATACGTAAGCAATCTAGATATACGAGTTGTCTTCATACTCCGGATTTCACTAATAAGAGAATAGCATTGGGCCCTCGTAACAACGGATGCTTCACGTCACTCCACGCTACGACACGCCTCCAATTTGAGCGGAACATGGAAGCACGAAGAAAAGGACTTTCGCCCTGACGAGCGAATGATGCTCATCGCTCTAGTGAAGGTCGCGAATATATGTGACGCGGAAAAAATGGTTGAGGCAACACGTAGCGTGCCAGTCGATGGACTCCCTTCGCGTCGGACAGGAAGAGATTTTAACTGCCTGACTTGGCTTTTAGACGCAATTGTGGCCCTTGACGACCAAGCCATAATTTCGCTTCCTTGTGATATCGGTACGGACCGCTGAAAGCCTTATATTATAGGGACAACTGAAGCTTATCATCTACAGATACGTTGGAGGAAATTGCTAGGAACTGCGCTGCTCGCTATGCTGAGGCCGCCGAGACAGGACGTGGTGCAACTGTTGTTGATGATCCCTTGCTTGACAAACTGCCTTCCAGTGCCGACTAAGGGAGGCGTTAGGTGTGGGCTTAAACATCCGTTAACCCCATATAGCATGTTATGCATTAAGAGTAGAGAAATACTCCAAGGCGCTTGTAATATACCCTCTAGACGCTTGCAAGTATATTGAGGACGAGATAGCTATATTTTTGGCGGCTCAATATCTAAGAGATGTTGTAATGTGCTCTCTCGTTTCTGTCACCGGAGACCATACTAACTCAGTATTTGCTGTTATTTAAGGACATGTCACCCGCTTCTTCAGTTTGATGATATATAGATATTGTTTGGAATTAAAATTAGCTGCTGTTAAGCATCGCTAGCTATCAGAATTACCATTACGACCTGTCCATTGTTTGCTGCAAATAGACAGGTACCCTTGCACGGCTTCCTCTGGGTCAAAGTCATCAATTACACAGTGATTCAGAGCTCGCTCACGAGCTGCAACCTCGTCTGATAAATGGTTTAATCCATCGACTTGGCCTTATGCAGGCCAATAGGTACAGTTAATCATCACCGTCAAATGCAAATCAAGTGACTCCGTAATGAACTGTAAGCACCTCATCCCAAATACATCGCGAGGAAGAAAACAAGACAGTTAGGTTTAAGCGTACTTATCCTTCTCCTCCGGTTCACAGTCATGGCTCTGGCCTTCACGCATCCAGCAATGGCATTCCTCGCACTGGACGATTTCCCCCTCTGTTTCATCCTGTCCCGGAGAGTCGCACATGCTATTGGAATCGTCGTTATCGGATGATTGCTCATCATCGGCATCGTTGGCATCGTCCATGGGCACGTCGGATTCCACCTCGGGTTCCTTCTCAGATTCCTCGGAAGACGAAGTAGTTTCGTCGCTTTGGCTGCTGCTGTCATTGGAGTCATCCCTCACAGGGGCCCCCCCTGAGCTTTCGGAACCAGCGTAAGACATGGTACTTTTATCCCTATATGAAAGTATCGGTGAAAGCTGTGCAATGAACCTTAAACTTTGCTGTTGCCGTTACTCGTATGGCTCGCTGTTATCGGAGAAGAACCGTTGAAAGCGGAAGTTACTGTTCGCTCTGATTTATAAAAGTTTTACGAATTTTGAGATTATTGCTGGGCGTGCTGTTTTATCTTCGGTTGAATTGATGGAGCGATTTCACGGAAGAACAGAGGTCGCTTATATAGTATTCAGTTAGGGGTGAGGTATCACGACATGAGCAACTTAGGTAGTCATTAGGTAGCTGGTGGAACAGGTTAGCTCATTGTGTATGGTATTTCTAGTACTTAATCAGACGTGACAGTTCAAGGTTGGCAAACCACAAGGAAATAAAAGAGATTGAAGTGATTCATGATACCCTTTGACTGGTTCCGGTTAATATATACAGGTTCCCAAAATTGCAAAACAATATTGACCCCACCGACACACCACGTCCATCAGGTAACAATACTTAGGGCCTACCCTGTTGCTCCTGCTCCTGCTCCTGCGCCTGCGCTGCTAGCGGCGACTGGTACTGCTGCACTTGGGCCCTTAAGGCCACCACCTCTCCCATCGCCTCTCCGGCCTCCTTTCCCTTTCTCCAACCTTCCTCGTGTCCCTCTCGCCACCCGTGCTTCCATCCTATAGCCATTGCGGCCACCGAGCCGCGGTTCCTGCCCACCAGGAAGCAGAGCAAAGGCATCACCAGGATGGCGATGGTGATTCCCACGCTTAATGCAGTCCAGAATGCCTCAATGATGGCATTAGAGGCAGCGGTAGTGTTGATATAAGTGAGAGTATTTGTGGCCGTCGCGGTGACGGTGGTGGTGGTGGTTGTGGTAATGGTTGCGGTGAAGGCATCCTGCGAGATAACAGACGTTTCAAATGTCGACATGGTTACTCTTCGTCTTTGATTTTTTTGCGTCGGTAGTCCTAAGGTATCTGTTTGTGAGAAGCTGTCCCGAGGAACTCTAACCTAACAACGGGAACCTATGTCTATACATACTGAACATGTATTTTGTTCTAGATGTCTCATCCAGAATCCGGACAGAAGTGTGGTCAAGGAGGAAAGAAAACCATAAGATTGAAAATACGTCGAGGGATTTAAGTAGTTTTAGATCACAATTGTTCATTTCTCCTTCCCTTCTTCTACGCATACTGTCATAGGAAGGAACTACAGAAAGAACTAGCAAGGAAATAGAAGGCACAACTGGGAGTTTCCTTTATGGAGTTTCATTTCAACAATGCAATCACTATCCGCAGGCTACAAGAATTAGGTTTAGGCTAAGTCCAGGTTAAGCTATTTCTCCTGCCTGTTTTCTGTTTGATGTTTCAAAGTCTGGGAAAGAACCTTCTCTCCCCTAAAAATGAAAGTACTATAGGAAGCTACCTAAGATTCACAGAGAACCTGGAAGCAGGGGGCTGGTGCGATTACTCTGTTAGTGCACTACGAACCTAGTTGAACTCTTTATATGTATAATGTGGTTAGGAACCTTACATTATGAGGTACACATAAAGTTAATTTCCAATAGTTGGAGACTTGAATTGTCGAGTTATATCAATATAAAAGAAGGACTTCCCACCAAAAAAAGACCTCATACAAGGCACATACCTATAGACAATTGCAACAAAACCACATTCCTTCCGTCCAACCAACTGCGACCAAATCATCCAAAATGTGCCCCGAAAGATCCCCAAGCCTATTTTGCAGGACTATTGCTATGGCAGTTGTCCTGGTCTCGATACTTCGCCTTATGCGCGATATCGACTACATCATGCCGCATTACGATGCAATAATATCATTATGGTTTTTATTTGTTATCATCTCTATTATTTATCTAGGTTTCGATCCTAGTGACGAAGACCTAGAAGAATTCGGTATTTTTACAGAGCCTAGATTAGCTGGCATTCTTGCCATGGGCGCGTACATTCATTGCGAGCCTGTGAACGTATGCTTTGCATGGTTTCGTGATCTTTTCTGGTGGTTCTGGGCGGCATATCTAACCGAAAGACTGTAAGTACCTACTTGATCTCTTAGAACTTGATCTCTTAGACCGGCGCATACTTTATTTACAGTGCTACGCGTTATTCTCTCGTTAAAATGATAGTTTTTAACTTTGAATATTGCAGCACCCATTTTATTAGAAGGGCGATGCACGCTTTAACCCCTTGACTGGCATTCAACTACACCTCCACTATTCTCAGTATTGGTATACAGGGATTGGCTAGAAAAGAGAAAATGGCTTGTACGGTATTGGATCGACTAATGATATTTGCGGTTTGTAGTTTTATTAAAGACTAATCGTAGGTCTTTTTCCTATTATGCTACCTAATAAACAACGTTAAGTCATGGGTGATTCTAATTTCATATATTCCGTAAAAGACTCCTGACTTAGCCCCAACCCAACGCACCGGGACCTATCCTTCTTCGAGACTAGCGTATCAAACCAGGCGACATCGGCGGTGAAATTTTAGAATTGTGAATCATCCCACCATTACCCACTTACTACTTTATCACTTATCGCTGCCCCGCCATAGCATCACCCATTCCAAGTAACAGTAAAGTTCACTATTTACTATTTACTATTTACATAGGAGAATATCGTGAGTGGCGAAACCTTGCTCATTCGACTCAATTGGTTTTATAAGAACCCAACATGGCTCCAACAATCCTACATTTGCGCTCAGAGGACAAGCCTCTTGAGCACCGCTCTGCCCTCACCCCCACCACAACCAAGGCCTTGATCGATGCTGGTTACGTCGTTAATGTCGAGAAGAGCCCTGTCCGAATCTTTGACGATGAAGAGTTCAGCGCCGTGGGAGCTACATTAGTTCCTACCGGCAGCTGGCGGGAGGCACCTGAAGACCATATTATTGTTGGTCTTAAGGAGCTCCCCGAAGAGACGTGTAAGTTAAGTCAAGTTGGGGTTTGGATATTTCCACACTTAGATTGGTGCTAATTTCTAATTTCTAATTAATTATATAGTCCCTCTCAAGCACGTATTTATCCACTTTGCACACTGCTACAAGCAACAGCGAGGCTGGGAAGCAGTCCTTGCCCGCTTCCCTCGCGGCGGTGGCACCCTTCTCGATCTCGAGTTTCTCCAGGAGCCCGAGACGGGACGTCGTGTAGCCGCCTTTGGATACCAGGCTGGCTTCAGCGGCAGCGCCCTAGCCATCAAGAACTGGGCTTGGCAACTGACACACCCGGGCGAGCCCCTACCCGGCGTCGAGAGCTACCCTAACGAGGACGCGCTGGTCGCTGATATCAAGAAAGATCTGGCTGCTGGACAGGCTAAGGCTGGAAAATTACCTAGGGTTATCGTAATCGGTGCGCTGGGTCGATGCGGTCGTGGCGCGGTCGATTTATGCCTCAAGGTCGGCGTGCCCACAGATCAGATCCTCAAGTGGGATTTGGCCGAGACGGCCAAGGGTGGTCCTTTCAAGGAGATTGCCGAGAGCGACATCTTTGTAAACTGCATCTACCTGTCATCTAAGATTCCTCACTTCGTCGACCTGGAATCGCTGAAGGCTCCCGGACGTCAATTGAGTGTCGTGTGCGATGTCTCGGCTGACACAACGAACCCTTACAACCCTGGTGAGTTAATGTTCCCTAAAACCGACTCTCCTACCAACTATACTCAATACTGACGTGTACTATAGTCCCCATCTACACTGTTGCCACAACATTCACCAACCCTACAGTACCCGTCGAGGGACTAGAGAACCCTCCTCTGAGCGTCATCAGCATTGACCACCTACCCAGCTTGCTGCCTCGGGAATCTTCCGAGTCGTTCAGCAATGATCTGTTGCCGTACCTGCTCAAGCTTAACGACTGGAAGAACAACCCAGTGTGGGCCGGTGCTTACAAGCTGTTCCAGGAGAAGGTGGCGACGCTACCCAAGGAGGCACTAGAAAACTAGATCGATTGACCGAGATATAGGTTGCAGCGACGGGATTTCCGCAATAAAAGGAAAAGATGGGTTGGCGTTATGGGATGATGTAGACAAAAAGACCGTCGGTAGAGAAGTCACTCAAAAATTTCGCAAGAGTAGTTGAACCGTAATGAATAAAAATAGCGTGGGCCGAGAGTCATAGCTGACGTTTCTTCTTCCGCGCTGTGATGTATCTTATAATAATACCATATGATTGAGGTTAACATAGAAGAGTTCTCGTTATAATTCGTGAGACCCGTTGCAGTATCATATAGGCTTGTGCTAGTAGTTAAATCTTGGACTGTGTATTGTCTATTACCCCCCCTTTTTTCACGGGGTACACAAAACGTCGCAGAGAAGTATCTCGGAACCAAACCCCGAACTCATTAACAAGTTTATCCCGCCAGTGAACGCCGGAGATGCATATACACCACGTACCTATACCTATACACATACACATCCTCTCCGCTCTCCGCTCTCCCCTTCTCCCCCCTCTTCTCACCGCCTCCCCTCCTCCTCCCCCTCCCCCGCCGGTCTCCTTCTCGTCTGTCCGCCAATCCTCTCCGCCCTCCCCAGCTTCTCCAATTCCCTCTTGACATCCTCCGGGTCCCGCTGGGGCAAGCCCCACCACTCGCGATGAAAAGCCTCCTGCTCTAGTTTCCGGCGCTCCTTCTGCTCGCGCTCGCGAGCCCGCTGCTGCCGCTGCGCAAACCACTGCTCCCGCGCGCGGTCGTGCTCTTCGGGCGTCGCGTACGTCTGCATGCACCCGTTCATGCGCCGCGAGGCGTCCCGGCACGCGAAGGCGATCGTTAGGGTGCGGTTCCGCGCGCAGTCTGCAAAGGCTATTTTTACCGTGGGCGACGGTGTTAGTCAGTATTAGGTTCGTAGGATTATACGGGCAGGTGTATAAGGGCAGGTGTAGATAGAGTAGGGGGGGGGTACGGGTTGATTTTATCTATGGAATTGCTACCTATGTACCTAGGTAGGTAAAATAAATAAATACATAAATAAATAAATACGTGTGAGGAGTGAACTAACCTTTAATCTCGTCTGCGCACTGGTCCCGTACGCGCTGGTTGAACACCTCTCGAACCTGTGCCTCTTGACTCGCTGATAGCGGCAGCGGGTTGCGGGAAGGCATTGGTAAGCCTATATCTTCTGTCCTCCTATTGTTATTCCCCGTACTACGACTACTGCTGCCGCCGGGGGCTATCGGGGGTTGTTGAGATGCCATTGCGGCGGCCATGGACTGTCGATCGTTGGCGGGGAGAGAAGGTTAGAAGTTGGCGGGATGTGATGGTATTTTTTTTACTTGTCGCTCTAGCATTATATGCTCTCCATATGTTGAAAGATTGGGAGCTACCGGCCGTACCTAACTTCTCGTTCGATCGTATCGATTGTGGTGGTGAGATCGGCGAAGCTCTGTAGCTCTATGTATAATTGCATTAGCTATTTTGCCACATTTCACCGCCTACTAAAATCGTACTGACATCAGATCATCCATATATATGCAATTAAGAGATAACAAATAATTTAACCTACAACTCACCAGGATCTTCAACAATATTTGTGGAGATAATTACTTGAAATAGTTAATAAGTATTAGCACAGCTTATTTACTATGGTAAATACAAGACGGTTCGAAGTTTCTGGCTTAATCTTTGCTTAAATAGGCAATTATTGATGATAAAACTCGTCTAGAAACCACGAGATTTATCTGAAGTTATATCTTGCCATAGTATTTCGAATGTGCTGATACTTCGCTTCTTTAGGTAAAAATCCCCACAAATATTGTTGAAGATCCTGGTGAGTTATAGGTAGGTACGTCTTATAAGAGGGTAGATATACTACATATTTTCGCTTATGTCATCACGCGTGCGCAATTTACTTCTTAGATCCTCAGAATAAATAATTCAGACGCTGATGAATTCTGTAGCTATGGTTTGTAGCAATATCCGCTTTGCCCCGACTGTTAAAACCATATAACCGTTATCACCCAACAGCTTACTCCAGCACAGGTGTATTCGGCGCAGATTCTTCTCTCTCAAGGTCTAGACTCTCCTTTTCTTTGCCCGTCTTTTTCTTAATCGTGAACCGAGAACCCCAGCTGACTGACTTGTCTTTAGCATGTCTGCTCACGCTCGTAGGTCCCAGAGATGGGCTGCTGTGGAGGCTTTCATAGCTACGACCAAGCGTTAATCCAGGGCCACCACCGCTGCTGTCTTCCGCATATTCGTCAAAGCTGCTGCGCTCGACTGATGCGTTTTTATCAGAGTTGGTGACGCTGCTTGGGCCCTTCTTAGCCCCCAGACCGCGTACCGATGATGTAAAGCTAAATTTCGAAGAGCTACCCTTACGTAATAGTTTTCTAAACCCGCTTTCCTGTTCCTTATTCCCAGAAGCGAATGCTTGGTCAGAAAGAGTGTTAGAGAGCGGCTGATCTAAAGTGAGTGACTCGCGCGATTCGGTGACAGACGGTGTACCAATGCTGAATGCGTCGCGGGATTTGCGGGACTCTGATGGCGACTCATCTATGGAAGGCGCCGCAGCTTCGGATGCTGACGATAAGGAAACACGAGGCTTCTTCTCCTTAGCCCAGTCCCTATCTCGAGCTTTGCCTTTTCCCGTATCTTTTGAGTCCCTTGAGTCTTTATCCGATTCTCTTTCTTTATCAAGTTTGGTACGGAATAAACCCGCCATAAAGGTAGGCGCAGCAGGATTGAGACGTTGGCTTAGCGTCTTAGAGGACGGCTTGGTGCCAATCACTCCCACTTGGCTAGGCAATGCGTGTAATAATTCAGAGTCGTCAAGAATTTCGTCATCGGCATCAGCTAGGGTGGTCTTTAGAGCAGATGGGGAGCCATGGATGGAAGGTCGCCTAGATGGATTCCGCGAGGCTGCCCACGGGCTGTCATCGGCAGACCAGAGTCGACTATGTTGAGGACCCCGGGTCCAAATGGAGGAGTTTTCGGTAGATGGGCGAGGCAATTCGGATGAAGCGATGGAGACGGGTCTAGGGCTGCTTGGGTCGCGCTCGGAGAATATGTTACTTCCGATACTATGAGCGTTCGCGGCGAGGCCAAATCGGTGCGAATGCAGGCTTCTCGCGCTGGGGCTGCCGGTGTCTAGGATTTCCGACCCCGTAGAGTTCCGATTGAACACATTCCAACCAGACGAAAGACTAATTCGTCGCCTAGTCGGAATGGCGTCTTCATCTTCTGCTGAACGCGGCAATGATTGAGTCTGGACAGATTTCAAAGACCCTAGAGCTGGCGGTTCATCGACCGTCTTAGGGCCACGGTGAAGCCATGGTAAGAAGCTTCGTCTGCTTGTAGATTGAGGCGGCGGGGGAATGGGCGATGACGTTGCATTGAGCTCTCTAATTCCCTTGAGCGATCGACGCTCACTATTTTCACCGGTATACTGAGAGAAGGGTAAATGGTGAGAGGAACCTTGCGGGCTAGAGAGGATACTAAGTGAGCGAGTCGAAGAAGTAGGTGACTGGGGGTTGTTCTCGGGAGAAAATGCCGAGCCAAATGTATTATGTCGGGACGGTCGAGAGTTGGGACTGGGGGGCTCATCATCCATAAGATCGTCAAGCATTCCCGCAGGTAACAATGAGGTTGCCGTAGGACTGAGCGGCGCACCGCCACTGAGTTGTCGCAAGCGTTCTTCATCGGGTAGACCGGAGAAGTCGGGATTGTGTTCTATGTACGGGCCTTGGGCGAACCCGGGAGGGATGGTAGGAGGACGAGAGGGTCCAAACGTGGTTGACGCTCCATATTGCCGATCCCCCATTGAAAATGGCAAGACGGGCGACGGCATGGCTATGTTGGAGAGCGAATTGCTGTTCCGGCTTCGCCGTTTGAGCTGGTTTTGCGTCCCCAAGTCGAAATCAACCCCCGACGAATTTGCCTGATTGTACATGAAAGGAACACCGGATTGCTGCGCCGCCGTTATTTGGGCCTGAAGTACGGATCCATAATCATTGACCATCCGTAGCTTCCTGTTGGCGGCATAGAGCCGTCGTTGCAAGTCCCTAGCGCGGATTTCCCAGTCTCTCCTAATCTGTCGGTCTTTCTCGCGCCATTCCTCGCTCTCCTCTCCACCAGGCAATTTCTTCCTCTGCTCCTCTGCCTCTTTGAGCTCCTTGCTCTTTTCCTTGAGCTCCACCTCTTCCTGGGCAAGGCTCGCCTGCGCTTGGGTAATCTCAGCACGTAGCTCTTCAGCTCGGCGATCGCCTTCCTTCTGACAAGTATTTCGGTCCTTCTCAAAAGCGCTTTGGCGTTTTTGCATCGAGGCAATATCCTTCTCCCATTTTGCTATATCATCATGAAGCTTTTGTCGTTCAGCCTGCTTTTCCTTTAGTAGCTTTTCCTTCTGGGACTTCCGTTGCTGTGCGCTTCTCATGGCACGTTCCGTCGAGCCCATTTCCCTCTTCAATTTTTCAGTCGTGTCATCCTTCTCCTTCAGTATGCGCCTCTTTGTCTTTTTCTCTTCCGCCAACTCATCCATCAACTCCTTATGCTCTTTCTCATCCTTAGCAATCTGCGCCTGCGTCTCATCAATCTCTTTTCGAATGCTCTCAAATTTCTCTCCCAGCTCCTGCAGCGACTCCTCCGAATCTTTGCCTAGGGCATCTTTAACAGATTGATCCATACTAGTCGTAGAGGGCGAATGCTTGCGTGTCAACGTATTTCGTCTTGGGCCAGTCAGAACGGCTGGGTTAGCTTCCCGTATAGATACTACAGAATTATCCGGAACGGACGCTGTTTCCACGCCAGCAGCAGAGCTCCTGGTAGCTCCATCTTCATCCCCGTGGTCACTGGGCATAGCCAGCTGCTGCTCTTCGGGAACAAAGTTGGACGGTAGACGACCGTCTCCGAGTTGAGGACGACCATCTCTCCCGTATGTCCGTAGGCGTATCACGCGACTGCCCGCTTGAAAATTGTTATACCCAACAGCAATGACTCGCACGTTGTAAAAGTGATTTGGCTTTAGACCCGTGACCGTAATAGCCGTCTCTTGGTTTGCGGAATCGCCAACTAGAGTAACAATTATTAATTCTGCGGGCGGAATTACCACTACCACTTTCCTATAACTCACCGTTGACGCCATTGACTTGTATTGTGAACTTTGCAACAGGCCGGGTAGGCAGCGGACGTGTCCAGTTGAGCGTAGCAGCATCGGCACGGATCCCTGCTAACGAGACATCGGGAGCATCAGGCACCTCGACACCAAGGATACCGATGAGTTCATTGACGGACTTTCTTAAGGTCTGGATAGCTCGGTGGGCTAACCTACAATGTTGCGACAGTGTCAGAGACGGAGAGCAGGCAGCATGATAGAAATATACATACCACGCAACAGCTATGCCGGTGACGAGCATATTGGTATGATCCAAGACCAAAACGTCGAGTCGTAATATTTTGGCGACGTGGATGCTGAACTGGTAGATCTGATAGGGTGTCGCCTGGGCCAGCTCTGGTGCCACAGCCCAGTAGAAGAGGACGCAACCGATGACAACTATCAGGTTTAGATGAGTCGTCTTAGGCTCAATAAACCACCAGGCCAGCAAAGCGCAGACGAAGAGGACGATAGGAACAGACGTCGGCCATGGGGTCCATAACATATCGCCGTGGTCGAGAAGCCAGACTATCAACAAAGAAAAGAAATATTGCCCAAGAGGGAAGAGAGGAGGGGGGGGGGTTATTAAAAGAAAAAGAGAACTTGAAAACATACAAAATGATTGGAAAATGTTTCCTCCCGTCGAATTGCCTCCTCTAAAAAATGTGGGCACCCCGGCTGAAGCTTGGGGGAACAATGGAGGCTTACCGGGCTACGTACAGCAGTCAAAGAGCGCTAAAAATTGAGACGCACAGGACGCACAAGCTGCACCGACATGGGAATTACCCATGCGCGCATACGGCGTTAGCGGGCTAAGGCTTCCTTCGTCGGCCCTAGCACTTAGTTCTAGGCACTTATTAGATAGCAGGTAGGCAAGTGCGATTAAGCTTATTGCTGTTTAAGCCTGCCTCACCAAGAATATCTGGCTTGCCTTAAAGGAAGGACTCTTATTTCATATCAATCTCAATCTAGTAAAGAACTAAGTAATCAAGGCTGGCTCTAATAATTAAAACGGTATAAATTTTATCTAAATGTGCAGCTTACAGTCTAAACTATTTCTCACAGTACCCAAGTCTCTCCTACGATAGGTGCATGCTCTTTTTTTTTTTTTATTAAATAAAAATAAGAGAAGATTTAAAGCCAGGCAGTGAAGGCTTCATAAGCATTCTTCGTGAAACCAAACCCTAGAAATAGAACATGTCACAAGCGTGCCCTAGATCTGCACGGCCAGATACCTAGTCGGATATATACTTAATCAGCACCTCGGTAGCGTTGTGCGACAATGCCTAGGAAGCTTGGTGAGAACTTTGTCCAATCGAAATAGCGGTCCGGCAGTGCGAACTGGCGCTAAGGATTGGGCATGTACGTCGTACCCCCCGATTCCCCCGATGCCCCAAACTTCTCTATACCCGGCCTGCTGACTTGTGGTTTATAGCCTGCTGTGATAACTGGTTGAACACTGCTGCAGCTGTCCTTCAAGAGTGCACGGTTGTAGACTGAAGGTCCAAAGATCTTCTCGCCATTACCGTTTGTGGTCTGCCTATCTCCCGAGCCCCATGGGGAGACTATTGTGAGATGCCAACGGAAATACATACCGGAAGCACACGATGAATGTTGCCATACAAGTGCAGTCCCGATGTTACTGGTCACTTTGGGCAGCTTTGATGTTACAGCATGGTATGCGAATAGACGAGAAGAGCAACCTTAACATACCTATCATGTAGCCCCCAACTCCTTCTCAATATAAACGAAACGGAATTATCGAAGACAGCACACATGCAACTATAAGACAGCCAGAGTAGAATGTCTCGCCTCACATATTCTGCGCATATTTATACCCTACCTTTCGAGCAAAGTCATCATTTGTCAACAACGTATGAGAGGTGAGATGTGTATCATTCGTCATCACTCATCCATCTTATGCACGTCGATGTCTTTTGGATTTTACTCTCCAATAAGAATTAGGAAGCATATCGTAAAGGTCTCTTCCATCTTCTTACTAACAGCGTGCATTTACTCCAATATCCTGTCATTAAGTTACTGTATAAGTTTATTATTGATTGATTATAGTTAGGTAGTTTCAACTATAAAATGAGTTCGCCAGGTATTTTCATTTTAAGGAGCTTTGAGGTCGACGTATCCGAGCATGTTGCTAACGGGTAGGTAGCAAAGCTCGAAGTGAAATTGACTCACTTAGAGCACCTAGAAAATCACGAGCATGCTGCAGCATTACCGTAGCTTCGGGATTGCACAAGATAATTTTTTTTTTGGAACGGGAGCCACTCGGCTTTGCGGCGGTTAGCGCAGTTTTGATGAAGCAAGTCAGCTGCATATATGTACCTAAAGTCTAGATGCTGGAAGCCATCAATCAGCTGCTGTGGTGCGAAGCTGGCATTGGTCCCTAGCAGACCTTAGGCGATGTTTTAGCATAGGTACGTACCTACCTAAGCACCCTGTAAGTTGTCGCGCGTGGCGGACCCACTTTAGAGAAGCATGTGTCATTGACCCGCGGCTCTGCTTGGTTATGTTGAGTTTAATACAATAATACTTCTGATGTACAGGGGTATCTTACCCCCAAAAATACGACATGTGCAACTTGTACTTCGTAGTGTCAAATTTGCTTGCATAAAAGTTGTAGCTGGGTCGCCTTTTCTCAACAAGGTCGCCGTTGTCTATGATACTCCCGCCTCGTCCCACCAGCCCGGTTAATTATACAACCTTCGTCATAAATCCTACCTTCGACGCTCCCCCTTTTCCTCACGCTCGTTTTGCTATTTACAGCTTCCTTTAAATACAACCGTATAATTTCCACTATACTATATTTTGTTTCCAGCCCGTTGATATCGAGACCCGTAACTACGTCACCAGTCACCATCGTGCATCTGTACCGAAGAGTCGGAATCCTTTACCCTCTTAATCTACAATCCCCCGACGTCGTTCCAAGCGACAAGCAAACTATAGCATTTAATTTGCTATCGTCAGTTCCGAACGAAACATAACCGACCACGTTGAAATATACGTCGAATCGCGCTATTATAGATCTCTTAGAATAAGTTTGGCTTCGCAAGGGTTTGCCTCGGGTTATCATTTTAATTGGCTATCTTCCCCTTTCCATGGTCTCAGGGCCGAGGCCGACTTCCTAATTGTGAACTGAACAACGTCAACCTTTCTCGAAGATGCAGTACGTTCGGAATATAAGCGACTCGGTTTCTACCGCCTGGAACTCGATCAACCCGGCTACATTGAGCGGAGCAATCGATGTGATTGTAGTACAGCACGAAGATGGCACTCTGTGTTGCTCCCCTTTTCACGTCCGTTTCGGGAAATTCTCGCTGTTAAGACCTTACGAGAAGAAGGTCGAGTTCAGGGTCAATGACATTAAGCAAAACTATGCTATGAAGCTAGGGGAAGGGGGTGAGGCTTTCTTCGTCTTCGAGACCAACGATAACATTCCTCAAAGTCTCCAAACCTCGCCTCTTAGCTCTCCCGCTTCCAGTCCACCCCTTGAGCCCCATAGGTCCTATTCATCCAACGAACTCCAGGAGCCCGACTTCTTGCAGTTGGATAGCGACTCTAGAACTGCGCTGTCTACGACTGCGTTGCGACCTAAGCCCACAGTTCTCCCCCGCCCAGGTTTGTCACCACGAAATCTGCATCCGAACCCCCAAGACAATAGCTGATAGTTGTTTAGGCGTAATTGAACCCCTTGGACCCTCACCTGAGTTAGGTAGCGGCCGACCAGTCTCAAGAGGATGGTCCAATACCCCCAATCATCCATCTTATAGTGAAGAATTATTGCCAGCTCCTGCGCAGGCAACCCACGAACAAGATGACTCGAATGGCGACCTACACGAAGCCGATAGCGCAATTTCCCAAAGGTCGCGAAGCCCACCCCCTGTGGCACCCCGAGAGGCTATTCGGCGAGCCATGACCCTATCGAAAGAACTCGAGGCAGTCAATATCCCTAGCCGAGTGACTGAAACGGGTGATCTTATGTTAGATATGACCGGTTATAAATCTAGTGAAGAAGACGCGATCAAAGCTGAAATTCTAGCTCGGAAGATATTGTCTGAAGAGCTCCAAGGCGACTACGATATTGGCGCACTGTTTGGAATGGACGAAGAAGGAAACCTTTGGATATACAGCAGTGAGGATGCGAAGGAAGCTGCAATGAAGAAGACTGTGGCATCTCTCCGGCCGTCGCCTACGCTTGCCATTGATGCCGCTTCCGATCCCGGATATCAAAGCGATGATTCTACTACGTCGACACGAGGACCTTCCCACAGGAGAAGCGAGTCAGACGTTGGCCAAAGTTTCATTCAGACGCCACCGACGACCCCGGGCTCATCATCACCATCAGCAGGAAATCCAAATAGAAACTACGCGAAAACCCTACGGCTGACCAGTGATCAGCTGAAGGCGCTAAACTTGAAACCTGGCGAGAATTCGATGAGCTTTACTGTAAATCGTGCCACATGCCAAGCATACATGTTCCTCTGGCAGCATGATACGCCTGTTGTCATTTCTGATATCGATGGTACTATAACTAAGTCCGATGCTCTAGGCCATGTGTTAAATATGATCGGACGAGACTGGACACATACGGGGGTTGCGAAGCTCTACAGCGACATTGTCGAAAATGGGTACAATATCATGTACCTAACGAGTCGTTCGGTTGGACAGGCCGATACAACGAGGGCGTATCTCTACGGTATTGTTCAGGACGGATACCGCTTGCCTAAAGGCCCAACGATCCTATCACCTGATCGGACTATGGCGGCGCTGAGGCGAGAGATCTACCTACGGAAGCCGCATGTGTTTAAAATGGCAACCCTACGGGATATTAGAAGCTTATATGGCCCCGACAATCACTGCTTCTATGCTGGCTTTGGAAATCGTCTTACGGATCAAATTTCTTATAGGACTGTGGACGTACCAAGGAATCGAATCTTCACGATTAACTCGAACGCCGAGGTGTCGCTGGATTTACTAAGTCTTAATAAGTTGAAACTTAGCTACGTCAACATGACGGAAGTCGTTAATCACTACTTTCCTCCTGTTAGCACTCTTGTTAAGGGTGGCGGTGTCGAGTACACCGATTTCACGTATTGGCGCGACACTCCCTTAGAGCTAGACGAGTTCTCAGCCAGCGAGTCCGAAGATCGCGCAGACGATAGCTCCGCAGACGAGGAGGAAGACGAAGACGTCGGAAATATGGGTGATAGCTATCTCTCCCGAGGAGATGAGGAGGAGGATGAAGACGCCGATGCTGAAGAGAGTATATTCAGCGGTGAATATGAAGGAGAGGAGAACGCGATGGACCCTCTCGAATACGGGTCCGACGATGCCGATGACGAGGAGGGTTACCTAGATGACGAAGTCGAAGATGAACAGGACATTAGTCCGGGTCCGCTTAATCCTGGTTTTAAGAGCGAGCCTGCTCTTCCGGTGCGAGACGTCGATGCTGAGCTTATCACGGGAATGAAGAATATGGTTGTCGATGAAGAGATGAGAAGATGACGTAGCTTTGGAACCACGTCAGAAGGATCAAATACCACGAACAATTTACGGTGACAATACATGATCTAACCTCGAGGATCGTCTTCAACGCGCAAACCAGCTTTTAAGAATCAACCGTTTTCAACATTAATCGGCACAGAAAAAGGGCCGCTACGAGCATTCGGTATATGTTAGATCATCTAATACCCATAACCTGCATTATGCTACGATTATCCTTGCTAGGGCAGATTGGTCTATTTTTGTATGCTACTCGTGATGAGTAGCTGTTGTATTTTGGTTTGCATAGCGTTGGCGTTTTATAGAAGGACGAGGGGCACATCTGTCATAGACTAAAATGTACAACAAGCTGTCTTGCTTCCCCTGCATCTTGACCGTCCTAGCTAGTCCTCGACGCGTTGCTAGCGACTTGTAGCAAATAGACCACCTTCATATATCGTACGCTTTTCTCAACTCAAACCCATAGAACTGTTCTAACGGGTTTATGCAATGTGTGCGTTATACTAGTATATCCCATCCAGCCCAAGCATCCTTAAAGACGTATTGTATGCGCAAGAAAAATTAAATTGTATCGTCGCGCAACGCGCTGAATCCGTTGCAGCACTTTTTACCCAACGCCGTAACGCCGTTATCCATGGTTTCTATCGAATAAAAGTTGTGGTCGCACACCATCTTCTGCTGTAAAAGACTGGCCGCGATGTGCTACCGGTAGAGTTTCGTAGAATGTAGTCGATCGATCACTCCATTCCCTCCATATCCTCATCACCCATATCACCCATGTCATTGCCAAGTAGCTCCTCCAAGCCACCCTCTTCCCCGGTAGTAGCGTTCGTTTGCTTCTGGGCATCAGCGTCCTCCATCTCCTCATCCTCATCGCTATCACCGTCGTCCTCCTCGGTCCACTGGTCGCGGAGGCTCCAGCCCATGCCGCTCAGGACGAAGCGCTCGTTGGGGAGACGCACACCCCACTCGTTGGCGAGGACACGCGGCAAGGCGATCTTATTGCGGTCTCGCGCTACTTCCTGCATCCACTCCTTGCTCGCGCCCGTGCCGCCGGACGCGCCGCGGAACTGGAAGGATTGTCGCGACGCGATGGCTAGGTTGATGGCGTTGGTGGTAACAGCGGCTTCACCGGCACTCGGGGCGCTGGGGGCCGCGCCTGACGCGGCGCTGGGCTTGGATCCTGCGTGTGTGGTGTACGGATCTGTGGACAGGTGTAGCGCGTCGGAGAGCACGGACGACGTGTGTCGGTAGGCGAAGTCAAGGAGGAGTAGGGGCACGCGCTGGTCGAAAGATGTGACGCCTTGGGAGGTCAGGAGTAGCTCGATTGTGCGGGCGTCGCGTGGCCGAGGAGCGTGGGAGGGCGACGGGGAGGGAGGAGTTTGGGACACGCCTGCTTGCGTGTTATTACTGCCTGCTCCGATTGCTGTCGAGGCGTTGGTCGCTTGTGTGTTTGGTACGGTAGTCGATCCGCTGGTTGCGGTGTTCTGGGTTGGCTGCGAAGCAGGTTGCGACGGGCCTGCTGCCGAGGATGATGGCACCCCGTTGGTCTGAGATTGCGATACCGATGCCATCGTGACTATAGGAAGAAGGTGATAGTATATTAAATTCGAGCGGTCGATTTGAATAGATAGACGTTTGAGAAGTAGTAGTTGGATCCTCGATTGAACGGATATTTGCGACACTCGCTCCTCACTCCATGTACTAAATATGCTGCTGCGAATTAAAGAATTCGCGAGGATTCCTCGACCGATTCGACTTGCGAAAGTAAAGTTTTCGAGTTTAGGAAAACTAGGGACTTTATCTGTTTCGTGTCGGGTGTGTTTGGAGCATGTACGAGCTTGGAATTACAATTAGATGTTCAGGATGAAATTGGCATGTAAGGTAATTCAAAAGCAAGCTCTAGCTAAAGTTGAGCCTCACGGCATTAGTGGACCTGATGCTAATAAATGGGGCTACATTAGTGGATCCTATTAGGTACTTTATGTAGGTATGGTGGTAGAGAAGTACCTGTATGTACCTAGGAATGTACCTGTACTACCACGTAGTGGGTTAGGTTAGGATGTATGTACCTAGGTTATGGCGTAAATAGGTAGGTTGCAGGTTTCCGTATGGAGGGGTAATTCGTTAATTGCCCCGCCATCATTGGGCAATTTGAGGGCAATTTAAGGGCAATTAGATCATGTACGCCGATTTTAGGAGTGTCATGTCATTCTAAATAATTATTTTTCTCTTCCACTTAACAATTCATATCTACCAATTTAATCGTCATCTTATGCACTAATTTCTAGTAGTTCAAAAAGAATTTGAATATATTCAGTTCAACTTGGCAAGTTTATCGCTATGGAGACGACACTTTCGCTCCCCTTTCTCATCTCCGTACCAGTCCCTCCTAGTTGGACTTCGAGCGAGGAGGGGCAAGGTCTAAGTCAAGAGGAAGTGGGATGTTTAGGTTGCGTCTTCTTCGAGGTGACTCAGCAAAACTTTGAAGAGCTCCTTGATAACTTAGGTCGGCTCAATGCTGCAACTCTTCATACTTTCTTCGACGTCACTGGCCTCGAATCGAAAGATGATGTCGTTACGCTGCTGGACCACGGCGCCCGAAAGGTTTTTGTTCAGCCCGATAGGCTGCCTGATTTTACAGAGTTTGGTACAAGAGTTGCCCCGGTGATAACAAGTGTAAACCAGTTGTCTTATGGGACGGAGCACGGGCTACTCCTCAAAGACTTCGACCAACGAAGCTGCGATGTGTCTGGTTTCATGGAGTCGAGCAAGGCTACTAAGATGCCACCCCTATACATCAAACCCATCCAAGATACTATCTACGACCATTTTGTCGACATATGTTCACAGCTATCTGCTATTCCCATTATCCCATCTACGGAATTAACAACCAAGAAAGAAGAAGCGGAAAAGAAGATTTTCGTCGCAAAACTGTTTTCCATCGCGTGGAATTCGGATAGACAAGACAAGCTTCTACCTACAGTTGTCTGCGATGAAGGAGGAATGACACTTGGTTTAGTGTATAGTAGTGAAGAGAGCATTGCCGAATCGCTAAGGACTAAGACGGGTGTCTACCAGAGCCGGAAACGAGGGCTCTGGTACAAAGGTGCTACGTCCGGTAACATTCAGGAGCTGGTGAGAATATCGTTAGACTGCGACAATGATGCTGTAAGGTTCGTAGTAAGACAAACAGGAAAGTTTTGTCACCTCGACCAATACGGATGTTTTGGCGATCTGAAGGGGATTCCAAAGCTCGAGCAAACGTTGCTGTCGAGGAAGCAATCGGCTCCCGAAGGTTCGTATACAAAACGGCTTTTCTCAGATGAGAAGTTGCTTCGCGCGAAGATAATGGAAGAGGCCGAAGAACTATGCGATGCAAAGACACCGGAAGAGGTTGCATTCGAAGCCGCTGACCTAATTTACTTCGCCTTAACAAAGGCTATTAGCGCTGGAGTAAGACTTTCGGATATTGAGAAGAACCTCGATGCCAAGAGCTTGAAGGTGAAAAGAAGACCAGGAAATGCAAAGGGTCAGTGGGCTAAGAAAGAAGGCATTACAAACGGTACTGCGGAGAAGGCTAAGGAGGCCGCAAAGGAGCCTGCGACGCCATTGACATCTGCACCCGCTGTTGCAGCTCACACCGCACCAGACGCTGACAGAATTACCCTAAAGCGGGTAGATGTTAGTAAGGTTAATGCAAACGAAGTTGCAGAAGCATTGAAGAGACCATCCCAAAAATCAGCAGACGCAATCCTGAATATTGTTACTCCTATCATCAGTGATGTTCGAAAAGGTGGAGATAAGGCCCTGCTCTCGTATACGCACAAGTTTGAAAAGGCGACCTCCCTGACTTCGCCTGTTCTCAAAGCCCCGTTCCCACAGTCGCTCATGAACCTCCCACCCGAGACTATCAAAGCCATTGATGTCTCCTTCGAGAATATCCGCAAATTCCACGCTGCTCAGAAAGAACAGCCCCTGAAGGTGGAAACCATGCCGGGAGTTGTTTGCAGCAGATTTTCCAGACCTATTGAACGAGTTGGTCTTTATGTGCCCGGTGGAACTGCGGTCTTGCCTAGTACCGCACTCATGCTTGGTGTGCCAGCTATGGTTGCTGGTTGCAAGAAGATTGTTATTGCATCTCCACCGCGTTCCGATGGTAGCATTACACCAGAAATTGTGTATGTTGCCCACAAGGTTGGTGCCGAAAGTATTGTCTTAGCCGGTGGCGCGCAAGCTGTTGCAGCAATGGCGTACGGTACGGAAAGTGTTAGCAAGGTAGACAAGATTCTCGGTCCCGGAAACCAGTTCGTGACTGCAGCCAAGATGTTCGTTAGCAATGACACCAACGCTGGTGTCAGCATCGATATGCCAGCTGGTCCGTCCGAAGTACTCGTAGTGGCGGACAAGGATGCTAATCCTGCTTTCGTCGCTTCGGATTTGTTATCTCAAGCCGAGCACGGTGTGGATAGTCAGGTTATTTGTATTGCAATTGATCTCAACGAGCAGCAATTGCAAGCGATCGAAGACGAAGTCCACAAGCAGGCCATGGCTTTACCGCGAGTGGATATTGTCAGAGGTGCTATCAGCCACTCTGTCACATTTGTCGTCAAAGACGTGGAAGAGGCGATGAGGATTAGCAATGAGTATGGTCCCGAGCACTTGATCCTACAGATTAAGAACGCCGAGCAGGTAGTAGATCAGGTCATGAACGCAGGTAGTGTGTTTATTGGACAATGGACTCCCGAAAGCGTAGGTGACTACTCTGCCGGTGTCAACCACTCGCTACGTAAGTTTCCCTTCTCTTTCAATTTAACATATCAGACTAACAAATAATAGCTACATATGGCTATGCTAAGCAGTACTCGGGAGTTAACCTAGGCTCCTTCGTCAAGCATATCACAAGCTCGAACTTAACCGCCGAGGGCCTTCAGAATGTAGGAGATGCAGTTATGCAGCTGGCTAAGGTGGAAGAGCTTGAAGCCCACAGGAGAGCCGTGAGCATCCGTCTCAGTACCTTGACTGGATCTTAGATATAACCTAGGTTTCACTAGACTATAAGGTGTTAGTAGTCATGTGAGAGGCACTTTAAGCATCAGCACGCCTAGGTAAAATACACGCTATAAGTTGCTACTCACTGTCTCGTGTTACTAGGGCATCTCTTCCCTACGGTGTATGGAAATGAATTTGATAGTCAAAATGGGGTATATGGGCCGGGTTGGTTGGGTGAGAAGCATATTCGTATAGCTGTGTGCGTTTATGCTTAAACATGAACTGATAAGGATACAGAGTGGCATTGACAGTAGTATCACAAAAAGAAAAGTAGTATTAAGGTACCCTCAAAATATAATATTGTTTATACTAATCGCGACGGGCTCTGTGATAAGCGAACTTGCGAGGTAATAGCTTAGGGTAAATCATGATGGTAGGGGAGAAACTCTAAGAACAGCTAATGACTACAGCTATAGGGGGCATGCAGTTGATAGTCCCAGAGTCTGCTAAAAGGCTGTATCTTACCGTTGGTTGATAAAAGAAAGAAAATTCTCAACTATGGGGGTTTGAAATGACATTGTTATCATAGGAAGTACACGGATCGAGTCAAAATCTAATCATTCACTAATAATTTTTATATTTGTTCCATCTATGAGTATCCGTACAAAGCCGGGATAACAATGCATTGCAGCCAATTATACCAACCACGAAAATACGAGATTAACATCTTAGGTTGATGCCTTGCCTCATCTCTGACTCTCTAATCTCGAACATGATATTTACGGTGACAAAGAATGCCATACAACTGCCGATGAGGAATGTGAACCCTATAATATACAGTTAAACGTAAGATCTAAAATAAAGAAGAGGGAAACGGGATAGCTTACCAGAAAAGTCTTTAAAGATACCCGCGATAATACTCATTAGACCGTCTACACCAACAGCAAATCCAACTAGATTCGCCGTCATCATCATGAAAATATTTCCTACGGCTCCGAAACAGCAGAGTATTCGATACGTTCTAGGTCTGCTCTCCCAGGCGCGTTTTGGGAAAAGGAATCCAGCTGCCATCTCGGGTAGCATGAACAAGACGATGAGCCAACCCCAGATCAGTAGATTCATCTCAATGTCGTGCCAGAGAGCAACGAATGTGAAGACGAGGACGTACGTGAGCAGGGACCGGGCGGCGTCGCGGGGGGTGCGGAAGCTTGACCCTCCGAGCGGCACGTATATGTATCGGAGGGACCAGCGGTAGAAGCTGCGATGCCAGCTACGCCAGAAGGCGAGCGTGCTCCAGTTATCGCTGACGCAGCGAATCATGTTTTCGGGCGGGTCTACGCCGTCGACAAGAGACCAGAGCCGGAAGAATCGCCACGGCAAAAGCAGCTTAAGCCAGATCAGATGCAAGTTGAAATAGCTAAGCAGGCTGAGCTGCGCCGCCGTGTACTCGCTCCACACGGGGTTTGCTTTTGAGATAGCCTGAACGTAGTTATAGTGCAGGATTATCTCCATTGCGAGCAGGGTCAGGGCGAGGCGCACCCCATAACGTATCGTGCGCGCCGTCTCGATGCTGGCGGACTTATACCGCAACTGCGATATGAAGTCATTGAAGGTGATTATTGGACCCGTCAGGTACAGAGGAGCGTAGATGGCGTATGCGACGTAGTTCCGAAATGAGAAGTCTTTTTCCTGTGC